CTTTGCGCCAAGACGAGTTAAATTTATCGTCAGTGCATCTTTCTGGCTGCGAGGCGCACATAAAGTTTGGGGCCCCAAAAATTGTTGTTGCCACAGCGAACTATAAAAGCCAAAACAGCCACCCCCAAATAAAACTCAGAGCGCTCATAACTATGCCTAGTTATAAGCAAGCAACAAGCACTAGATTTGTGTGTGTTCTGTGTTTGTGTGTGTTTATGTTCTGGCTGTGTTTGGGTTTGTCTTCGGGCTTTTTGGCATAATTTCTACTACATAACACATCAGCAGCAGAAGCAGCTGAGCAGCAGCAGCAGCATCTGCTGAGGAGGTCCTCAAAAACTGTTGTCTCGCGTCAAAAAGTTACAACAATCAACATTAACATTCATGCGTGCATCAAACCGGAAATGTTTATCACATTTAACCTCAATATGCTCAACATGTCGTATACGCAATGTGCCATATTCTACACGCCCTACGAACTATGAAAAGTTTTTCTACTTCTTATTTTTTTTTTATGTGTTTTGAAGACTTTTTGTTTTTATTTTAGCACACACTTCCTAATGAACATTTGAGTGTTTTTCTTTGAAGCTTGATTTTAAAGCATTTTTCTTTAATTATTTTAACCCAAAAAATATACATATTATACATAAATATTATTCTGCATTCATTATTTTACATATTCCCACCGAAACTGTCAATTTGCAGGAGACTCTATCTTAATTAAAGCAATTTTACGCCATAACCGCAATGGCAAATGTTGTTGCGGTTATTTTTATATACTTAAGAATAACCTTTGACCTGCGCCGACAGTAAAGCCCACCGACAACATTATCATCATTAAGAAGAACACCATTCAGTCCCCCATTTTTGTCTTTGTACATTATCTAAACAATTGATTGATGGCTTCGGCTAGTGCCTTATCTCACTCGCAGGACGACAAGAAACGTATACAAATGAAAATGCGAAATGAAAAGCATCTGCACAGGTAGACGACGAAAACATTTGCCAAAAGAAAATCAACAAAAATCATTTGCTTAAGCTGCAACAACAGCAACAACAGCACGTCACAGCCAATAAGAGCTGTTGTCTTTGCCCAGGTACATCAACATGACAGGACATGAAGGACTCCTCCTCCCTACACAGATTTGTAAAGGTATTGTGGAATTATCACAACAGTTGCAGCCGCTGTGAAAAGCTGACAAAAATAAAGATAAGAAGAAATGTTCATTAGCCAACAAAAATAAGCCAAGAAATATAAAAAGTTTAAGTGAAGATACTTGACTTTAAGAAATGAACCGCAGTAAATAAAAAAATATATAATTAATGACAAAAGCTATCAATTATTTTTGAAGTTGTAAACTGTCTGTCAACTAAAACATAAAGAATAATAATGTTAGCTTCTAAAACAAATTTCTATTTGTATTATTCTTTTATTTATATTCCTTTATTTATGTTAAGCACAATATAGAAATAACATTTATACAAGCGTCTCAATTCGCAGCAGTTCATCAAAATTTAAATGAAATGAAAACAAAGTTTTTTTCCATTTGGTTGCCAAACCTATAAGGATAACAGCGATAACGTTTTCCAATGGAGTTAACCCAGAGATAGGCAAACAACGGGGACAGCCAAAAACCAAAAACCAAAAAAACACCAACCCCAACACCAAAACCCAAAAAACTCAAATACTCAGACCAAAAACAAACAACCGCAAACAACAACAATTTATTATTTTGCCATTTCTCAGTTCTCCGCTCTCAGTTCTCAATTTCTCAAGTCAGTGGCAAGTGCCAATATGCAAGTTTGCTTTTACGAACTTAAATAAATAATGAAATTGGTAGGCAAAGTGGGCCAAGACAGACAGAAAAGAGGTCCGTCTCGAAGGGATTGCTGTTGACCACAACAGCAAGTTTATTTCCCTGCATGTATGTAAACGAAATAGGTTTGGTTTAGTTGAGTTGCGGCCCGCAAAACAAATCTATCAAGATTTACGCCCCAAAATGGTTTAGATAAAACCGAGGCAGTCTGAGTCTAACCGTCTCCAAACATTCATCAGTCATTTGCACGTGTATGTTGAGGAGGATGGGGGGAGGGATGAGTACTTGACCAAAGGGACATGTGCGACTTGTCATAGTTGCAAATCACGAATTTCTCAATCATATTTATTAGGTAACTCAAAAGTGGCAAACGACTCGATTTGAGTTGAACGCGTGTAGAGTTTTCTTTCATGACACGACTTAATATTCGTGAAACCAATTGAGAGACTTGTCGGAGCCGGCTATCGGATTTAGCTTACATATGAACAATCTGTCAAAAGATGGGGTTTCCAAACTGTTTTATTTTCCAAATTATCAGAGACATTTTTCTAAAATTGAAGACGATGTTTTTCTGAGTGTAAGTTACCCATTCTTTCTGGTCTTAATCTTTAAAGCCATAAATTGGCAACGTTTATCAAACAATAAAAAAGCCTCCTTAAAGCGATATGTTGGTTTTAGCTGAGCATTTATCAGGAAATCAAATATGCTACCCCACTTAATACGTTCTTCCCGTAGCAAAACAAGAAAAGGGATCAAAAGAATGACTGACATCATCTTTGGCATAATTTTAAGCATGCGTGTTTTCGACTTTTGCTTCTTTCGTTTTCAGTTCGTGTTTTGTAAATCGAACACGCGTCCAACTCTATTAAGAAGTGCAGCGCTGAACCAGCACGCTCACTACCATTAAAACTAAGGCCGCTTAGGCTCGGCTGGCCTCCTGCTCGACCTTTTTATGGCGTGAACTTAATAAAATATGAAAAACCTTAGCGAAAAACGAGAAGTATAAGTAGAAGCAAAAAAAAATCATATAGCAGCGCCAGGCACTTGGCAAGTTTATGGAAGAGCTTAGCAAACAAAATTATATTCAATTTCCTTTAATGGCTACCATAAAATAGCAGTCAGCAAAAGTAAAGCCAGAAAAATCCGCCCAAAAAAGAAAAAAAAGAAAAGGAAAAAAACCAAATAAATATGAAGGCGTTGCGGCGCAAAGTTGCGAGAAATGTGCCAGATATGCTCCATTCCACTCTTACTTTTTGGGTAGGTAAGCAAATTGTTTGAAGTATTGTTAGTACTTCAGATTGGCTTATGTTTAGATGTATGTTTATAGCAGACGTAGTCGGCTTAGAGCCATAAGCTCAATTAGCCATCAGCAGGACGGTCTAATGAAAAGGCAACTTCATATTAAATATAATTTGCCTATTCAAGTGTTAAAGTGTTGAATCAAATAGGGTGGAGAAACAGATTTGCATATTAATAATGCCAAAACTCCACAACCAAGTGACATTTCCGGCCTTTTGTTAAATATATATCATATTAGAAATTAATATGCCATTTGCTGACTATTTGCGGGCTCACAAGTTGTAACAGATTATTATCAATAAAGGGTCATGGGTTAACTGAACTCTATCCCGAGAACAATTTGTTGGGTGTGTTAGCGCTATTCAAGAGCCAATTAACTTGTCAATTGCTATATGGGCGTGTTTTGTGCTTTTCAGAGGAAACTACATGATTAAAGTTAGAGTTTAATTCAATGTTGTTCTAATTAATTTAAAAGACTCTAACCCAAAAAATTACTTGGGCATCGGTCGATGTTTCCACAACCATAACTTTATTAAAATTCAAACGATTTTAAAAAAGCTGGTCTTTTTATCATGGTTCGACATCTAGAATACTATTACATTTCAAGTTGGAAACGCGATGCCTTTTTGATTATGATTTGACCTCTAGCTTAATACCGCAGTCAAATTTGAAACCTGTTTTTATATTGTTTCCCTTGTAATCAACTGTGGGCAGTTTACAATTTTCCCTTGCCTTTCCTTGAAACGTCTCAAAGTTTTCCATTGTCCACTGTTCTTTTTCTTATTAACTTTTAGTTTATTAATACTTACCAGAATTTACTTTTAAGACAGCTAAAAAACCAAAAACAAAAAAATTTCACCTTAATTAATTGAAAGACAGCCCTGATATTTCTATAAATATACAATGAGCAATAAATAACTTTTGTCTTAATATATGTCAAAGTACACATAAAGCGTATTATGGCATTATTAAATAAATGAAGCTGTAGAAACTTTTTAAATGTTGTTCGTTAGTAAGCTTCTTAGTCTCAGTCAGCTTTTCTTTTGCGCATATATATTAACGTTAATATGTAGATACATACATAGATATATCAGAAGTGCCTATCATTTTCTCGTAAGCTGATAATGTCATTGTACGAATAAGCTTGAACTATTACGTTAATCAGCACTTAACCTGACACATTTTTTACTGCACACATGAGAAGACGCACCCAATTTAGTGGCAGCAATTGATGCGTCCAGAGTTGCCACATAACCGACTAAGTGTCCATCATGATACTGAAAGTGTCAACATTTTTAGGGTTTCGTCTCCATGCTAAGAAGCAGGCCAGACATTGCAAGCCAGAGGCAAACAGTTAATACATCAAATTCAAACTTCTTGACATCGACTTCTATTCTTGGCCGGACAATAAAGGGATGGGAAGCGAAGGGAGAAGAAGGGAGACGTAGGCAGAGTCATTGACAAGCCGTTTGACATGAAATGAATTGTGAAATTAAACAGTCAGAAGACGAAGGAGCAACAGCAGCTGCAGCAGCTCTATTGAAAGGATCTAAGAGTCACACTCTTGGCCAAAAAGGATTATTTTATTTCTTATAAATTGGGGACTGTAATGTCAAAGTAATTTCAAGCCCAATAAACGAATAAGGCAAATTTCAGAAAAAAAAGAGATAAAATCGACCCAAAAAGAGGAAGAAACGAATACGAAAAATGTAGTTTAGAAATAATAACCGTATTATTTAAAAATAAAAATAAGTTGAGTTGCCTTTGGCAATTTGTAAAATTCTTAAAATGCATCCTTAAAAGTGAACAGCCCAACAGACAACAACTTGAAGGGTCTTTAGCAGCACTTGAGAACTTTTAGGATCTTATTTGACGTGTTTCACTTACCCGCTTTAAGCGTTTAATTGTTATACACAGAGAGAAAAAAAAAACGAGCACCAGCTATGTGGCTGTCAATTATATGCAAATTGCACACAGAAAACTATTCACAAAACAATTCACGCGCGCGCTTTAATCAAAACTTGCACAGACACACACACACATGCACATGCCAAGAAACACACACACACACAGGCAAATATCAATCAAAAATAGCGCCGGCTAAATGCATGAAAGACACACAATTTTTTCTTTCTCGTATTTTCGCGCAATCAATTTAGTAGTTAGTTTTGGCATGCACAAATTGTTTAACACGCGCTTTAGTCTCGTTATTCGAAATACCGTTAAGTGGTATAGAGAGCGACGCGCTCACACGCTTACTCGTTTTGCCTGCCGACGTCGTACTGAAGCGAATTTGTGTGCGACAAGTGCTTAAGAATCGACGCCATCGAATGCATTCCACATGCACATGCGCCGGCGCCATGGGCCGTGTGGATGTCATTTGGAAAACAAGCGTTGCACGTTTCGTTTCGTGTTTTGTATTATTTGAATGGATGGCCAGCGCTAAAAAACTTTGTAGCGCAAATAACATTTGATTTTGGGTGCCAAGCAAAATACGGGATTTCAATTATGCACACAGCTGTGAAAAGCGGGTGGGTGGGGGGATATGATGGCCAGAACTAGTCTTTGTTGCTGGCATTTTGAATGCGTCGTAAGCTGAAAGCTACTTCGTCTGCTGCTGCTGCTTCTTCTTCTATTACTTCTACTTCCACTTCCACTTCCATTTCTACTTCTATTTCAAGGTATGCAATTCCTCTGTAGGAGTTGTGTCCATTTTCATGGACAAGGATTTAGTTGCAAGCAAATAGAGTAAACAAAATGCTATTGGCTGCAGGTTGCCAGATGTGCTTGCCACACACTTGTTTGTGTGTGGGTTTGTGTGTGTGCTTTTGTAAGAGGAACGTGATCTAAGCTTCAGCATTTGCATGTGCTGCCATCACCCTTTTAAATACCCACTTTTTAGAATTCAAATCCGTTAGCAGTTGCAACGCAGCGAAATAGTTATTGATTGTCATATCTACACTTTAAATTTTTTGCTAGGCACTGCGTCTTTTGAACTGTGAGACACTGTATATTCATTATTACAATTTATATAGTTTTTATACTGTTGTAGAGGTTAGTATAATTGTATAGTGAAGTTTGTAACCAGATCCCATAAAGTACGAAGTATTCTTGATCAGCATCATTAGCCGATTTGATATAGTCAATTTATGCCTGTAACTCCGTCCGTCTGTTTGTTTCTATTTGAACCAGCACCCCAGTTTTGAAACTATCTTGATAAAGATTTAGTAAATATCCGTAAACCTCTTTGTTTGAAAAGTAATCCCAGCAAATCTTTTACAATATGCATTTAATTATGCTCCCAACACTTGTACCAAAAATCATGAAGATCGGATTGCTATAAAATATAACTCTTATATGACTACAAAATTATCAACAAAAATATAACTCTTATATGACTACAAAATTATCAACAAATTAAATGTAAGCAAGGGTATTCATTTTTCGGCTTGCCTCTGCCAGCCGTTCTTAATAGTTTTTCTCATATTTCCATGCTTATAATCTTGATTTCTTAATTTCGACATAAATGTGGCTTAGATTGTAGATTTTCGTATGCAACTGGCATCTACAACAGGACTTCAGCAAGTCCTGCAATTTGGCACACCTTGCTGGCAGGCTGTAAGCCCCCCACAGCTCCCCCTCCAACGCTCGCTGTGGCAATTTCAGAAGTTGCATAAAATGCGTGCAGCAACTGTTGGCTGTCCTAATACAATTTCAATGCACATTCAACCACTCAACGCACAAACTAATACCATTCTATACAAGTATATATGCATTTGCATATATACAGACATATATAGGTATATTATGTGAAGATGTGTACACTCAAAAGAAATATCGACCACATTTTAGAAATTCAGGCTTATTACTTTATCACTTTGGAAAACCGGGTTTGGAGCTGTTAAGTTCAAGAAACTTGTCTAGGAATCATGGTTTGCCTTTATACTTCTCAGAAATGCATTTACACAAGAAAAGTAATAAATATTTAATATTTATTACAAGAAATATTTTCTTATTACTAAAAAAATGTTTAAAAACCAAACCACAAACCTTTTCTAGTGTTTTCTCTGAGTGTATGTAAAGGTGTGTGCGTGAATGTATTGGCAGATGTGCGCCAGTAATAGCCAACGGAAGTAATTGAATTTTGTGCAAACGAGTTAAAGGACGATTGCCGGCAATCGCAGAGCTCGATTTATTTTGTAGCATTGTTGTTGCATGAGGCAAAACGGTTCAAAACGGTTAAGCAGCTGAGTGTAGCTGCTTTAAATGTTGCTTTGATGTTGACCTAGGTGGAGGGACGCGGAACTGTGAACTCCTTGGGTGCCCATTGCCAGCAACTTATCAAAGTCGCATCAAACCATAAATCGCCGGCTGCCCAATTGTCACGCTCAGTCAAGGAGCTGCTCAAGCGCCGCTAATTGCCCAGGACACAGTACGAACAGGACACCCAGACAGAGACAGTCAGACAGACAGACAAACAAGCTAGCCATGGCTATTGATGACACTATCACTATCTTCAACAATGGTCAGACGCCGCCGCTGTTTGCCACCCTTCCAAACAGGTGGTCCGAAACAATAACAGCAACAACAAGTTTTCGTCCTGTGGCCGCATCTCAGTTTATTAATGGGCTTCGACATTCAGCAGACCCATAAATCACCTGCTAACAAATCAACAACAGACCATAAGCTTTATCAATGCCCATTCAAACTATAATTTGAGCGGTAATATTTCAATTGCAATTGCAAATCAAAATCAACCTGCCAATAGTAATCTATTATATTACATATTAGAGTCTTTTATATAGTAATTAGATTTTACAGACTTTGCGGGCCCTAGTAAAAGTAAATCTTCACATTTTCAATAAACCCCAATTCAAGCTCAAAAAAGATTTTCACTTTTCAACTTGTTACCGTTTAACATTCGTCGACAATTCGGCTGGATGTTAAATACCCTGACACGTTTCGAATAAATTGCAATGGGATCGTGTAGCAAAAAGTGATTTTGCCTGACATATGAGTTTATTGCGTCTCTCGACACGCGCCAACAGCCAGGTGAAGTTCTTCCATCTCTCCATCTATCTATGTATCTAGTATCTAACGTGATTGGCATTGCTCCACACACATGACCATTCCGCCGACAATTACAACGCATTTTGTTTGGTCTTCATATGCTTTTTTTTTCTCTTTTCTTTTTTTTTTAGTTGCATGCAACTTGCAAGGCTTCACTGAGCTGCTGGCTAATAGCAGCCGCGTGACAAAATGTTTTTGAAATTGTCCAGAGACAAAGTGTGGGCATATAATGCTGCCCAGCAGCTATGTTTCCAATCACGACTGTCATTTTCAAAGTTTAGCCAAATGTTATCGCATTTGAGGCACACACACACACTCACCCATTATTATATGGCAATACACACTTGACATATACACACACTAATTGCACACACACGCCGCATTAAAGTTTTCGAGATAAAACGCAACGCCGTTGGCCACTCTTTGAGATTAACTCGATGCTTTGCATGATGGGGGTGTTCCGAGAATCAGAAACGTCAATTTAATGAAGGAGAATAGGTAAATAAACTTTATAAGAGTCCAGTTGTATGAATAAATATTATTTGTTCATTTAGTATCACAACGCAATCGAACCAATTCACAAACTTTACCAAAAAATTTGCCCTTCACCTGCTAAAATCCGAACCGAAATATTTGGTTTGGAACCCTAATTCAATGTGATTGCATATTTCTTAGAATTGTATTGGACTAAAATTTAAGATAAATAATAAATTTAGTATAAAAAATAAATAGTCACAACTTATTTATCTTTTTCTTTAAGAATAAATTGAACATTTAAAGTCTGATTCTATTATGGTTTAATTAATTTAATAATTTATAGCTTTTCTGTGCAGCTCATAAACCTATGGCTGGCCTTAGTAATTAAATATTAATAATTATCAAAAATTAGCTTAAGAAACCCTAAGTTAAGGCCTTATCTGATTTCCCTTATTCGATCAACAGTTTTAGGGCCCAACTTAGCCAAGTTAGCAAACAATTTGTAATAACAATTAACTTCAAACGAAGCTCAATTCAAAAACTTTGAAATTTACATGGCTATTTTTGGAATACATGCGTGTGTTTTTATGCCACCCCCCTGCGTAGTGTCGCGGCCTCATCGCAGGACTAACATGACCCAAACGGTACTTGCACGCCATTTTGTATGCGGTCGCACGGCGAGCTGGGCGCATGTTTAAACATGATTAATTCGTGTTGATAAACAGTTATTTTAATTAATCGCCAGGTGTCGTTGCCTTCGCGCGCCTTGCGTGATATTTCTCTCAGTGTATTTTGTGTAACACATTTAATCTTTTGCTCATTTTTTTTAACAACATTTAAATTTAAATCAAGTGGATTTGTTGTTGTTTGCCTGCATGCGACAGGCAAAAGGCGACTAACTAATTGCTATGACATTTAGTCGAGTCGCATAAATTGCAAAAATGCCAAGCTGTGGCTAAGAATGGCAATCATGCATTTATCATTTAAAGCACAAAGTCCAAAGAGCCGCTGGACCAAAAAGGACCAAAGGAGCCGAGCCGAGTCGAGGACAGGTGTAATCAAGAGCCAAAGCGAACTTTATCTGAAATTAAAAATCGCTTTTACATAAATTTTGTCAGCACTTTGCCAATACGAATATACATATACCTATTCATATACATATACATATACAAATTTATACAAATATATATATATAGATGTTTGAGTTCAGTTTTGCATTATATTCTCAATACCAAAAGGGAACTTTTGAATGAAAGTCAGTTGCAGCTAACAACAAAATTTGACTATAATTAAAAGCTGAAACTAGTTTTCGCTTAAAACATGTTGCCTCACCAAATAAAACTAAATTAGAGTTGGCAAAGAACTATTGTTTAGATTCGTCGAACTTTTGGCTTCTTTTGTTTGCAAGTTTTGTGTAACTGAACTTTTCTTTTGCTGGCCATGTTTCTGTATTTTGTATTGATGTTTAATTAATAAGCCAGAACCCCACTAATGGCATGTTTTTGCAATAATTTTGTATATAGTAATTTTTGGTTTTATTAACTATAGCTTAAAATTCTCATTTAAATTCTGTTTAAAATTCGCATCAAGTTTAAATTTCAAATGAGCAAACACCTGCCACACTGTTAGACTGGCGCCATCTTTGGTTCATGGGCGCAAGCTTTTAATAGCTTTTTCATTTAGCATGGACACAACCCTGTGTGGCAAATGTGTCCAAGCTTAATAAATGAAATTCAAATAAAACACTTTTAATCTTGGCTAAAGGCTAACTGTTTATAATAATAATGTTTATAATAATAATAACAATACTTCAAACTGTTTATAAAGTATATCAAGTACACTTTATCAGCTTTAATTACAAAAACACACACTTTCATCTACATAATAAAAACACATTTGTTTGTAATTTATTGTGCAAAAGTTAAAAGTACTTAATCATACATTTCTACATAAAACAGAATATATATATATATATAAATATATATATATATACTTATTAAAAGCATAGCTCAGTTTTAATTTCAATCAATTATAATAATATATATATTAAATGCTTCAAAGTAACAAATTCGTATCAAAACATAATTATCGTTGTTTTTCTTGTTTTTGTGCACAAAACTCCGCATGAAAAGCAACAAAAACAATATTTGAATACCAAAAGAAAACAATAGGATATATATGAAATCCAAAAATACATTTAGTGTATATTAATTTTTAGCAATCACATTACTGGCACTTGTTACGTTGAAGCAAAATTCCCTTTCAATATTTACTTTTCTTTTCGGTTTTTTGATTTTTTTTTTTTGTTTTGATTGTTTGTAAAACACACAGATGAAATTATTTACTTTTGTTTAGGATAGGGACTTGAGGGCGTTGGAGTTTGGGAGCTCTGGAAGATCTCCATCCTCTACTTGGAACCCAGATGCAGCTTGCCCAGCAGCTGTGTGGCCTGCTGTCCAGCGCTGTCCTGGGCATGAGTGGTCGCATCATGGATGTTCTTCTCGAGTCCCTCGCGCTTCTGGTCCACATACTGATTGGCCTCATGCATCTTCTGATCGACCGCCTGGCTGGTCTGCTTCATGGCTCCATCGATGGCACCCTCGGCCTGCTTCAGCTTCTGATCGGCCACAGATTCGGCGGCCTTAACACTCTTGTTGATCGCCTCGTTGGCCGCCTTCTTGGTCTGATCGACGGCATTGGCAGCGGCACGTTGCGATGCCTCTGCCACATTGGCCGCAGCCTGCTTGGAGTTCTGCACAGCGGTGGCAGCCTGACCCATAGTATGATCAACAGCCTGTTTCGTCTGATTGACGGCGCCGGCAGCACGATTGACGCCCTGATCAATCACCTGGCCAGCCTTCTGAGCCTCGGCAGCAGCCAGAGCAGCAGCATCCTTGGCTGTAAAATTAAATAAAACCGGAAGTGAGGCAAAGTTCTGAGAGTTGACCGAGCCCTAGGTAAATACTTGAACTAGACTTAAGAAAGAATTGCCATAGTTTGAAAACCAACCTGAATTTCTGATATTATTAAACATTTTTGTCAAGCTTTCGAAATGCATTTTTTGATAGTTAAAAACACCTAAGTGTATTCTAAAATTGTGTGGGTGATTTCTAAATCGTTTTTCTTATTCATCTTCTATTCTTTGAGAAATTATCAAACATTTTTCATATTAATTTTTGCACTTTTATAAATTTTGCAAAAATGTACTTTCACTTCAAAAATGAATCATTTTTTTTGGCTATTTTCTAAATGCTAGATGCACATTTTTTTTGTGTGTAGTTAGTTACCTGTGCTTGTTGCCAGTTGCTCGGCCTCGTGTTTGGTCTGCTGCACGGATTGGCCGACCTTCTTGGCCTGCTCCTCGGCCATCTTCTGTGCCTCGACAGATTTGTCGCTGGCCAACTTCTCGGCCTCGTCCTTCTTCCTGCTGAACAGATTGGCGGTCTTGTCGCCAAAGCTCTTCAGGGACGCTGTCGAATAGAAAACAAATGTCCTTTATTAAACTGCATAGCGTACTTTGGTTAGGATTTTCAACATTTTGGTTGCTGGCAACTGGGTAACATTGTGGCTAAGCTTTAGACAGTAAACTGAATGATGTGCGAGACTCCGATTATAATTTATAGTCCGATCTTACGGAGGCAAGCTTATAGATCCGATTCGTAAATTATGTAAAATTCCGAGACTTTTGATTAATTGCCGAAACATAAACAAAATGCATCCATCGAGCGTGAACTAATCAGATTGTAATTACATGCCATGACTGATTTCTCAACTCGGGGTGACAGTTTCACATAATAATTATATACTATATATATATATATTATATATTATATATATATTATATGTGTACTACTGCGCAATTTGTGGCGCCCAATTTGGATGCGACATCAACAAATTTAAAACGCATTAGATACTATACGTAGTACTATATGTATGTGAGTAGAAAATCAACAAGTGTGCTGTAATCACAAGTGCTGGACTAGCAGATACCCTGCTTAACAAAAGCATGCCAAAACCAAAATGATAGTAAATATATATATATATTCAAATGCTAGAAAAGATTGTGGAAAGATTCTTGGAGTTAAACTGTTAAAGTAGAGCATGCCAAAAAAATTTATACATGTATATATATATATATATATTATAGTGTGCATAGTCGACCCTGGCATAAGGTTAGCTCATTGTCCAAGGTCAATACAAGAGTTGACTTTTGCCTGACTAAAACGATGACTAACTTGGCAACGAGCCCAACGAGTTGTGTGTCCTGCAAAACACGAATGATGTCATTTGCAACAGCGAAGGGTATACAATCAATATCAATAATATAGAACTCACAGGTCTGACTGAGACAGGGTTTAGTTTACGACTTTTACTACTATTTCCAATCAGATCAAAACAGTTCTATGCCAGAGAACTACAAGTCATTAAATTGACGACAGACTTACACAACTGCAAGCTATTTGTATTTAAATATATATTACAAGCTAAAGAAAATAAAAAACAAATCAAAGACTCTCTAATTTATTTAAATTATGTACTCAGACTAAAGATGCTTATAAATTGTAATCTAAACGTAGAAGATTATCTAGAATGCGGCTAGCATATCTTAAGTGTGCTGTGTAAATTCTCCACTTAATTTCTTCGAGTGTAACTATTGTTGCCCTTCCGCTCCCCAGTCACGCGTACAATCAAGTGTTCAATTAAATGCATAACCCCAAACCTGACCCACAAACCCAGCGAGCGGTGCCAGTCAGACTGACGGACCAAATTGGACAAGAGCAGAGCAGCGCCTCAAGTCTTGTTCCGCAATCTTCCGGAACGATGGAACTCGATGGAGTCATGCTGGCGGCAAGCTAATTGAATTAAGTCTGGACACTTGGGAATACCTCATTGGTATACACATATCCCTCAGTGATATTCCCAAGCGGTAAGGTGCCAAGTTGGTCACGGCTAATGGATTTGAAGAATGCACGCTAGGAGAGCATAAGATTAAGGAGAAAGGGAGATAAACCATTTCATAACTGCAAATAGAATTTACTTAATTATACTATAATTAAAAATAAGTTTTTTAAGAATTCAAAGACAAGTAAATTTCATTTCTGATTGGCATTTCAACTTTTTAGAAATATTAACTATTTTAAGAAATATATTACTGAAAAATAGCCTCTCTTATTTTAGGACAAACATTTTCTTATATTCTTTCTAAAATTAAGGCGATTTGCTTAATTTGCTGAGTGCATAAAATATACGAGACACAAGTGAATTTATACGAAATTTGCCAAGTTAAGCTCTTTTGAGCACTGAGTTCGATGAGGTCAGATCGATTAAAAGACACTCAAAGTTGCCAGCAGCTATACGAAAATTATACTAATCAAGGTACAGAGTAATATATATTTAATGCTACCCACTTGGAGACACTTTGCACGGTATACAAAAGAATAATAACAATTATAACTTAATAAAAATGAAGAGCGTCGGAAGCAGAGTCGCTGCCACATAGCTGCATTCCCATAAAGTGACGTGTGCGTTCACTCAAATAGAAACATTGTGCCATTAACAGCCACACACAGTGGCACACAATCCGCTCGATCCGGCAATTTTCGAGCTATATAGCATGGCATACCAAACGAACTCGGTGTGTGTGTATAATTGTATCTGTGTATGCTGCCTTTATGCATATAAAGTAAACAATGCGCAAATATTTGAATAATTTACAGTATGTGATGTCATAATGGCAGCCAGCATGCCATTTTATTTGAATAGTTTTTCAGCCAACTTGTTCACGCTTTCTTCTCGCCGCAGTTGGAAAACAAGTGTTTATCCATTTACTACAACTAATGTCTTATCTTAAATTTAGAACTTATATATTGGAACAGAAAGCTGAAGATGTTTATATTTGGTTAGCATTTTTTGTTTTTGCCCAATTCTTAATTGGCATTTTGATCAGAACTTGGCAAAGCAACTGATATTTTATCAAATTTGGTAGAAACGCAAAAATTATGAAGAATTAAAGTGATTATATATCTGATTGTTTGATTGTTCTGGGAAGCTGACTTGGTTGCATTTCGTCAGCCTGAAATAAAGCGACACGTGTAGCCAAAAAAAATTTACAAATATTATGTGTGCAAATATTTATTGTTAAACATAAGAAAGTTTATCAATGTTTCTCAAACGAATTGAGAAAATGCTACCAGCAATGAGTAACATCTTATAGAGAGAGAGAACATTAAGAAATGAGTATCGGTTAGAATAATACTGTGGTAAAGATGAAATAAATTGAATGCGATGTTTCACAACAAATTGAAATTGTGTATAAACAACAATGAATTTGCATCTAGCATGCAGTACAGTAAAGTATAAATAGAATGGAAAGCATGTGGTGAGCACAGCCAGAAGGAAAACTTAGCCGCCCCATTAAAATACCAAATTCGAGACTCATGCTCATATATCAGAGCAATCAAGTGGCTTTCTTACCATTTGCGTAATAGTACGACGCAGATTGTCAGATACACATATCTATATATATATATATCTATATATATATATATATGTTTATATTTCTGTATGCTGGCTGGCTGTGGCATGCTGTGGTCAATAATAAAGCAAAACAAAAAACCGGCTAGAATGCCATAACATGGCCATAAAGTAACACAATAAGCCACAGAGCTAGAGTCCCAGAGAAACAGACAATCGCAGAGAGACTCACAGCTGTTGATGTTGTCTTTAGACTCTCATCTATATGTACATATACATATATATATATATATATAAATATATAGATAATGCGCAGAAGCGCTTAACGCAAAAAAAAACACATAGGTAGAAAAATAAGTAAAACCTGTACTCAAGACCAACTGAACTCAAGCGCAACAAACGAGTATGTGTATTGTATCTCCATACAACTACAGATACATATGTATCTTTTATAGTTGTGTAGTTGTATGGGTGTATTTTTTTCCGTTTTTCGTCGTTCTATGAGTAAGCCGCCAGCCAGTTTGGGTCACAACAAAACTCACGTTCCACACACAAGCTTTTCTGAGACCCTAAACAACAAAAATGCCGGCTATTCTCAGCACTCATTTTAGTTACGAATCGATGAACCGCTTCAGATGCTGCTGCTGCTGCTGCTGATGATGTCATATCTGTATCTATATATGTATATATATGTAGAGTGGAGCATACGACGTGTGGACTGACACAAAGAATCGTGCTGAGAGCAATTCGAACGCCCAACTAATTTGTTTAGCTTAAAGTTAACTCATTGTCGAAGGTCAATACCAAAAGACAAATTACGACTGACTTTTCACTGTTGACTGTTGACTGTTGCCTGGCTAAAACGACGACCAACTTGGCAACGAGCCCAACGACTATCGTATGTCCTGTAAAAGGCGAATGATGTCATTTGCAACAGCCAAGGGTAAATCAATATTTATACAACTTACACAACTTTGACTGAGACAGGGCTTTTATACGACTTTACGGTAGGCGAAGGGTTTCCAATCAGATCAAAACACTTTTATGACAGAGAGATCAGACTTACACAACTTGCTTGATAATGGAAACTATACAAATAAAATTCACTATAATAAATCGAATATTCTATTTGTAGAGATCTTGAAGAAATTTCTTTATTTAGAAAATTGATGTGATAAAGGCCGCTAGCTTCTTTTATTTATATTCTATTCTTATTCTTTATTTTTCGTGTTTCATTAGAATGATTCTTTGTTGTGCAGCTTTCTACGCTTTAAATATTAAAAGCAGCTGCCCACAATAAATAATTCGATTAGATCGCAACAAATGCAAATGAATTGATTTGTTTAGAGAGGCACCTAGAAGGATTTACAACAGCTTATCGGAAAATACTATTAGTTTTTAGACAGAAAGGTGGGTCGGAAAACTTGCAGATTGAATCATTATTAGGAGTATCTTTTGCGCATGCAGAGAGCTGATTTATAAGTTTGGGAGGAATCGAAGTCATCGAATTGAAGAAGGTGTAACTCCAGCACCAATTGAAGGAGGAAACACATCAGCGACAGTTGGAGAAACTACAGTTGGAATTTCTACTAATACGGGAAGTAATTTCTGCACCTGTCGAGGGTGATGGTGAAACTCCTGAGCCTGTTGAGAATGAAGGAGAAATCTATCTATTATCAACTCTAACAAAAGCAGCCGATGAAAAGAAATCCGAATTAAGTCAGAAATCCGAAATATGATCAGAAGGTGCAGCAGCATCCAAACAATCAAAACCAGCTGATGCTGATCCCGGCTGACAAAGCAAGAGAAACGATACCAAGTAAAAATAAGATTACAGCTAATGAAGCAATCCCAAAATCAAATGAGTTTTTATAATCGAATTTCCGATGCACAAATAAAACGCCACAGATCACGCTTGGCAGCTGTACAAATAAGACAATTTTATAATGTCAAATTACTATTGGATGGGGTGTGGTTGTTGTTGTTGTTCTTGTTATTGTAGTGGTTGTTGTTATTGGTATTGGTATTGGTTGTTGATGTGGTTGTTGTTGTTGCCGCTTTTGGTGTTGGGGGCATAAGGAAATGTTCTGTCTACTGAGCTACTGATAGTGAGAATGCATGCTATTTATAGTGTTGAGAACAAAAATTAAATATATTTGTACACTTAAAAAAATTGTTCTTATAAACACAAGTTTGCTTAAAAAATCTGTTTTCATTACAAAAAAAAAAAATCAACTAGTCCAAATTGTAGTTCAAATTATTTGTACAATATTTTCGTTAGTCGAAAACAATTTGATATGTTTTAGAATATTGTTTGAAGTGTAGCTACTTTGTGAAATTTCTATAAGATTTGTAAGATATTTGCTTATATTTACAAAATACAACGATTTTACTTACATTTCGAAGCATCTGTTTGCATTAAGTTCAAAACAGAGAACATACATATGTAAATTTAAAAAATATATATATATATTTTCATCATATTGTCTAAGGGAAAATATCATGAAATTTACGCTGCACTCTTTTCGAATTTATTTCCCAAAACAGAAAATCAGAAAAACGCAAAAGAAAAGAAAAGAATGGAAAGGAAAAACTGACAGTGAAGAATTTTTAGTAACGGAAATAGAGTCATTTATTTTTAGGGGCAAGTGAGTGAACGTAAGATGTACGCACTCTAAACTACATCAAAGACCGAATATAAATTTTCGAAAATTTAACACAAACAAAATAATTAGCAAAAAATTTTTGTCCAATTTTTTTTTTTTTTCGATGAACACACAACACACAAGCCAATAATGACAAAAATTAAAAAAAGAAACATAAATTTGTAGAAAAGTATCTAAAATATGTGTTTAGATGTATACTAGAAGTTTTTTATGAGATACAGCTCTAATTCAAATACATATACATATACACTGTATGTGAGTATGTATGTATGTATGTATGAATGTATGGATGGATGCATAGTCATCGCATCATATTGGGTGTGGGTTGTGTGTTGAGAAGAACAACTGTTAGTTCTGTATATATATATATATATATATATATATATATATATATATATTTAGGCATATACATATAGATATATATATATCCAGAGGCAGTCGAGTACTGCGCCATAATTGGCTGACACTGACGTATCATCATCATCATCGTCGATGTATATCATCATCATCATCATCATGATTGTCAAGCGCTTTACAAGTAATTGTAACAGTAACAGACAATTAAGTTAGTCTACTTATTGCCACCACTACTCCTTTCTTTTCTTTTTCCATTTCTTTTTTTTCTGACGATGATGTAATTCTATTATAATCCTGTGCAATGCAGTCATAGGTTGGGTTGTATTGACAAAAATAATTCCCACACGCTCCTCACATTTAATTTAAATTCTTCAAAATGTGTTCGAGTTTTGTTGTTGCTGCGCACATACCACACTTTGCATATTTAATTAGGCAATACAATACCGTATATGGAAAATGTCTCTTAATTTTCTAATTCGAAATGAAACTTTCACAAAAAAAACAGCTGGAACTACGTGGTTTTTTTTACCTGTAAATGAGCTGAACATGTTGATTTGAATATGTTGATTATTCTTGTAATTAACAATTGAACTGGATAACGTTCAATAAAACTTTGAATTTGAATTTGAATTTGGAGTTGAATTTGGAGTTGAATTTATAGATTTGGAGTAAGCTAATTTTAGTACGTAGCGCGTTTATATTTCAAACGTTCCGACAGCGTCGACGACACAAAAACGAATAAAGTCCAAACGAAAGAGTCTGCTTGGAAAATGTTATTGTTTGTGCTGCTGGTGATTCTTGTGGATCGTGTGTTAACTGCACTCAAGCGTTAAGTGCTTGCAGCGTTGCCAGATGCGCAAAAATAGATTGAACGCGCTTACAGGCGTTTGCTTGGCGTTTGTCAGTTACTGTCGAGTGCTGCCAGATGAGTGTATTTAAATTGTTTGAAATTACTCGCAGCATTAAATTAAACGTAGCGAATATGAAATGCCTTGTCTGAAAATGGTTTTTGTTTCTTACCGGTGGAATTTGTGCTTGTTTTACATTATTATCTTAGCAGATCGCTGTTATAAGCAAAGTACATTTAGCTAACGGCCACAGTAGTCATGCAACAATTTTTATTGTATACTTTGCGGCATCACTGGCAAACAGCATTGATTGATTTGTGTTGCATACTTTAAGGACTGCCTCAAAGCGAATCACAAGGACCTACTTCATCGAAGCGTATTTAATGAAATATGGGGCCATCTAGGAACCCAGACACTTGTCAAAATTTCATCGCAGGTCGAATGGCTTTGAGTCGAACTCACAAAATTCTTGTATTCTCAAGCTCGACTACATTTGGACTGCTAGTAAATAAATCACATAAAAAAAGTCTTTTTTAATTTTTAACACTAAAGATTATTAAGTGTATATGTGTGTATGACTATCTATAATTTATTATATATATATATATATATTGCTTAAATAGTCAGCCTAACTACTTAACACAATAGTCTTTGCGCTGTTGTCGAATGACTGCATTCAATTTGAGGCACTGTTGCCGCAGCTGATCATTGTCAGTCTTTAGCACCTCAATGGTCTCCTCCTGCCGATGGATAGTGTGATGTACCCTGGATAAAGGAATAAAGAAATTGATTAACTGTGAGATAAAATATATATTGCAAAAAATTTGTTTACCGTTTTTGTAGCTGATCCATTTCCTGTTTGTGTCGCTCGTTGAGCAAACCCAACTCATTTTGTATGTCTGCATTGAGATTGTCGCGTAGTTTATCGCGCTCGTTGATGAAATCGCCGCACATCTTCTTGCTGTGATTGAGCTCCAGCTGGAGCTGTTGCACCTCCGCCTGGCCATTGCGCACTTGGGCATCCGCCTCGGCCAACTTGCCGCGAATCTCTGCATACTTTTCCCGCAGCGTTTTTTCCACATTCTCCGCCACAGTTAAATCCTTTTCGTACTTCTCCTTGAGGCGCCTGTTTACCAATTTGATTGTGTTAATATCGATTATGTTTATTATATTTGATCTACTTGCATCATTTTTTGTTCGTGTTCCTCGTTGCTTTGCAGGGCATCCGCCTCCATGCGGACGACGAGCTCATCCAGCTGGCGATCGCGTTCCATGCGATAGTGTTGCCTGATGGCATTCTCCTTCTCCGCCTGGTTGAGCTTCATCTTGTTCTCGTACTCCGATTTCCACAGCTCGAAATCGGCTAGATATTGCTGTTCGACTGTGTTGATGCGATTCTGATACTTCTCCTCCTGCTTGGCCATTTTCTCCTGCATCTCGAATTTGGCCTGCTCCAGTTCGCTGTCCTGTTCCCGCTGCGCCTCCTGTCGCTTGGCCAGATGATCGCTCTCCTTTTGCCGCAGCTCCGACTGGAGACGCTCGCGTTCCGTGGCAAAATCATCGGCCAGTTTCTGTCGCAGTTCCGCCTGCGTTTTCTGTTCCTCCTCCAGCTGACGTTCGAGTCGCTCTCGGATCGCTGTGCGCTCCTTCTCAATGATCGTCTCACGATCCTGGGCACAACTCTCGCGTATGCCGTTCTCAATCTGCTCGTGCTTCACGCGCGCCTCCTCTAGCACGTCCAGCAGTTGCATCTGATGCGAACGCTTCAGTTCCGTCACCTCACGCTGATGATCGCAGTTCATCTTATTGATCTCCGCCTCCAGACCCTTAACGGTCAGCTCCTGCAAAGGAAAGTAGTTAGAGATAGAGACATCCATTTCTGGCCACGCCTCCAGTGTACCTTAATTTTCTTGGTATTCTCGCGCACCCAGCGCTCCCGTCTGATTTTCTCGCCCGCCATTGTCGTCTCCTTGGTGCGCGTCAGTTCCGTCTCCAAGCGATGCTCCCACGCCTGATTCTGGCTCTCCAGGCGTCGCGTAAGCGCTGCTACCTTCTCACACAGCGAACCCTTATCCTTGAGCAGCTGCTCAATGAAGCCCTGATGCCGGGTGACCACCTCCTCGTAGTGTTTCTTTTGATCCCGCATTTTGCTCGAACTATTCGATTTCTCGGCGCGCAGCGATTTCTGTTTCTCGCTGCGCAGCTGGACAACATGCTCCTTGGAGAGATGTATGGCATTCGCCAGCTCATTCGCACGGAGACTGAGAGCAATGACGCGACGCGCCAACTGATGATTGGGCAGCATCAGCAGCTCCGAGAGTCTGGTCAGCAGGAGAATTAAGCAGGATTAAGCACCATATAAGTTATCTTTAGGTAGAGTATAATTTGACTCACTTGGGCACCTCATCGGTGATATCCGGCTCGACGACAAACTCCACCTCGGAGCGATTGCTGTCCGGCATGGAGCGTCGTGTCTCCATCAGCGTTTTGTCACAGCTGCTCTCCACATTATTCAAATAAGCTAATATGTCTCTGGAAAATATATAAGCCAATATTTTAAATTTGACTAGAAAAATTATGTGAATAGCAAAAATCCTACTAAAACCCCAAATCGGTCCTAAATGGAATAGGTCGAATGGTATAAGTAACCCTAAAGTATATCTGTAAAAGTTGCAGTTATCTGGGAAAAGGATTACTCCAAAATATATAAGACTACTACATACATTTGATACTTTTAATAATACTCTCAACTCACTTGTACTTATCCCCACTTTCTGTTGCCCTATCGCCATTTTGGCTGGTTGTTTCCGCTGTCTCGCAACGTGAATCCAGTTTTAGATTCAGCTCGCTGGGCAAACGCTCAGCAAAGTTGTCTGTGAAATGTTTATTTACTGATTCAACAAATAACCAACAAGACTGAAGCTACTTTACCTCGCTTCTTGTCCTCCTCGATCTCTTTGATGACGGACACAATCTCATCGTAGGTGGAACCCCTCGAGTCCGATAGCTGCGAGGCGCTATCATTGCCTTCGTCGAGCTCATCCAATCCCTGTTTGTGCAGCTCCTCAAACTGTGCCAGCGCCTGCTTCTGCTCCTGCATACTCATCCAGCTATCGACCTTGTCCAGATTATATTCACTCAATTTGCGCTCCTCCCGCAGGCTGCCAACGCTCACCACCTTCTTCAGTTTACCAGCTGCTATTGTTGTTGCAGCTGTGGTTTTTGAGAGAAATTTCAATTTGTTTGGATTACGGCTGGCTGGCTCAGCACTCGCCGGCTTAACATTCTCCTTCTTTTTGCCCACAAAGGGGGGCGTGGCAGCGATTTTTAAATAGTTATTGATGACAGCATCCGAGCTATTGCTATTGCCATAACTCCGACGATCATCCTGGACAACGGGCAGAAAATTGTTTTCCGCCCCAAAGTTACGTTGCGCCTCCGTGCGATAGGTGGCGCCAGTGCTGCTCTGAACCGAACCATTATTATTATTATGAGTTGTGCTCAGATTCTTTTCGGATAGATTATTTTGCTTGTCTCTGGCTTGGGCAGCATATTTATCTAGATAATTGGGCAGTTCTATGTTGTTCAAGGGTTCCTTGGGCAATTTGTCCACAGCCTGTTTATACTCCCTGATGACATTCAGTTCGGGTGTTGGCAACGGAAGCTCCAATTTGGTTTTGGACTCGGCAAAACGACAACTGGGCGCATCACAGGCACATTTGGGATCTGTGGCCGGTTCATTGGTGCTGGCCGTGGAGGAGGATCTGGTGCTGCACGTGCAATTCTCCGACGGACACTTGGGATACTCATACGTCTCGGCCAGCACCTCAACGCCGCCAGCTGCTGGTGAGCCAAAGTGAACGGATTTCTTTTGTGCACTTGTATCGCTGGTATCTACTTTGTTGCCATTGCCATAGCCAAAGCTGGGCAACGTAAGCGGACCCGGTGCCGAGATGCTGTTTCGCATCTCCTGCTTGTCGTTGTCACAATCGCTGGAGTCCGCATCGGGACCCAGCATTGTGCTCGGCTTGCTGAAGGACACGCGGCCCGGCAGATCCGGCTTAACGCTCTTCGCCAGCAGCGCCGCATTACTCAGGCTCGCCTGGCCACCATTGGACCAGTTGGAGCTGGAAGCATAGGATTTGGATTTGTCGCCGGCACCGTTCGGCATACTAACCAGAAAACGTTCCAGCTGCTCGCCCTCGCTGCTGTGCGGCGACTTCTGGGAGCAGTCCGACTGATCGTCGGTGGAAGAATTACAGGCGCTGCGGCACAGCCAGCTGCGCTTGATGGGCTCCTCCAGCAGCGACTTCAACAGATCCGTCGAGGATAATTGGCGCTGAAAGGGCGGAAATAGAGTCACTTGCGGTAGCTGCTACTTGCAACCCTATTTTCCATTCACAAGTGTGGATTTTCTACGATTTCACAAGCGTACTACTTCTGAAAATATGTTGCATGACTACACTCAGAAAAAAAGCTACCTTTTACTTAGAAATTCGCCAATACACTTGGTGCTAAGGCGCCAATAAATTTCATTACCTGATTTATTTGAATTTCTAAAACAAGAAATACTTTCTAGAATTCAGGCTGATTTCTTTTCTGAGTGTAATAACTGGAATATATTATCCACTGACTATACGCCTAAATGCATGGCAATCGGAAAATAGAGCTTCATATTCGCTGTACTCACGTTTTTGCTATGTCGCAGCTCCTTTTCGCCAAAATAGACGCTCAGTTTGCGTCCAAACTTGGGATCCGCCGACTGTGGTCGTCCCAGGAAGGGCGAGGAGCGACTGCGCTGCTGCAGAAAGTTGGCGGAACGTGGTCGAAAATGTGGCGTAGGATTATGGAGTGTGGTCAACGAGCGACTATTGTATTTGGCCTTCGATTTCTGTCGTGTGGCGAGGTTTATCTAGTTATGGATAGAGTTGCGAGTCAAATGATAATACTTCCAGCGAGAGAGAAAGAGAGAGAGTCCTGGACTTGAACCTACCTGCGAGCCCCTAAGACATAAATCCATAATAGCCACAACAAAAAAAAAATGAAATGAAATGTAGTACGCTCAGTTTTCACTTTTCAATCGGAGAGAGAGTTTTCATTTTCGTAGCCACACTGACAACGACGCCACAGCCAACTGATTCTGAATGTGAACATGGTCGGGTCGGGTTTGTTTTGGCCAAAAACCAAAATAAAACCCGCCCCTGGCTCAAATATCGATTAAACGCACATTGCGACCCGGGGACAATAGCAGATGTATTCACAATGTTGGTCAGCAAGTGCAACCCCCTAAAAAGTGCCTGGACACAGGACGTGGACATGGTTGCCATGGCTAACGTCACGCTCACTCAAGCACCACCCAATTATATATTTTTGTATATATATCCCTATATCACAGGTGTTTTCTAGCGGCACGTGTTTCATTTCCGATTCATGCACAATTTTTAAAAACTTGATGACATTTATAAATAATAAAAATGTAAAGATTATGACCACACCTCCGCCATCAATCAAAATCAATGAAATGCAGAACTTGTTGCCAACGTGCCAAAGCCAATGTTGGAAATTCATCATTTCATTTGAACGGAGTGTTATTATTAAAACTGAAACCAAGGACAGCAACAGCCGATTTGCCAGACAAAGGTCAAAGTACAATCGGATAGAAATATCACAAAAAGTACTTTTTTATTGAGTCATGATCTTAAAATCAATACCAACTGTGAATAGCGAACTTTTGTGCCAAAATGTAGACTTGGCAGAAAATGGACCTGCTTCTGTATGATTGAATTTTCAGGAATGAATTTCAAGCTAATCCAACTTTGAACATAGTTTTATTCATAAGGACAAACCATGATTAAATTTGATCACTTTTGACAAAGTTCTTACATTAATTTTGAATCATGGATCGTGTTTCTAACTACAAATGTAGCATTAGATTAGGTTATCTGTAAAAAAAAACAATTGTTTTTATTTTATTAATAATAATTTATTTAAATAAAGCAAATTGTTTGAAGTAAACATAGTTAAGTGCAGCTGGTCGTCAAATACACAAACTTCAAGTTTGGCGACAGCCTCAACAGTTGGCGCATACTGTGTGTGTGTGTGTGTTGTGTGAGTGTGTTTTGTGTGTTGTGTGTTGTGTGTGTGTGTGTGTGTGTGTGTGTGTGTAGGATACTGACTGATTGCGCAAAGCATAAAATTAAATTTGGCAACATTTCTCATAATGAACTTAGTGGCTAACACAAAATACACAATACATAGTTGAATGGTTTTTTATCTTTTCTCATATTTCCTTTTGATTAATAACAAATTGCACTAAAACGCCCCCAAGCGGACGGCAGCGGCACTTAATCCGCCCGGAGGACAGGCGTGACGAGAACTTCACCATTTTGTCCATCGTTCTGTATGTCAAACTTGAGTTTGCTCAACTCCTGCATCTGGGCATCCGCTGGCGACGCTGGCGTCGCATCCTTAAGGACCTGCACCTTATCCGGATAGTTATTCTCACCGCCACCCAACTCTTGGGCGAAACTGACAACGGTCTTGGGCTCATAGTTGACGCCGAGAGCGCCACTGGGATCGGGTGTGGCTACACTGGGCACATCGCCGCTGTGTCCATTTGTATGCGATATGGTTATGGATGAATCTTCTGTTGCCTGATTGCTGCTGCTGCTTGCTGGATTTGGATTTGGAGTAACAACCTCCACTTTAGCTTCTACGGCGGCGGGCGTGACTTTGTCGTGTTGCTCCTGCTCCACCACTGGCTCATCCGCCTCCTCCTCACCTGCTACAGCCTTGTTGACCTCTTCAATGGCCTTGGCTACATCCTCGGCTGCCACATCGTGCTGCTCCTGTGCATGTCCATTGGTTAGGGGTTGCTCCTGCTTAGTCTGCTCCTGCTCCTGTTCCTGCTTCAACTTTTCCTCCTGCTGTTTCAGCTGCTCCTTCTGCTCCAACTCCCTCTGCTCCTGCTCCTTCTGCTCCTGCTCTTTCTGCTCCCGCTCCTTCTGCTCCTGCTCCCGCTTCTGCTGCTCTTCCCTCTGCTGCTGCTCCTCTACCTTCGCCTTCTCCTGCTGCTCACTGTGACCATTGCTAAGCTGCTCCACGCTATGTCCATTCTGCACCACCTGCTGCTGCTGCTGCTGTTCCTCCTCCTCAATCTTCGCTGGCACCAGCGGCATTTCCAATGCTGGCACTATAGCCGGACTGGCCATTGTCTCGACAAAACTGGTGCGATTCGGTGAATCCGGTGAGATCATGACATGCGTAAAATAGCCACTGCGACGATTCTCAAAGTCCAGCACATTCTCCTTGGCCAGACGCTCCTGAATGCGTCGCTGTCGCCGTATAAACTCCGGCACATTGTCATCCGACTCGGCATCCGTTGACAGCGATGCCAATGGCTCCGCGGGCTGTGCACGTCGCAGCACCACCTTAGCGGCCTCATTGGACGACTCCGAGCTGACATTGCCATTGCCGTTGGCGAGCAAAGGTGAGGGCTTGAAGACGCCATTGAACTTGGTGCCGACCACAAATTTATTATTGTTGGCGCACTTGTAGGGATTGTAATTGTTGTTGGCTATCGCTTGTGGTGACAATGGATTCACATTGCTGTTGTCTTCCTCGGCTTTGGGTGAGTTACGTGTGGCAATTGTAAAGTTCGGTTTGCCATGACTGATCAACAGTTTGGTTGCCGGCGAAGGGCTCTTATCGCTGAGGGGCGAAGGCAAACCGCTGCGGATTTGTATGCTCGGCTTGTTGATGGTATCGGCCATGTTAACAGCTCCCTGTGCGTGTGTGTGTGTGTGTGTATGAGAGAGTGTTGTGTTTTGTATCTTAAACGCGCTTTTACTTTCCGTTCGTCACTAACGGTGCTTCGCCTCTGTTTAGCTGTAAATAAAAACAGCAGATGTTGCCAAAAACACAAAAAAAATGAACAAAAAATTAGTCAAATGCAAATTTTGGTGTTTTTTTTTTGGTTTTAGCCAAATCATAATCAAGCTCAATTTTGCGGTGAAAACGCAGCCAGAAATCAAATTTGTAAATTGGCCAAACGGAAATTATTATTGATTTTGGATTTTTTGATTATAGATCTACTGAATTGCGTTGAACTGCTTTCTTTAAACTATTCAGTCTTAAAACTCTTCTATTTCTTTTTTAGATTTACTATCGCCCCGGGCACATTTAAATATGAATCATCCTCAATAAATTTGATTAGCTTCACTTCTGGCAGCAATTATTCATCGTTTGTTGAGGGTCTGTTTTTTTTCGACTGTTTTTTATTGTTAATCAGCACTTGAATTAAATTCCCGATTGTTTGCTATTATATTGATAATCCCAGGCATTTATCAAATCATAAATAAGCAAATTAAAGCTGCAACTGATTTATAAGTTATTATTATTTATTAGATGATTGGAAAATGGCACAAAGTCCACCAAATAAATTTAAGAGTGCTTTAAACTGCCAATTTTAAATGCATTTCTAACATTGTAAATGAGCCTAATAAATTGTGAGTTTATACGACTATTAACCTGTTCAAGACTACTCCATTACATATTTACAAGCCTATAGAAAGGTGTATATTAAAAACAAGTTGGTGTGCTATAGTCGAGAGTGCTCAACTAGGCAATACTCTGAACCCAGTTGTTCTACGTTTCCTCTCCGATCTTGAAGTAGATCAATTATATTGCTATTCATGATCATGATCTGCGCGTGGTGAACGGGAACTTTTAAAGTCTCTGAAATTGGTTTCTTCATAAATCGACTCGTTTGTTTATATGTATATTGTATACTTCCAACTTTGCACAAGTTCAGTAAAACCTTTTACCCAAATTTATAGGGTTAATTTTATAGTACAACTTGTTCGCTCGAATAACAACTATAGATTTCAAGATTAGACTAGCGATTCCACAGAATTTGAACGGCTACAATAGAATTTTAGCGCTGCGACAAGATATCTTTACGATCATCCGTACGTCAGTTGTTTTTATGACCATGATTTTTCCTTAGGCTTATCAACTGGGGCGTTATATAACACTATGCGACTGTGCAGTTTTTGTAGCTTTATCTCAGCTCCATGTGCTATCAATCACATGGCAAACACTCTCAAAACTCATCAGTAATGCACAAGTTTTGCATTCAGTTATTTACTTTCGCCGGCAATTTGTCATTTTGTTTTCGCTTGTTAGTTTTTTCCGCCACAGTTTCACACGGCGTATGCGTAATTACGTAATGAAAAGCCCGTCCAGGGTCATCAAGTGGTCATTGTCGAAAAAAAATACAAAACCCAAATGCCATTGATTGTTTATAGAGCTATGTACTAGGCTTAAATATCAATTAGCTGGTAGTGAGCAGAGCAACCCGTGCAAATGACAAAGCCACATGGTTTTTGTTACGGCCTGGTCTAATTGGCAGGCGACCAGCCCACGACACAGATCGATCAAGTGCATGTGACCAACCAACTGGCTAACTGACTCAGTGACTATCTGGCTGATTGACTGGCTGACTGACTTTATATATATATACCTGTCTCTGACTGTTTGACCAACTGGTTTGCTTGCGTCTTATCAATATGCCACACATAAACACACACACACTCGATCACAACTGATATGAGTTTAATTTTGATGGCCAAAGCCCCTCCCTTTCCCGACAATTCCCCTATCTTATCCCCGATTTACAATGTCTGTGAGCAATTTAATTAAACACTGCACAATTTATGGAGTGCTGCATTGCAGCCAATCATAAATTCTATGCGCATTCAATTACTTAGCCAGAGGTCAGCTTCACAGTTTATTTGATTTGATTTTCAATTTTATTGCTCCACTTGTAATTGAACTTACTGTTCTTGGCTACACTCAGAAAAAAAGCAGGGCTTGCATTTCTACTTTTTAGGAATCCATTTCTTAGCAATGGAAAATATTTGCAGAAAAAAAGCAACATATTTTTGGGATTGACAATTTAGAAAAATACTTTGAGAAAAATGTAATGCAACTTTTTTCTCTGTGTACTGCTTGTTTGTTGCTGCTGTTGTTGTAGCTTGTTTTATGTCGTCTGGCTTTGGCAATTGCGACGCATCTAAATGAGCTAAATAAATGCCAAGTGCAACTAATTTTATTGATTGAGAAACTTGTTTGGACAGTTTAAACAGCAAATGTCGACGAAGTCTAAAATTAGCTTATAAAAGTTAAGTTATTTACTTATTTACATTTAAAATAGCTTCAGCCGTCTAAGTTTAATAAAAATCGAGCTTAATTATTCGAGTTATGCATTATTATTTACTCGTCATATGTTTTTTACTCAAAGTAACAGCTGAACCAATAGCATTATGAAATTAATCAAGTGCATTTCGTTTAACACTTCAACCTGTTGACACAGGTACCCTTGTACAGTGTTCACTGTACTTAAGCACCTTTACTTATGAACTGACTGAATTTGACTATTGCTCGATGAGTAAGACTGTATATCAGACTGAGCTCCGAATAGTGACATAGTGACTTAATTATTCAGTCCATTAAGTTGTTGAACGTGCCAAATAACCAGTTTTTATTTATCTTTTGCCCTCCCCAAAAGCCCATGACAAACAATTAAATAATGTGAAACAATTACACAAAATAATTTCAATTAAGCCAAACACAAATAAACCGCACAGAAATCTTATAGTTTTTGTACTTTGCCGACGGCGGCTTATTTTTACAGCTGTTTGATTTGGTTCTTTGTGGGTCGCTTTTATGGGTGGTTTCGGCGGCTCGCTAATTAAGCACAAATATGCAACGCAATTCGACGACAACTGTTTGCAGCAAAAATAAAATGAATTAAGCTGTACACATTTTGCACATTTTTTTCTTGTCGTTTTTTCTAATTTACGTCAAAAATAATATTTTGCCCATTATCGATTTAAGGGGGTCTACAACAGAAGCTGCACTTGAAAACACAAATTGACCTTGAAATTGGCATTTTTTGTGTGGAATATTTCGATGCTGAAGTTTATTTGCAGATACCCTGCAACTTTGGAAATGTGCTGAATGGAATACTTGTTCATAAAGGTAAAATAATACAACATCTTTCAAAGTATATAGGTTATTTTAAATGGATCTAGTAATTTTTTCTCTCCTCCATCCAATTATCTCTACTAGCTCTGTATACCCAGAATCCGTTGAAAAGGTAAAATGAAGTTTAAAAAATGTAACAAACAGAAAGAGACATCTGTGATCCCAATAAGTATATATATTATTCATCAGGGGTCGATATAACCGTGCCCTAGTTAATTTAGAATACAAGTTCTCACATTTTCAATTTTTCAATAATTTCCTCCGTTTAGACAATATCAACACAAAAAAATTAGCGATGGCAATTTAAGTAATAATTTTATAGATACATCTATCTTATTGATTATATAAATACCTTGACATTATGTTAATCATCTGCATAACTTAGCCTTTCTATATCTATCTACATGTACGCTCAAAAGACCTGACCAGGGTATCTTCTAATCGAGCACTCGACTAGAGCAATCATACTTGTTTACATTTGTATCTTAGAGGTAAAAAAAATTTGCATAAGGTGAGCGAGAACTGTGCCTAATTTGAATATTATACGCTGACTACAACAAATTGCACTTAAAAAAAACAAACTCTCAAGAATAGTTGTTGGGTAATTTTCAAGTTTATAAATAGTCATTGATTAATTGGCAAAAAATTAAATAAAAAAAGACAATTATGCACACGTATAAATATAGCATGGTGTATGCTTTATGTATCTGTAAGGTTTCCGCTTGAATATTGCTATTGAGCCAAACCAAGAAAACCGGCTTTTGTCCCAAGACCTTGGCTGTGAGGCAAAGAAAGCGAAAGCATTTACATTGTAGCCTCCTGATTTATAGCTGTAAATGTCAATTTGCAAATCAAATGCTAAAACCTAAATTTATAACCAATCAACTTTCTTATATTATTTGAAGTAACCCGTCCTATGATAATAACGCTTATCTAGCTCTCCATTTGGCCAAATTTAAAAGCTTTCAGCTATTTATGGGCACAGAAATGAAGCAAAAAAATGGTTGATTTTAGCAAAAAAAATCTGTTGAAAATTTGAGGTGTGAATTGCTAGTGTGACAAATGCCCCGAGACAATACAGAAAATACCAAAACAAAACCAAAAATAATAATAAAAAAAAAGCATTCCAACACAGCACATATTACGGGGCAATAAAAGAGACCCGGCCCAAGTCCCAGAACCCGAACCGAAAAAAATATATACTCAACGGCCATTCACATTCGTTCAAGTTTTGGGTTATTTCTCTGTCTTTTTGTTGCTGTTGTTGCGTGCGTTTGGTGCGTCTATCATTGGTAAATCAAATTGGTTACTTGGCCCCCTTTTTTATATATCTATTTTTTTGGCCTGAACGAGAGAAGTGTGTGCGTGTGTGCGTGTGTGTTGCCAAGTCTTCTGTCCGTATCTGTGTGAACTCTCGCACCGTCTCAAGCCGTGATATTGCCACAACAATTGCATTGAGTTGTTATATTTCATATTATTATTATTATTTTTACGAGTATGAGCATCTCAACTTGTCCCGCTTAGCTTAACTGGAAATTGCGCAGCTGCACTTGGAGAAATACGCTGATGTAAAATATATTTCTACTTTAAATAGACACATGTTTTTCTGTATATTTTTAAATTATTTTTAAGTGAATTGTAAGAACTTTAACATTACTACAAGCATTTTTGTGTAATTTGTTATAGTAATTAATTTCTGTGGTTGTGCCTGCTTTGGTCTCGATTTTTTCAAGGCATACGTGCATAATAATCTATTTTAAGGTCCATATATATACATATAGATACTGGAGTTGAACAGACACTAATCTTATCATGCCACTCATAAAGCGGCAAGAACTTTTTTGGCAACATACAAAAGCAACAACTGATAAGCCGCATCATAATCCAATAAATCCAACAAAAACAACAACAACTCAAGAATGTAATGTAATTTATTATCTAATCACATGATTAACGGCCTCGACAAGAAAGAAAGTGAAAACGCAATGCATTAAAAACCACAAGCATTAAATACAAAAAAAATCTACGAATACTTCAAGCTGGGTTCAAGGCACGAACCCATTGCACATAACGGTAAAAATACAGAGTTGCTTTTGCATGCAAGCCAGCGCAAAAACCCAAAAACAAAAAAGTGAAAACCATTTGCCGTTTAAATGCAGCCCAGCCAAACATTTAAATGGTGTCTGTGTGTGTGAGTATGAGTGTGTGAGTGTTTGTTTAGTTATATTCATATTACATTAGTCGCGTGAACTGTAAATTTTTGAGAAGAGAACGAAAAAATCGAGATGCTGCGAAAATTTACAGAAACACGACAATTGGCCACACTTTGGCAAATTTAACGGACGAACATCAAAATTTTTACAGTCACGCACAAAAGTTAAGCGGCCTTTTATATGTCTTCGCTCTTTTTAGATTTTTGCGATTTTTACTACGAACAACGCGACGTATGCGCAATTGTAATCGCATATAGAATGCTGTCTCAGTTAAGATTTATACGTTAGCAGTATTATGATTATGATTATTATTATTATTATTATATTTTTGGCAGAGCGATTACCAAGCACAACAACACACGCACCTCTCTAACTGTGTGTGTGTGATTTTATTGTTGCTGTTGCTGCTGCTGCTTGTTATTGTTGTCGCTTGTCCGCTGCGTTACCGTAAAACGCCAAAACGTAACTGAAACTGAACCTGAACCCAACTTCAACACTGACGAGCACCTCGCTGCTGCTCTTGCCGCTGGAGTCGAGTCGTTGTCAGGATTTCGACGTCGACGTCGTCGTCGTTGTCGTTGCTGTTTATGTTGTTATTGTTGTTACTGTTAACTGTTATTATTGTTGTTCGGTTATCGCGCAAAGTGCTCGTGCGCATAGCTGGCGCAAAATAAATATGTGAATCAAAAAGAAAAAAAAAACAACAAAACAAGGAGAAAAAAGAAAATAAAAAAGTTGACGCTTAATAACTAAACAAATGCCCTACAGTGTGAAAGGCAGATGCAGCTAAATGTAACCAAAACATTTCACCCAAAAAAAGCAAAACAAAAAAAAAGCTTTACTTTAATTGTTCCACAAATTATGCATAATTTGGCCAAAAATTAATGGCGTTTCCGACACTTGACTCTGTTGTTTGGCTAACCAAAAATCAAAGAACTGACATAAATGGTTTGTGCAAATATGTTTACCAAACTTGGCCCGTAATTGCTACACATTAAATGCGTTTACACGTGCTCATCGCACGTGATCAACGTGATCAACGTGATCATGAATTATGCAAGTTGTTCAAAGTTGCTTGTAGCTTTTGTTTTTATATTTTCGTATACAGCAACTAGTTTGCACAATCTTGACTCACAGTTTGTGAACTCGATTCAATAAGCTTAGCCAACGGCAGTGATACAATAATAATAACATGTGTAGCGTAATATAGGTCAAAGATTGCAGTTGTTAACTGTTTTTCAAAGGCTGCAATTATTACTTATTTGCACACATTCATATATGAGATTCATTTAATCAGACAGGTAGACTTGTTAATAACTTAAGAGTTTGGCAAATAAACAAATACTTTGTATGACAGCTTTATCAGTCATTCAAAAAAGGCCAACTAAAGCGTTACTCATTTCTAATAAGCTCAAAGCGAAAGATAAGCATCTTAACCACAATTGAATAAGAACTTTAATATGTAAGCAGCTTTTAAGAAATGGGAAAATAAAACAAATTTAACAATAAATCAAATATGAAATATGTAAAAATCCCTTCGGGACTCCCCAATCATATACATATAAGGCAAGAGTCTTAGCCAAAAATAAAATTTCTCAAAAGGTAAATTAAAGTAATTACACAGGCAAATTAAAAATATGGCAGCAGCAACAATTACCGCAGCTGGAATTCCCCTTATAAGCAACAATCAAGCTAAGCACGTTGTTAATCCGGTATTTTATTTGTGCGAGAATAACAGTTTGATCACGTTTACTTGCCCGCATAAACACTCCAGCAAAAAAAGAGAAATACTAATACATACATATAGAAATTGTTGACAGTCGCTTCTCGTATCGATTTGATAACTTTTGGCAGTACCAATTTTGGTCGTGTTTTATTCTCACTGATTGCTTGAAGCGATATGGGTACCCCTACCCCCCAAAAAAAAAGTATGTTTGTCGTTTACACGCCCTAAAGCGTAATGCGGGCGAGCTTCCGCGCACCAATATAAATAATAATTTATAAACTTAATGCGTTTTGGCCATGAAATGTGGCCAAGGCGCTCAAATCAAAAGCCGTTTGACTTGTGAGTGTGGCCAAGTGCAGAAAGAGGAGGCACACGAGAAGGAGAACGAGGAGAGCGAGGAGAAGGTGGCGTTCAAGGCGTGGACGAGATAAAACGGTACACGGTATCGCTCTTAATAAGCGCTCGTTGCTACGTAAACTGGTATAAATGTGTATGAGTGTTTGTGTTTGTGTGTATGAGTCTTTTCTATTCACTTGCACAGTGTGCTAGGAAAATAAGCCAGTTTTTTAACGTAACGCTCAATATCAAAATGTGCTAATAACTGTCTCTAGAATTTGTTGCTGCTACATTATTTGCACATCATAACAATTATTAACCAGTAACTGGTGTTGGTATTCGAGTGGACATGTTAAAGTCATTGTTTCTTAGCATTCTTTACAACAATCTATATTTGTCCAGTTGAACAACACTAATTGACGTACAAACACACAGCAAGAGTGAGAGAGAGGCGGAGAGAGAGAGAGCGATTCGTCAAGACGAGTGTGCACTTAAGCCGGCGTCGCAGTCAGCGTTGCTCATAACCTTGACAAAGAAAATGTGTTCAATTAGCAACACTAATTTGCGTATATAGAGTGCAACAACAACAATAGACTGATTGACTAGCGCTAAGCAGCACTAGAAAGCATTTATGCTACATTTATCATAACTAAAAATTCTTTTGATCAGCTGCTGCAATCGTGCCAATTTATAGAATCCAAACCAAAATACGCACAGCACACGCAATTCGCTGAAATTTTATTTCTCTTCACTTCACATTTTGATTGGCTTAATTATGCGCTATAAATACAGTTCGTCCCCATATCTGTATGCTAGGTTTCTTGTCCATAGTTTTGTTAAATTTTTTGTTGTTGGCAGCTAGCTTTCTTTTCTCATATGGTAAATTTGTTGGGCGCTGCCAATTAAAATAGAAATTGTTTTGACCTACCAAAAATGTGTTTATAGCTCGCTTACTGCATTTGCATAATAAATTACAAATTGCTTGTAACACACGAAACGTATCATATACAAAAATTATTTTTCTGATTTGTTGTTGTTGTAATTGTTGTTATTGCAAATCACACGCGTTTGTTGGGGTGCACAAAAATTAAACTTTCGAAACTCGGCTTGCTGGCTGTGTTAAATTGGTTAAGCGCAAAAACGCTCTGCACAAGCGCATAACGTGTTTTGAACTGAGCGCAGAGTCGACTGTCGATCGACGGTCGGTAAACAACAGCAGCGCGCTCAGCTTTAACAACAAAAACAAAAAAAAAAGAACAACAAAAGCACAGCAACAACAGGCCTACAAAGCATCAACAATAGCCAGCTTTAATGAATGAAAGTGTAATTTTTTTTGCCTCAGCTGTCTCTATTATTGTTACAATGACAATGTGCACTTTTTGTGCATAGCTTTGGGGGGCCGATCGGCACAATGACTGTCCTTTATATTCCCACAATGGACGTAAAAAAAAAACAATGCGCAAAAGCATGACTAAAATCCAACATATCCAACAACAATATACATAAATATTTGAAATTTAAGCGCGCAATTCGCATACACAGACTTATCGATACTGCGATAACTGCGATGTGTTTTGCAACTCTTGATTAGTTGCATGTATCGATATTACCGCAAGTGGCAGCACAGATACGCACAGCTGTTCTTGTCTGCGGTTAAGAAGAAGCAGCGTCGTTTTGCACGAAACTTAGTTTTTGCTCGAAATTCATAGAAATTATGGCTGGACGTGAAGCCGTCAAACGTGCCGTGCAACAAGTGCGTCCCATCCTCTCCGTGGATCGCGATGAGGCGCGCAAGCGTGCCCTCAATCTCTACAAGGCCTGGTATCGTCAGATTCCCTATATTGGTAAGTCCATTTGGTTATGTCATCAAAACTGTCGGCTGCAGCGATAAATATAAACAAAAAAATATATCTGAATTTACAGTTATGGACTACGACATACCCATGAGTGTGGAGCAGTGCCGCGATAAATTACGCGAGGAGTTTGTCAAGAATCGCTCTGTGACCGATATCCGCGTCATCGACATGCTAGTCATTAAAGTAAGTCCTCGATTTCCGATCCTTGATCCTTGAAGAAGCATTCTAATTGGTTAACTCGATTGCAGGGCCAAATGGAGTTGAAGGAATCGGTTGAGATCTGGAAGCAAAAGGGTCACATTATGCGCTATTGGAAGGAGTCACAGGAACCCAAACCCACAGATTTTCTCTCCAAGTTCATTCAGGGCGTTAATTAGCTTTAAACAAAAACTAAATGCAATTGCTTTACAAATTTAAATAGTTTAAATTTAAATACAAATTTGTTTGGCATAAAATAACCAATGAATCTTGTGGAATTGAAATAGAATATTTTTTAAAAAATGCTCTTACCGATAGCAGCTACAAGTCATCCTCTTTTTCTTGTCTTCGTTGCCTTTTACTATATAAATTTCACTTTAAAGTAAAAGGGAAATTTGAAATGTACCTTCGCAGCAAAAACAGGAATTTTATCTACAGCTGGCTAAAATAATTCGCCTTAATTTTCGGGCGCGCTTTTCAAGCGCTTGATTTTTGTTGTTTATTCAATAGAAAATTATTCATCTCTATATAAGCCCGATATATGTGTGTATATATATACTCTTGTTGGTGATTGTTGGTGTATGTCGAAAAAACAATTTAAAATCAGGAAATGAATGGTTTGTTGTGGATGCTGTGGTTTGTTAACTGATTGATTGATAGGTGCGGACAGTCTTCAAGCTCTCGTTAGCTGTGATCATTAACAGGTTTACTTAAATTCTATGCATTCATGCATTTTCAGGGTACCAATTCGAGCAGAGTGTCCAGTGCACTACTGGAATTCGAGAAGAGATCGGTTGTTATATCATCATAATCGAGGCCCAGACTCTTCAGCTCCGTAAAGCAATCATCACTGAAACCGGGTATCTCCAGGGAGGTGCTTATCTTGCTGAACGCATCATGGCGATTGGTGTAGCCGATGCGTTCCCGAAACATATCCGCCAGCTCCTCATCGCTCAACTCCACCGAGTGCACCTTCTTGGAATGTTGACGGATTCTGCAAAGGAATGAGGAAATAATGTTTAATCTTTTCTCTAAGAGATTGCTGCTTTGCGATACTCACTTGCCGCGATCGGCAAACTCCTCGGGACAGTGCTGGCACTTGTACGGATAGTCCATGTGTTCGTACTGATGTTGACGCAGTCGAGCGCGCGATTTCGTCTCGAAACTGCAACTGTCGCAGCGCCAAATCTTGAGTTTCTGATGCGAGCGCTGTTCGTGTTCGCGAAGCAGGGCGTAATTCTGAAATGTGCTGTCACAGCTGCGACAGGTGACCACCTGCTCCTCGTGGACATGTGCACGCTCGTAGTGCACCCGCAACTCCGCCGCATTGATGTAGTTCAGCGAACACTTGTCACAGTGAAAATGTCGCTCCGAGTGCCGCTTGCGATGCACTGCCAGCGAATCGCTATTCTTGAAATTCTTCAGGCATATCTCGCATTCGTGCAACGTGTCCACAGCGTGCTGCTGGTGCAAGTGCAACTCGTATTTCCTCATGCTGCTAAACTGCTGCTTACAGAAGGTGCAGTGCATCGGCTGCTTCACCTGGCAGAAACGTTGATGCGCCTGCAGACTGCCCTTTAAATTGAATACCTTATCGCAGGCGGTACACACAAATTGTTGCGGCTGCTGCTCAACTGAATTGCCAGATTGTGGCTGCAACTGTTGCGGTTTTTGTTGCTGAAGCTGCTTCTGCTGCTGTTGTTGCTGCTGTTGTTGTTGTTGCTGTTGTTGTTGCTGTTGTTGCTGTTGTGGTGTGTGCATGCGTGTGTAGTGCGTGCGTGCCGATCGCTGATCCTTGAAGATGCGCCCACAGGCGGGACAATTCTGCTGCACATAACAATACATTTCTGCAAGTGTTGGATAGATTTTAATATATATATATATTATACATATGAAATTTCGATTCCTTTTCAGACTCACCAAAATCCCCATCGATTTTGTGGTGCTCAATCAGATGCTGTTGCATATCCGTGCGACTGTTTGTCACATAATCATTGCATGGACGACACTTAAAGCTTTGATCTATATATAATTCAAAAATAAGGAGAGATGGTAAGAGATAGATAACAAAATGTATGTAAATAGTAAATATATATAGATATAAACAAATGGACACATAGATGGAAAATGTTTCAAAAAACTTGAACCATATATACTACATATATTGTATATTATAGCTCTGAGGATCAGCCTTTCAGCTGTAGTTGTACTCTATTATTAGTCAGGCAGCTTTCACCCACTTTTGGTCAGGCCAATGATATCATCCTCGGGCACATCACAGCTGTGGGCACGCATATAGTGTGTTCTCATCTGTTTGGCCTCCGTGTGCGTCTGTTTACACATGCTGCAGCTGAGCAACGGTATCTGGACATTGATCTCTCTGCTGGGCTGATTTGATTTGCTGGTCAAACTGCTCCTCAAGCCGCTGCCACTTGTCCCTGCCAGCTGCTCCTCCTCCGTAGCTAAACAGAAGACACATTTAATATATAATTAAACATTTGAATATTTCATGCTTACATTTTAATAATGTGGCTTTGATGGACTCAATGGATTGTAAATCGTGCGTTGTTGTTTGGCTGCTGCTGCTGTTGGCATCATCGTTGAGTGTCATGAAGAGGGCACGCTGGATGAGATCGCCCTCCACATCCCCATTCTTGTTATTAAAATTATAATTGTTGTTGTTCTCGGCGCTGCTTTTAATGCCAGCTGCGACGGATTGATTGCTCTCATTCATAATACTAGTGTCATAGAAGGTTTCGCTATTCTTCGCATCGGAGCCATCGTTCTCATCCTCCTGATCCTGATCATTGCTCTCATACTTTACATCAAATAAGATGACTGTGCAAAGGGAGTGAATATGAATTTTTAAATAGATATAGAAATTCGTGTCAATCTCTCCAACCGCTTACCATCATCCTCCTCGGGTGGCTGCCTGTTGGGCGCCATGTCCGCATCGAGGCGCGGTACCTTGGCACCCCGCATATACAGCACGTTCTCCTCGATGGGCGCTGTGATCCCATCGTAACTCTCCACAAATTGCTCAAACTCCTGACTGAATTGATTCCAATGCAGCAGCTCACTGCTGCCACTCGCCTTGCGCTTCAGCTCACCCGAAGCAGTCGTCAGCGTCATCGTCGTCGTCGTCATCGACTTGAGATTTTGCGACTCAGCAAACAATTTCCGATTCGATTCCAGTGTCAGTTCCACAAAATGCATGGTCACCTCGAGGGCGCGACAGCAGCGCAAACAGATCTGCATGGGCCACCTGTAGCCACCGGCGGAGCGAGCGGTTAACGATATATTCGTGCACTGGCGCAATCCCTGGCCGTAAGTACGCACGGTCTTCAGTTCCGGTATTTTGGCATCCAGTTTGACCGTCTGGCGACCGACGGCGAGGCAAGCGCGGCATTTTGTATTATTGGCTTTGTTCGTCGCGAGCAACGCGTTCGATTTTGCAGCATCCGCTGCGGCGGCCATTCGAACAAACACACACAATTTTCTCTTTTTTCTTGTCTTGTGTGTGCCCGCAAACGTTTAAAATTTAGTAGTATTTGTATCAGTTTCAGAACGTTTATAATTTAATGTTGGTTTACAGTTATGAATCTGACAATGCCGCTATGGTTTTTTTTTCATGTTCTCGCTTGCGAAATGTTGTTAGAGAATCTTTAATCAGAGAGTTGCCAGAAAGTTTTTTTGCAAGCACTGAGAACCAGTTCTATTGAACGACGTCGTGCTCGCTTGAGCTGCAATTATTATATTAGTTAAACCTTTTTTCCTTTTTCAATATGCTTAAGCTCAACCAAATCTAATTGATCATTTTTAATTCATCAAATGGCTACAGCCAAACGAAGAGCATAATCACCAAAAAGGCTAAAACTGTCGATATCTTACAAGCGACTATCGATATACAAATACGCAGCCCGCGCAAATTGAAAGTTGCGCATTGCTTGGTGATTGGTTTAAACGGACACTAAGATTGTATATTTTTACTTTTAAACAAGAAAAAGGTCAAAGATATTTGTTCTTATGGTCGTTACATAAGTATATGGGCTTTAATTTACACTATTTTTGTTGTTATTTTGTTTAACAATTACTGGTGTTTTAGAACAAATTGTTAAAACTTTTGTTTAGTGATAAGTGAATTCCTTAGTGCATCAATATATACATCAATATTAGCAACATTCAAGATTGTCTATGTTTTTTTATACTGCTAACATAATATGTGTTTAAGTAATAATGCATGTACTGGATGAAATTCGCGTCTAATTTCTAGCTACCTAACTGAAAATCTTGGAGACTAAAAACTGAATATGAAATAATATGCTTGTGGAACATAATAAATATACCCCTGTTGCAAAGGTACAATGAAAACAAAAATTAAATATGATATTGCAATAGGTGTGCTTAAGGATAGAGATATAAATAATATGTGCCGTGATTAGTGCTTCGCATTTATAACTTAACAATGATACAATCCGAGTTGAGTTGAGGGAAAGAAAATGTTTAACTATAAAGCTAACTTTGTACATTAATAATTAATGCCTCTGTTCAACTTGAGGCGTCGTCAAATGGCTCCGATCACCGCACATCGCGCAATATTATTGATGGCGTTGAATCATTTTCACAATATATTTTATCAATTTCCGCATCCGTCAATTCCCATTTGTGCTCCCGTAACGCATGTCGACGGAAACTAAAAGAAGAAAATTATTAATACATATATATAAATTAAATATTTAATATAGAGAGACTTACGGATTACGGCGCATATAGGTACGCACGCACTTGGGGCATTTGTAGGAGTGGGTGCCCCGGTGCATGGACATGTGATTCCTCAGATACAGACTGGTCAGCATATCGCGTCCGCACTCGGGACATATATATTGAACAGGCGTATGTGATGCGGTCTGATGTCGCTTTAAATGATGCTTGTAATTGAAGGTCTTCCGGCAGCCGTCGATGCCACACTTGAGTGGACCACTATTGCCACGATGATCGGACTGAACATGATCGGGCTCCACTTCCGTGCTAACCTGAAACTCCTTGCATGGCACTTTGACCTGCGCATGTTGCTTCATATGATAATTCAGCAGGGTCACAGTGCGATAGGAGGCATTACAGATCTTGCACTGATGCTGGTAGCTGCTGCGTAGCGAGGACTTCGTGCCACTGGAATGTTGCTGCAGCTCGTGCTGCAACAGCTTGGGCAGCTCGTCGAACGTTTGATTGCATTGCTTGCACACATAGATGGGGGTACGGGGCAGACGTGGACGCAAATCCTTAACGGGCGACGGCTCCAGCGCGGCAGTCAGCAATTTATCGCTGCCATTTAGCAGTAGGGGCGGAGGCAGAGATGCCACATTGAAGCTATCATCGTTGTTGTTCTTGAGCGTTGTGGCATGTGCCACATTGCCAATGAAGTCAAGATCAAAGTCAAAAGTTGGAAAAAGCGTTGACACTGCAGACTGTTGTGTTGTTGGTGTAAAATCTGTTGTGGTTGTTGTTGTTGTGGGAGAAGCATCTGTTTTTACAGTGGCAGTGGTTGTTTTTGCTTCTGCTACAGTTGGTGCTTCTCTTACGTCTGTTGTTGCTGCCGCATTTATAACTTCTTTTAGTGAACCCTTTGTATCCATTTCTGTGTCGGAGTTTTCCATTTCTGATCCTGTATCCTTGGCCAATGCTTGCTCTTCTATATCATTGGGCATCGGTATGGTTAAAAAAACATTTCAAAGTTTAAATTTAAAAGTTGTTGTTGTCGTTGTTGTTGTTGCGGCATGTTTTGGGCATATTTGGAATTTGAGTTTAAATTCATTTTGGCAAGGCTATTGACCCGCTTACCGCATTTTCCATCGCCGCCATCGCCAAGATCGACATCGACATCGATATTGCCATTATTGGACGACTCCACAACCGCATTTGATTTGGCCTTATTACCATCGCTGGCATTGTTTGGCAATGTGGTTGTTGTCGTTGCTGTGGTTGTCGTTGCCGCCGAACTGGTTGTCAATTGAAGCGCCTGCATCTCAATGATTGTATCCACCAAATGGCTACGCTGCAAGTGGCGTGTCAACGTTCGCTTTGCCGCAAATGAACGAATGCAGCGTGGACACTCATAGGGCAGTTCTTGAGGAGAATTTATAAAGATTCCGATTAAGCAACAAGTAAAACCTTTAAGAATCTTATGTTCAACTTACTGCGTATGATAAACACTTCGTTGGCATGAATGGAAACTGTTTAGGTAAAAACAAGATCATGTTATTATATATAATATATATAAATATATATAAAATTAGCTTACCGCCATCATTGATGCCATGATGGGCATTTAAATGCTTGCGCATATCCACATCCAGCTCACATTCAAAGGGACACTTCGCGCACATCAGCAAAGGATCTAAATTAAAAAAACACATTAATACATCAATTTAACAGTTTATCATTTCATGTTTACTTTTGTCCGCATTTATATTTATCTTTTCGATAGCCGTACACGGTACGGCTACCTTGTCGCCTTTGGCCTGCACCATGTCTCGCGTGGGCATTTTTTTGTGAACTGTTTTATAGTGTCGTATGAGCAGACGTTTCATATTGTACAGATTGGTGCACAGCTCGCAGCGATAGGGGGCCAAACCTAAACGATTAATAGTATTAATAATAATAAAATAAATAATATATTATTTAGTTTCGCACTCACCGCGATGCACAAACATATGATTCTCAAACTTGTATTGGCTGGTAAACTTTTTGTTGCAAAAGATGCAATAGGGTTTCTGCAGATGCTTCGATTGTTCGTCGTCAAAGTCATCCACATCGTCATCGTCGCTGGTTAGCAAGAGATTTTGATCGGCAGCCGCATCATTGTTATCATTCTCATCATCATTCTCCGCATCATCCTCATCCTCGTCATCCTCCTCAGCGTCGTCATCGTCAACCTCTTCGCCAACTTCGACATCTTCAAATTCCTCAAATAGATTTTCGGCATCAAAATCCAAACTAATATTATTATTATCGATGACGATATCATCGCCATCCACAGGCATATCGTCGGCGGGTATTGTGCATATGGCTGCCACATCCGTATTATCTATAAACTCTTGCATATCACCAAATGTGCTAGTATTGGGATTTGTTGTTCTTGTTGATGTTGTCACTGCCTGATTGCTTGCCTCCTGTTGATTTGTTATTGCTGCTTTTGCTGTTGTTGTTGTTGCCAGGCATTGTTCTGGAAATATTGCAAGTGTGCTTGAATTTGTAGCTGTTGCGTCCGTTGTTGTTGTTGCTGTTGCACCCGTGGTCGCAGTCGTTGTTGCCGCCGTTGTTCCTACATTTTCAGCAGCAGTTGCTGCATAGAACAATGAGCTGGCATCGACAACAACATTGATACCACCCGTGGAAGTCACTGCCGTTGTTGTTGTTGTTATTGCCTGCGGCTGTTGCACCATGCTTGTTGTTTTCGCCGTCGTTGTTGCCATTGTGGCTGCTGCACACTGCGTCATGGTTGGATCTGTTTGAGAACAGAATAATATTAGCGCAAATAGTTGCAATTATAGATTAGTATTAAGTAAGTACATTTAATGCCCAGTGGAATGTCTGGTTGTGTGTTGGCATCGCCACTTTTCAGCTTCGCATTGCCATCCTGCTGATCCCTGATCCAGCTGGGACGCAGCTGTACTTCACTGGGCACAATGAGATGCTTATCACTGTAATGCAAGCGCAGCTGACCGCCGCTCGGCGTCTCAAACAGACACATATCGCAGGAAAAGATGCGATTGCGATCCGTTAACATTGCCGTCATCATTGGTGATTTCTCCACTTGACTAGCTTTCGTATCGCTAACGCATATATTATGCTCGCTCGTATAATGCTGGATGAGATCGGCGCTGCGTAGAGAATAAAATGTGCACTGATCACAATAGAATTTAGGTAAATCTATAAGAAACAAGTAATTAAAGTAAACCAGTATTTTATGTAGAATATAAATTGCTTACGGCTATGCGTTAGCTGGTGAGATTTGAGGCGGGCCACCGTCGGAAATGCTTTGGGACACAGCTTGCATTTGTGTTTCAGGGCACCAGTTGACGCTGGCGCTGGCGCTGGTCGCCCCTTGGGTTTGACTGCAATAAAATAAAGGGTATACATTAGTTAAGTACACCAAATGGTATCATATTTACGCGCACCTGTTATCTGTGGCAGCGCATTATCGACAACCATAGGACTCAGATCAATGTCCATTGCATCATAGATTAAATCGGTTTTCGAGTCACTCAACAGGCTCTCCAGCGTCACATTGGTCGTTGTGTTTGTTGTTGTTGCTCTGCTGGCCGCATTTTTACTATCATCAATATATTCGAAGACAACGCCAGCATCATTCACCTGCTGCAACGAGCCATCGGGCATGACCAGAAATTCTGCACCTATGCTCATATTGGCACTGCTTCCGCGGGCATTTGCCGTCACTGGTTCCGTGGAAGCAGCTGTGGTGTTGGCCGATCCCAGCGAGCTGCTTGTCAATTGCTGTTCAATGTCACGCAATTGATCCGCATCTAGTTGTGGATGCGTGAAATCCTCGGGCGTCAACACTGTCGGTATCAGCAGCTCCATGTCCTCCATTGTGCACACCTTCACCTGACCATCATCATCTGCAGCAGCAGCAGCGGCAGGCGTTTCTGTAGATGCAGCTGTTGTAGCTTTTGTTGTTGTACTGGCAGCCACCTGCAGCGATCTTCGTATTTTCAACTGATGCTCAATTTGGGCCGTTGTCAAGCCATGCGATTTGCGATAGTGCTCCAGCAGCTGGCGATGCTTAAGCGTTACAAAGTTGCACAATTTACACTGGTGTCGAGACTCTGGGAAGAAGAGATGAGGTGTAATCAGAAAAAATTCACTTAAAGAGAGACTCTGCGAAGAGCACTGAGAAAACTGCTCTTTTTTACGAATTAACGATTGGTTATCTTTGGAGTGCTCCAGATTAAATATACTTGCATAAAAACCAAAAAAGAAATAAAACTTTGAGGGAACTTTAGGATAAATACATATAACATCCCAGATAAGAATCCCTGTCACGTTTCATTAAGATTTGTAGACAGGAAAACTAGTTGGCAGAAGAACAAACAAATATATATACATATAAGTATATCTTTAGCTGCTCGACTGATCATATTATATACTTATCCAGCTTTCTTATTGTCTTCTTCACTAAGACACTGATTTGGTTTTTTTACCTGAATGCGTTCGTAGATGCTGTTTCAGCTCTAAGCGATTGTGGATAACCTCACCGCATATTTTGCCTTTTAGGGGTTTCTCCCTGTGCGTGTCCTGGAACGCTCTGACAGCTTTTGCCTGCCAATCAAAATAAATGTCTTTAAGCAAACAACTCAAATGTATATATAACAAACATTGAACTTTACCTCGATCCTTAGGGCTAAATGTTGTCCGTTCATGCGCGGTTTGGTTTGCAGCTTGCTCGGACACAGTTTGCGACACAGTATTTCGTGGGCACGCAAACCATTCTTTATGAAATAGTAGGCAATTTGTAAACTTTTTCGGCATTCCACGCAAATGTATTGCGGCAGCTCTGGTAGATTTTCGGTGCGCATGCAGAAGAGCAGTAAACGCAACAGGGGCAATTTTGTTGTGGACGATGCATCATTGTCATTGTCATTGGCATCATCGTTGCCACAGTCGATGAGAGAGTCCAGCTTGAAGAATTCCGCCTCGGATTTGAGGCAACAGCGACATGCGAATTTGTAATTGATTTCCATGTCCGCTGCTTTCAAACGTTTGTGCGCCATGTTGGCATATCTAACTCAACACGGCGGAGGCAACAGCTATTGCTTTTATAAAACAAATTGTACACTAATTTTTGGGTCGCGCACTAAATTATTGTTTCGCTAGAAGCGCAGACATTAATAAAAGCATTAACAATGTGACGCCGTCGCGTCTCTGCAGGGTTGCATTTATCATTGCGCTTCGTGTGAATGGCAAGCAAATAAGAATAAGTTTCTTGTCGAGGAAATTAAAAACTAAGACAATTCTTGTGATTTGCTACAATTATTAAAATGTACAACAGTATTAATCAAAGAGCTCCTCGTCTGCATGCATTTTCTTCAAGTGACATTTGAGCAGATAATTCTCGTGATATTGCCTGGCACAATAAGCACATTTTATAGTTTTAACAGCCAAATGTGTGCGTCGATGGACTGCTAAAGCTGAACTGGATTTGGTGCTGATTCCGCACTGCTCACACTAATAATTGCGCTCGCCACTGTGCGTTGGCAGGTGCGATTGCAAATCCCACTTGTTGGGCGCACAATAGCTGCACAAGTTGCACTGCCATCGCGTGGTTCGCTCATGAAAACGATTTCTATGCAGACGCAACTTGCTGGCATGTGAAAATCCCATATGGCATGTGTCACAAATGTGCGGCTGTTTGCCACAGTGCAAAATCAAAATCCAATTGCGAATTTCCTAAGCGATTGCCAATAGCATGGCTGGCTGCCAAGTGGCGGCGATAGAGTGTCCAATCTCTTATGCCACCTGTGCTGCAAAGACAGCATCTTATGAGAATTGTACTGGGTGCAGCTAGTTTTAAATAAACTCGCGCACTTTCAATATAATTATTGTTTATATATTCTGTGCTCATTGTTTATCGCTGCCAGACTTGCCAACTTCTTGTTGCAAATTGCCATTCACACATAGCTACACAGCCATTGGTAATTTTTAGTACATTTGGTAGCCGGTACACAAGTTGTGTACACATCAAATTAAACCATTGAAGATTTAACGATTTATTCCGTGTGTGTGTTTTTATATTGTATTTAAAAGCTGTGTGCTGCTTGAATGGCAAATAGTTATGATATACCCAGTTGGGCTGGCAAACCGCCGACTGGCCTTCACCTCGACGTGCTCAAGGATGACAAACTGGTGCAGAAACTGATGGTGGACGAGAAGCGTTGCTATCTCTTTGGACGCAACAGTCAAATGAATGATTTCTGCATTGATCACGCCTCCTGTTCCCGCGTCCACTCGGCCTTTGTCTACCATAAGCATCTCAATATCGCCTACCTCGTCGATCTCGGCTCCAGTAAATATTTACGCAGCATTTTACTGAAATTGTAAACAATGATTAATATTTTAGCTCATGGGACATTTATTGGCACTCTGCGTCTGGAGGCGCATAAGCCCACCCAGCTACAGATCAATAGCACCTTTCACTTTGGTGCCTCCACACGAAACTATATACTGCGCGAGCGACCCTCGGCGGGTGGTCAGCACAGCAACATCATGGAGGATCTGCCGCTGAGTGAAACCAGCGATGGCGCCTTGCTGGGACTGCCAGAGAGTCAAACCGAACTTGATGTGAGTGTGAATGTACTAGAACGAGAGTTTCGATAGTTATACTAATTAAGCTTCGTTTTAGAATTTGACCGAGTACAATACGGCGCATAATCGTCGCATCTCCATGCTGGGCATTGCCGATGACAACAATTTGCGCAAGCAAAATGCCTTGAAACAGGGACGCAAGCGACGCAATGTGACATTCAATGATGAGGAGATCATTATCAATCCCGAGGATGTTGATCCCAATGTGGGACGGTTTCGCAATCTGGTGCAGACCACTGTGGTGCCGGCCAAGCGTTCACGCTACGAACCCAATCACATGGGTCTTCACACTGGAGGCAATGTAATTAATGCAAATGCTGTCAGCGCTTTGGCCGCCAGTCATCAGATGTTCCAGCAGAGCATTGTGGAGATGAAACAACAACAGCAGCAACAGCAACAACAGCAGCAGCATCATCAATTGCCATCATCAACAAGTCAGAGCACTGCTCATTCCCCAGTGAATTCATTGTATCAGGGATTGCCTGCAAGTGCATATGATGCTGTCCAGCACAAGAGCAGTAGCAGCAGTGAATTTGAGCCCATCTCCCCGATGGGAATTGGCTCCAAATTAGGCATTATGCTGCCCAATCCTGCGCCAGATGTGACGCCCATCTTTGAGGAGCTCACAAGCTCGACAATAGCCCAAAAGTTGGCCATGGCAAATGCAAACGGTGTGTTAAAGATACATTCCTCTCTTCCAACCTTGCTCATATTATTCGCATATTTTGCAGTGCGTCGCTTTGTGGATGAGCTTCACGAGACGAGTGGCGAGGGCGACTCATTGTGTCCGCAGAAGAAGAAATACGCGAAGGAAGCGTGGCCCGGACGTAAGCCCATGCTGGGCCAGTTGTAAGGAACAACAGGACACGGAATCCTTAAGCTTAATCTTCGTCTTAGTAGTTAACACACACATTAGTTCGACTTCCCAAAAAATGGAATCTTCCACGAAATCGTTTTTAGTAGCAATAACAAAAATTTATACACAAAAACCTAATCAGATCTTTGACTACATTTTACAACTATGCGGATAGCGGGGAAAGGCTATCACATCCCGTATATTCTTCACACCCGTCACCAGCTGCAAATAGCGCTCGAAGCCCATGCCAAATCCGCCCGTGTGCAGACCACCAAACTTACGCAGTTCCACATACCAGCTCAGATCCCTGGGCAACTGTGGATGCGCCTGGAGCAGCTGCGCATCACATTCACGCAGACTGCCGCCGCACAGCTCACCCACGGCGGGCATGAGCAGATCCAGGGCATGGACACGTTGCGGATCGCTGCGTGAGACTTTCATATAGAAGGGTTTCTGCTGCGTGGGCCAATCAATCACAAAGACGGGCGCACCACAGTGCGCGACCAGAAATAGCTCCTGCTCCTTGCTGAAACCATCAGCGGCGCTAACGGCACTCTTGAACTTATCCTTGTGCTCCATAATTATTGCCATGGCCGCATCATAGCTGAGCCTCTGCCATGGCAACTGCAGCCAGGCGATATCTGAGCCAGCATTAGCGCTCTCCTGGCAAAAATGCAAATCTGACGCACTACTGTTGAGCAGTCTTTGTGTTATGTCTTTCAGCATGCGCTCTATGAATGCCGCCAGCGCATCCAGCTGCTCCATGTGCACCAGTTCCGCCTCGAACATATAGAACTCGGCCAAGTGCAGCGGAGATTTGGAGTTTTCTGCGCGAAAGGCGGGCGCAAGGGTGTAAGTGTTGCCTAGGCCGTAGGACATGGCCTCTAAGTGCAGTTGACCGGACACGCTCAGAAATACTTTCTGATCGAAATAGCTCTGCTCGACAGGCACACTGGGACGCGCCATTTGCTTGAGCAGCTGCTCCGAATCCGGTTGTACTCGAAAGACCTATAAAAAAAAGTGTAGATTTAATAAAATGAATCCAAGGGATCAGTTGAGCAGCTATTGCTTTCCACCTCGCCGGCGCCCTCGCAGTCATTTGTGGTCAGGATGGGTGTGTTGATCTGCACAAAGTGCAGCTCATCCATGTAGTCGTGGATCGCCTTCTGTGCCTTGTGCCGGATACGCATCTGGGCGGCAATGTAATCGACGCGAGCGCGCAGATGCAGATGCTCTCGGACATATTCCGGAGCATGTTTTTGCTTGGGTGTGAAGGGATAACCATCCTGCAGATGACCCTCAGCTGTAAACATTTAATTGATGAGCTTGAAAGCATTATATAAGCTGTGCACAGATTCACCCAAACATTGCACCGCATCCGCATGCAGCTCGTAGTGTCCATTTGGCGCCAGCTGGACACGTCCCACGGCGCTGATCACACTGCCCGATGCCAGTTGCTGTGTGGACGCATTGCGTGGCACAACCAGCTGAAACTTCTCACTCGTCGAACCATCATTGATGTCCAGAAAAATGTTGTTCTTAAGGCGGCGTACATTCTTTATCCAACCCTAAATGGAATTTTTGTTCGACCAAAACTCAATTAATACTCGATTCTCTTTTGCTCACCTGCACTTGGAGCGTTTCACCCGGTTTGCTAGCATTAGCAATTTGTGCAATGCGTTGAACACTGCTAAAATATCTTCTAATGGATAACATTGGCTTTGAGGAACCTTTATTTAGCTGTTAGCAAAGTTAAGCAAAGTCTGCTGATCAAGTACAAAACTTGAATAAAATGATTGCCATGCAAAACTTCCACGAATTGCATTTCATATTTTATGGCTGTTAATATTGGTTATGTTAAATGGTAAGTAAAAAAAGTTGAATAAGAAAATATATATTTTGTTTCTCTTCATTTTATTACATTACTCATCTGTGCTGCATACCAGCCTTGAGTAATTATTCGCAGTTGAGACAAGTATCGATTTGTATCGATTGCATTTAAGTAAGCGGTATTTTTAAATTGATTTAAAACATTTAACTTCCTGCTGTATCCAATCATTAGCGAGCTTTAGCAGATTCGGATTCTCCGCAAATTCCTTTTGATCATGCTGTTTGGCATCCTTGGAATCCTTGCCGCCGCTGCGCACAAATCCAGCCTCGCCTTGGTTCAGGACACCAACGGCTGCCATTTGATGCATATTAACCGATTTATTTTCACGAAAACTCTTAAAGCTCAAGTGATTGAGTAATTTCTCCAATCCTTCGGCATTTGGCGTGCAATCCAAGAAGTTACCAATTTTCATTATTGCTCCTGGCAAATCTACCAGCATATCCTCATAGTTCAAATAAAGTACATTTGGCAAATCTCTTTGCTGTTTTGCCTCCTTTATGTGACTGTAGTAAGGTAGCCAGGGATCTGTAAAAGAGAATTTGTTTTTGGATAAATATTGCACATGAATTTAACATACTCAATCCTCGCTGGAAGTAACGCCAATAGCGCTCAAAGTCCCCACAATATCCTAGTGTGCGGAATAAACGATTGAGATGATAATAGGAGACGGCCACATCTTTGGGATTACGGGCCACATAAATTATCTGAAAATAACAAATGTAAATAACAACTTTTTATTGTGTGTTTAAAAACCACTTGCCTTGCATTTCTTCTCCAAGACACTGGGTGGGATTAATGAGAAGGGAAAATGGGTCTTAATAAAACGCCTCTGGTTACGGGGAAGTTGCTCAAGTGTCTCATAGCCCGGTCGAGAAATCAGCTCAATAAACTCTAAAGCAGCCGGTGAGTCACAATTTTCAGCTAACAGCTCTTCCTTGACAGCATCATGCAAGAACAAGGGAAATCTAACAGAAAAAGTAATTTTAAATAAGGAATCCTAACCAGAAACCAAACGAAAAAAAACTCACTCGAGAAAGGGAAAACGTTCAGTTAACGGACGTTCCTTTGCCTGCTCAAAGTCTAATTGATTGGCCACCAACCAGATGAGCTCCTGCGTCCAAGTGGTGCCCGAACGCGGCACAGTAGCTATCCAAATGTCATCGGGTCGTGCCTCAAAGTTGTAATAATGTTTCGCCTCCGTTTTGTACTTGTATGGAAAGAAATATCCCTCTGGTCCAACTTGAACAAAGCCGGTCCGCTCACCTGTCCATACCAGGGGATTAACTTAACGTCCACATACTTAAGACGTGCGACAAGCTCACCTATAAAGTATTCCAGCAGCTCCGCATTGGTTGCTGGATCCACATCGCGTATTTCAAAAGGAAACTTATCCATTTTGTCTGTGAGATGCACACGACAAGTTGCAAACACCAACTAAACTCGACGCCGCCCAACCAGTCAACAAAAAGTTGGCCGGGAAAGCCAGCGACATACATATATATACACATATATATTTGAGTGCAACACGTTCGGCTCAGAGAAAGTGACCTCTGCATTCCTCTTTCTCTCTCTCTCTCTCTCTCTCTCTGACAGTATTCGACAGCCCGTTGGCAGTGATTTCAATTATAACTGAATTTGCTTGTCTAGGCGAAAAATAGTAACGTCTTCGTTTATAACATTTAAATGGCAAACTGCACAAATACCCTGTAATACTTAACATCTTTAGCACTGAGAAAAATAATCTAACTGAAAATTGCTCTAAAAATTATAAAGTTTTTCTAGCTTTTAGAAATAATGTGTAATAATTTTTATTATTAAATTTTGAATTATTATTTTTACCAACTCAAAATGGAATTATAAAATTAATATATCCAACGCAGTAAATTTTATATAAGCATCAACCTAGTTACTTTTAATGATGTTAACTTGCGTTTAATCAGCAAAATAATAATAAAAACAAAACACTTAAAAAGTGTAGTAAATTTATTGCGTAAAGTATTACGAGTTTTAATCACTGATTTACTTTTGGAATTGCACAAAAAAGAGGCTTGAAAAGGCATATTGGATTTAGCAGGCTGGCATTGAGCAACGACGCTGCTTGGAGAGACGCTTGGGGCAGGGTTGTCCGCCACGTTGGGGCTCGCTGATCACGTAGCGATAGCCCTCGGAGTAACCGACGCCGCAGGTGACGCTGCACGGCGACCAATTGGACCATTCCGACATGACGCAGCCCCCGCTTTGCTCGCCACCCCTTGGACTAGGTGTGCTTGACAAGATCTTGCTGCATGTATTCAGGCAATCGCCTTCGGTAAGGAAATTGTTGCGATTACCCCGACAGCCACCGTAGGTGAAGGATTCACAGCGATTCGATTGGGCATTGTAGGCATAGCGTTGATAGCTGCCACGACAGGGACCCGCCTCTGGCTGTTGCACACAAATATCCTTGGCCATCTCCATGTTGATGTGACAGTCGACAGAATGCTGGCATTCCCGCTGCTGATGCAGCTCCATGCGCTTCGTGCAACTCTCCTTCATGGGTCCATCCTCCAGCAGCAGCAATCGCTTGCGAATGGAGCTGCCACGTCCGCAAGAGCCCGAGCATGGACTCCAGTCACTCCACTGGGTGGTGGGGCAATCGGGATCGGGCAATTCCACCTGCTCGAAAGTACAATCCGGTCGCATGCACTTGTTCTTCTCCACAATGCTCACGTGCGGACAACGTTTGCGTCCCAGGTGATTGGTGAAGGTTCGCGTGCGCATTGTGATGCCAATGCCACAGCTCGCCGAGCACTCAGACCACACGCTCCACGGTGTCGTCTTACACAGGCCAGCTCCCTCGCCATTGTCATTGACCAAGGACTGTGAATTGGCCAGATTCTCACCCTCATCCTCGTCACGATCCTGAGCAGCCGAGCCGTTAGGACATTCGGGCACCGCTGCCACACACATCTCCTTGGCCACCAACTGGCGGGCGCATTTGCTCTGCTGTGCCAGCTCAGCATTTAAAAATTGGCGACTACGCATCCGAATGCCCTTGCCACAGCTTACGGAGCACGGACTCCAAGCATTGTAATTGCCCACGCGGCACTCGGCTGTGGACAGATGTTTATAATTATTAGAAGATTGAATGCTTAATCCAATGTAATCTCTAGAATGTAGTATAGCTTACTACGTGTGTCCTGTTCTTCGGCATCATCGGATACTTCCAGCTGGAGCGCTTGTAGGAAATCATCATCACAATTGCGTGAGATAATCTTCTCGCGACGCAGATGGAGCTTGGCCAGCGGCATCATCTTATTGCTCTGAGGATTATAGAAGGGTGCACGTGGATCCTCGGGATACATGGTTGTAATTCTGTACATGCGCTCGCGAGGCTGCGTCTCCGCGTTGGGGGACTACAAAAGAGAAAGAAATAAATTAAAATAATCCTCGAATAAATCTTAGAAATATGTTTGTAATTCCTTAATATTTACTTACCATATAGGTAATGCCGCTATCGGTGCCAGCATCCCATGGAAACAGATCAAAGTCCATCGATTCCTTCCAGCTGCAGTCGGCGGTGCAAAGATCCACACCACTGATGCCAACCATCCAGTCGGGTGAGGGTCCAAACATGGAAGCCAAGGAGACTTTCGGATGCTTGCGATCCACACGGAATTTAGACGAAGTGTTCTGATTCACATTGGGATACCAAAGGCCAGCCGCCTTGATAAGTGTTCGCAATTTTGGGCCTTGAGCACGCAGCTCCGTCTCCAGCGCGGTCGGTGAACCCCATTCGGCCAAGGAGCGGAAGCCATCGGTGGCTATATGATTCTCGCCCCAGAAGGAGAAGTTCGCTTCGTGGGAGGCACCAATTACATCAGAAAAGTGGGTCAGCCAGATGGCGAAGGGGTAATCCTTGGGATGTGTCTCATTCGACCAGATGCCCTCGAAAACAAACTGAGTTGGGCAATTAAAATAAGATTTAACTTTATATATTTTATGGAACTTACGCTATACTTGGCTTCATCGCAGGCGCAGCATTCCTTTTGTGTTGCCACCGCATTTGGTTTGTGCTCACACATAACCTGGGTGAGTTGGCCGTCATCGGAGAACCAGGCGCGTGGACCCTCATAAACCATAGCGGATAGCGAAACGCAGCCCGAACCGGTCTCAGGTGCAACCCACATGACCTGTACTTCTGTTTTGGGCAGATCATCGGCCTCCGAAACGGTATTCACACAGCGTTCATTGAATTTGGTGAGGGAATCGCTGAATAGCTGGAAGCGACCAACACGACGTGGACTGGCCACCTGGGCACGTCGGCCACCTGTGTGCGCCTCAGCGGCAATGGTGAAGTGTGTGAAATGCTGGATTTTCGTATGGGTGCGTGAGCCAAGTAGAAGCACTGAAAAATAATTAGAAGCAATCTCATAAATTCAAATAACTAGCAACGATTTTCGATCGATAACGTTAAATTCCAATACCATTTGCTACTAGTACTCGATGCTTTAAATATAAATCGAATTAGTTTCGATACATTCATGTTAAATACAACAATGAATGTTATCGACTATCAACCAAACCTTGCTCATTGTTCACGTTCGAAGCGTCCCGCCTTTTTTGTTTGGATGTGGCTGCTGATTTAAAAAATTATTAAGAAAGATATTTTTGCAAAAATGAGTTCGATTCTCAATCCGATGTCAAATAGTTGTGTTAATTACGAGAAGTGCGGCGATGTGATCGTTTCGCCCAAGAATAATGTGATCAAAATGTACTGCAATTTTTGTAGTGACCTTTTTGAGAATCTCGTGGAATTTCTGCATCACTTGCAATGGATGCACAACGATGTGCTTGGGTTCGACAAGCCGTATAACGTATACAACATAGAGCAGCTGCTGCCTCAGACTGACGCAGCGGAAGATTTGGAATCTCAAGCGGAAAGCAGCAGCAGCAGTGATTCTGGAATACCATCAAACACTAGCTATGAGCTGGAGCCGGAAACCAAGTCAAGCCAAGCAAGGAATAAGAACATATTAGATGCGTTGGCCGCATACGATGTGGATTACAAAAAAGGAAAGGAATCTGTAATGCAGTGGCAAGCAAACGGTAATTCTGCTGACCTTTTGATACTTACTCTGGTACAAAACTTCTTTTTGAAATAGATACCGGAACGAAAGATGGAGATGTGGTCGCCGAAGTCGTAGCCATGTTGCTTAAGGATGACCAAAGTGTGGAGGCAACTCAAACACAATTAGAAGATAACACAGATGATGGTTTGGAGCTGCAAAAACTGCAGCAGGCTGCTGGACTGCAAAGCATCGAAGTCCGCAACGAACAATCCCAATCCGCAAATTATTTAAATGATAAGCCGCAAATCAAAGACACAACACCACTTAAGCCTACAAACCAAAAAGCAGCAACCAACTTGAAGCGTTTCCGCCATCGTTGGGAGATGGCTGCCAAAATGAAAACCGAAAAACCGCAATCCATTTGTAATCTGAAGAGCTATGCAATTGCACGCTCTGCCCGCAAGCGTGTGCAGCAGCAACAGATGAGCAACATCAAGAAACGGATTCTCCGTTCCCTCGAAAACGAGCCTCGGAAACCAATTGACCGAGTTTGCCTAGACAATATCTGTGCGGAGATGAAAATGTTGCTGCCTAATGGTAAAATACTTCCAACTGCTAAAAATTCAATTATGCAAGAGATGCACACAGCTTCTAACATGAAAACTGAAACCAATCAATTCAGTAAAGTCAAATCTATCGCAGAGCAAAATAATACCAAAGAGAACCAGTCTAAGGAATTGAAGTATTCTATAGCCGTAAAGGCAATACCTGCAGCTAATATACTTTTTAAGCCGGAGAATGAAGTTGTGATCATGAGGCCTTCATCTTCTATGTATTTAAGTGCTGCACAGCCTAAGCCTATAACTGAGATTGAGAAGAAGAAAATCAACATGATTACAGATTGCAATATGGTCAGCACTAGCCAGAAGATACCTTTACCCTCTATAAGACAACCAAAGAAGACTGATTTCAGTCAAGGTGAGGCAAACCCTTCACATATTATGGTAAAGAATGTAATAGACACAAAGAACAGCATTGAAAAACACTGTCCAAAATCTCCCATTATTATAAACAAAGTGGAAATTTTGCCAACGATTAGAGTAAATTTAATAAACACTCAAACTGAAATGAAAGTAGAAACCAGTCAAAGCAAGGACAACGAAAAGCGCGTACGCAGATCTTCATGCACTATCGTTAACAGTCTACCAATGTTGACAAAAAAACCAACCAGACGTCCCTCTTTTCATCAAGTGGCATTTAAAAGGGAGCCACTAAAGCCAGAAACAGAGCCTTGTCCAAAGCAGTCTAAAAAACGCAAGGGAGCAATAATCAATAATAATTCCAATGCGTCGTTAGATGCAGTTGACACAAAGCGAACCAAAACAGAACAAAACTCTCTAAATTTTGATTTATCCGACAGCGTAATGGCATTTCTACAGGTAAGTCATATCTTTTGCACCTCTATTGAGCAGATTAATCTGTTTATTTTTTAGAGTGACTTGGAAACCACACAATTGGATGCAGATAGTTTGTGGGAATTGGCTGAAACCAGTGAGAAGCGCAACCGTGATTCCTTTGAAAAGATACTGAATCAAGTTAAGGGCGAGCAAAAAACGGATTTAAATGCTGCCCCAACTAATTTGGCAATTGAAAGTGAAACTAAAGCAGTGCCCAATAATATTCTACGCGCCGACTTTAGTCTGCTTCAAGTAGTTGGCGTAAGTCCGGGCACATATACTATATATAAAGATATAAATAAATAAGAATGCTTGTTTTTCTTTACTTACAGTTGCCCATTATTAAGGACAGCCAATATGAAGATCGTAAGCCCATTGAGACATCCGATTTGTTGCGCACGCGAGCAGTTAAATTTAGCAAAATGTTACGCTCATACAATTCCGTGTGGAATCCCAAGAGTTGTAGATCCCAATTCACTGAAAAGTCTCGGAGCGAGCTGTCGATGCTCACAGCAGACGCTAACCGTGAATTTGGGAGCAACTTGAGCGAGAGCGAACTGAAGCGAATTTTGAATTTGATCCATGCGTGGCATGCGCAACAAATCGATCTGAAGTTCTTCAAAAAGGTCACACTCCCATCAACCATCGACCATTATCTACAACTGTTTGGCTATCTGCCCAAGATGAACCATTATCTATATTACTGCGAGTGGTGCGAGGAAAGTAGCTGCAGCAAGTTACGCTACGAGAGACATCGCCAGACTCATCTATGCGATTTCACCTGCCCTCATTGCAACCGAATTTTCAAGAAAAAAGGGTTCATGGTCAATCATGCGCGGCTCGTCCATAACAAGGAAATGTAACCATTGTCTCATGCAGAGAAACATTAAAAACAGATTGGAGTTTTGCTAAAGTTCAAAACGCAGTTAAAATTATGTTATTAATACAAATATTATGTTCAAGATGTTCATAGTTAAGAACAGTTCCATATTAAGTTCTTTTTCATTTTTGTGCAAAGTGTGCTTACGAATGGGATCTGAGATCAATTCATTCTGGAAAATTAGCATATTATTTTCAAAGTCAAAGTTATATTTCCGTTTCTGAGTGCCATACGCAAACCAACTCCCTTAACTCTGTTAAGTTTATTTAATATGTTAATATTTTCCAATCATTCGACTCAATTTGTAAGAATTGTGTTTTGCAAATGATACCGAAAATTATTTCATTTTTTTGGAGTTAAACATTATATTACTTCTACACTTCAAATATTGTAGAGTGTGAAATATGTTGTCAAGTTTAAGCATTATCTTGTTTAACTATTAACTAAATAGTGTTATAAAGTTACTATATTCAACTCGTATTTCATTGAGTAAAATTATAAAAATATGCCATTTGTTACTTTCAATTGAAAAATAAAGCACAAACAAAAAAAAAAAAAAAAAAAACATTTTATTTATACTGTTAATTCTTATCGCAAGCGCTTTGTCTTGCTTGTGATTTTAGGGGTCATGAGGCCGTGACCCGGGCGTGTTGATTATGAATGATTTGTTTTGTGCTCGGATCGAACTTACAGTTGTAAGCCTTGCCGGGCACATATCCGTTGGGTCCATCAGCCACAATTAATTTGTATCCATTGTCGCCTCGTGTGCGTCGTCCATGGGGCAAGTGTGTGGGCGCCCGGGGGCAGCCCGCAGCTGGACTAATTGCGCCCGCCGCAAGACAGACAACAACGAGAACAGCAGCAGCAGCAAGTAATCGCTGTGATTGCCACATTATAATCTTTATGTTTCCAAATTCCCCTTCACAAGCAGCTGTGCGCACAAATACTTAATAAGCGACCGCCTTCGACAATGCACACGAACAGACTGAATCCGCAACACATTTGAATTATCATCTTCAAGCTGACCGCCGATTGCTGAATGTGTGTATATGTAATGTAATCAGAAGTGTTATGTAGTACATACACGAGCTCATCTATATTCTTATATGGATTTGCATCTGTACTTTGCTCCTTGAGATTAAAAACAGTCTCGCCGGGATCTGCTTGGATAAAAGAGAAAGCTCTTAGAAGTTTATATTAAACACTTCCAACTGATATTTAGTATGGATTGATATTTGTTTAGTCTTCCTGTTTTACTGTGCTGCTGACCTGTTGAATGTAGTATATATATTAAATGCTGATAAGGCCTTGATTAAGTTGATTTTCTTTGCATCTCCTCTATAAAAGATTCATTCAATATATATAGAAATTATTGTATGCAATGTTTTTTATTAATTCGTTTTGCAGTTTTGCTCTTTTCTAATAAATAAATAAATATATATATATATATATAATGTTGCCATATATAATTTACAAATGTTGTTATTACATACATATATATATATATTTTATTTTGTGTTTTTTTGTTGTTAACAATTCATTAATATATAACCTCAAAATGCAGCTTCGTAGTAAGTATATACGTATATAAGTTTTTTTTTATAAATTTGTAGGTTGGCTCAGCGCTGCATCTACAGATATATTCATACTACATATAGTATATAGTTAGTATATCTAATAATGCCCTAGACAACTTGATTCTATTTGCAGCTTAGGAAACTCAACTCAGTTGCGGGCTAGTAAAACTTACGTTGGCATTGGTCAAGGAAGTATACCAAATAAAAGATAATGATTGATGGAGCAGCTATATATAAGGACTGCAACCTGAGTTATATAAATATATAAAATAAGATCACATGATTTGCCAGATAATGAGAACTAATAAAATACACTGTCACATAACTTATAATAACTTAAAATAAATTGAAGTGAGAGCAGTTATTAAATACTTTTTAAGATATTAAGATTTTTCGACTGGGGAAATTCAAATGGATCACAATATCAAATATATAAACCAAGTAAAATATAATGAATGATGGTACAGTTATAAACAAGGACTGCAACCTAAGTTATATAATTAAATAAAAGATCACATGATTTTCCAGATGATGAACTAATAAAATACCATGTCACAAAACTTAAAGTGAAGTAAGAGCAGTCATTAAATATTTGTTTGAATAAAACAATTTACGAATAATTAAAATAAATCAAAACATCAAAAATATAAACAAATCTTGAACAGTTATTAATATTCTAGTAAGTAAAGCTGAGCAAACAACTTATTGGGATATACAAATTACAGATTAACAATTACAAAAATTACAAATAAACATTGTTAAAATATAGCAAAAATTTTGTGACATGTGTAAATAAATAGAATATAATAATACTTTAAAGCATTGTTAAGCAGCAAATCACAAGCATGGAGCAACATCTAATACTAAAAAGTCAGTATGGGCGTCTCTCGATGATCCAGCAGATCTGCAATTCGGAATAAAAACCATTAATAATAATAGGGTAAATAAAATTTTTGGGATTACTACTTGCCCTTGGCAATGCTCCACCAGGGCAGTGTGACATAGGTAAGGAATGCATTGAGCGGAGTAGACTGCTGCCTTCGATTTTCCTTCCAGAAGTGAAAGGATTGCGTAAAGCCACGACTGGTCCACAAGGGATTATAGGCGCCATCATCCAATTCTGCAAGCATATAAACGAAATTCAATTTTAGAAAGAGAAGAGAGATTAAACGATGAGTTTTTAGACTAGAGACAAGTGGAGTTAATTAGGAAGAATTGAGTTAAATGACCTTTGAGCGCCCTTTTGGGCAGATCACACCAATAGTAGATATTGGTTCCGTCCGGTGTGCGACGCTTGGGCACCAGATGCAGCACCTTATTGTAGTACGATTGCTTTGCGGTGCGCGGCAATGTGGCACTGCTAGCCGCTGTGGGCATGGGCATTTGATTGCCATTCGCCAAATCGCCATTGAGCAGCGATTGCTGCTCTGTTGGTACCGACTCCTCCTCTTCGTTATCCTCCTCATTATTATCATTGTTTGTTGCGCTGTCCGACGACGTTGTCGCCGGCTGCAATGGATGGCTCTCTGATTTCACAGGTACAAGTAAACACTTTTCAAATATTTGCGTTGTTGTTGTTGTTAGCGGCGGCGGTGGCGTCGGCGTTTGCTCCACCACGGGGAGCTCCTCACGGCCGCGCACACTTATCATCAGCTTGCTGTCACTCTCGCTGAGTATGGCAATCTTGGCGGCGCCGGCACCATCGCCGGCACAATCCAAGGCATCGCCATTCAGCGAGGTAGCATCATCAGCCAGTTCGTATTCCTCCGTTTTGGGTGCCGCCGCCTTGGCATTGTTATTGTTATTACTGGCAGTCTTCGACTTGTTTGCCATTTTGGATTTGTCTCTGGACTTGTCCTTATCTTTATCCTGCTCCTTTTTGGTTTTCTCCTTTTCCTTGTCCTTTTCACTGGGTTTGGCACTGCGCAGCCTTTTGGGCGAAATTTTTGCGAGCAAATTTGTCTTTTGATTCGTGGACTTTTTATCGTTCTCCTTATCCTTATCCGCATCCTTCGTCTTGTCCAGTTCCTTGGGCTTGACTAAACGCACTCGCGCTGGCACCGCGACCTTTTTGGGCATTGGCAAGCTTGTCCTGCGATCCGCAGCACTCAAGGATACGCTGCGTGTTATATTGCTGGCTTTGCGCTTAGTGTCCGTGCCCAGACGTAGATTACCTCGTTTGCTGACCACTAATTCGCTCTCGACGCACAGTAAACTGGGCGGCTTTGGCTTCAGGCGTGTCGGTCGTTTGTCGGGCATTTTGCTGAGGCAGGCGGGCGTCTCGTTGGACGCATCCTCGCAGCTGGGACAATAAACCTCGGACATCTGTGGGGTACAGGTGGCGCCGGCCGCTGTCCAGCGTTTCTTGAACTTTTTGCCGCCAAAGCAATTGCAGCCGGTGGAGGTGCTGCTGTTGTTGCCGCCGGAGCTATTCAGCGGAACGGTTACCTCAACGGCAACGCTGAGCGGCGGCGGTGTCACAGCGGGCACAGCACTAGCTGCCGCCGGATCAGGGGATTCGGGGACAATTGGCGACTCGCCAGCTGCTGGCTTGAGCGTTTCACAATTCGGATTTGGGTGCAGTTTTGCCGCGGAGGCCGAGAAAGCAGGACGTTGCTGATCTACAAGTAGATATAGATCGGTTTGTTTGCGTTTTATAAAGCATATACAACGACACACATATAAGAGCCCGAACACAATCAATTCGGTCTTCAAGCAACCTTAAAAATTAAGTTGTCCAACAAACAAATCAAAATTGGGTTAAGCAGCAAAATCATAAATAAACACAAATTAATAATAATAATAAACCAGGGGAAGGGAGTAGCGGCTATAGGCGAGACAGTACTATTTTGTGGTATGTTTTTTGTATTAATTTTAGATTTTTTGTGGGATGCGGATTATTAGGAGTTTGAGTAGTGTTTTAAAGGATAAAGCCTAATATTGTATAAACACGGGCTGAAGTGGCCCCAAGGAAGCTGGTGCTGATGCTATGTACAATGGCTAGCAAAGAGTTGAGTTGAGTTGAATACCCTACTAAGAGCTCCAAACTATGCTAATATTGGGATTGAAATGATCGCTCGAAGATGATCGTATTTAGGGCTGGCTTTAATTGTTCCTTCTGGCACAATAGAAATCATTAATCATTATTCTAGCTGTATACATTCATCAATTTGTCAATTTTCTACATTCTAGAATCTTTCACGAAATTTAACTCAATGTTTATTTTGGCCAAACTAGTCCATTTTAGCTTCGCAGTGAAATTTGCGAGCAATGCGTACATTTTCAGAATCTTTTCACACATCTCTCTACATCTCAACTTTTAGCATTCCTACAAGTTTTTTTATCTACAAATCTTTTCTAAAAAACACTTAACCGATCCTAAGAAAAAATAACCCCTTTGGTTGTGAACATAATTTGACATTATTAAACGGAAAAGCAAATATTAAATACATAATTAAAATTTAATACTCTGTAGTTTTAGTTGTCCTGCTTTCTCGGCAAAGTCATGTATTGTTTGGATATATATATATATTTTTACTGGTTAGTCCTTTTGCTTATATATATATATATATATTTGTATATGTACACACAGATTAATGTTGGTTAATTTGAATTTGAAAAATTGTTGATTTAAGGAAAATCGTAGGAACCACAACATGTTTACAAGTTAAATCAAAGCAAGCAGGAAAAAAGCGCAACAAATCGAAGCAAATACTAAATACTCCAACTAACTACATAATGACTTATTTTTAGTTATCTTACAATTATACACAATTTACAAAACATGCAAAAACAAAAGGAAAAGTGATTGTGAAACCGTTGCAAATATAATTTCAAAAACGAAAGGAAAGCAAGAAGAAAAACGGAGCTTACCGTCGCGCAAATCGCCCGCTTCGATTTCGGACACTTCGCTGGCCAAGGAGTCGAGGCCTTCGTTCTCGGAGCGCGCTTTAGCGCCGGCGCTGGAGCTAGTGCCGCTGGTCACCATGTCCTGGCCGGTGTTCTTGGTGCGCCAGCCGTAGCGTGAGAAATTATTGAGATTGGCGCTGGGATCGCTGAGACGACGTTGATGCCGATACGTGCAATAGTCATCGTTCTCCTCTTCCCACTCGTCCCACATATCGGTGGCACAGAAGCCCGGTTCGCTGGTGGGCGTCTCGACGCCGGAGCCTTTCGGTTTGGTCACTGCCATCTCGGCATGTCCTTTGCCCTGCGGTCCCTTCATGCGCACGAATTCGCAGCGTGTCTGCACACCAGCACCGCTGCTAAATAGGCCAAAGGACATGCGTTGCGCTACCTTGGAGCTCAGACTCGATTGCTAGAAACAGCAAAATAGAAACAGATGTTAGAGCAAACATTTAAGAAAGGGCATCCTCAAGCTACACTTACTCTAGCATCGTAGACCTTCTTCAGCGCATCGTAGCGTATGGAACCGAGAAAAATTACGCCTTGAACGGCGCCATCCTTATCATTGGCCACGAGTTCGACGCAGACCATTTCGCCATCGCGCACCAGGATATCGCTGAAGACCTCATCGAAATTGTCGACCATGAAGCAGATGTGTGGGTATGTGATCTCTTCGCCCTCGCCTTTGGTGTCCATTTTCCTGCGACTGGGACTGGCGTAGACGCGCTGCGAGTGACGACGCAGCACCTGCAGCTCCTTTGGCGAGGTCCTTGTGCAAATGGCCAGAGTCAGCGTGTAATCGAACTGATGTATGACCATATTCAGGTAAACAGTCTCCTCCCAGTCCACATCCGGATCACCAATGGGCAGTTTGCGTGAATCCTTGCGAAATACCTCAACTTCAGTCTGCAAAATGAATATGTGTGAATAATCTATAGATTAGCCAATTAATCATGTAAAATATACACCTCATATTTGGGCATGTGGCGCGAGGAGCTCTTCACGTGCTTCTTGCGCACAAAGAAGAGCAAATCATCCGAGTCGATGCTGTGCACGGGCTCCGTTTGAAATAGAAAATGACGCACAAACAAATCAGTCCAGTAAGTTGTACCTTGCAGCACCACAAAGCCACCATCTGTGTAATAATTATATTAATAGAGTAAGTAAATTATGTAAAATAAATGTCATAAATAATACTAACAATAAGGATTATAGTATAAGCTACAAACGGGAAACGACTCTAAGATTCTATATTTCTATGCGTGTAGCTAAATATTTTATGCTAGTCGATGAAGCTTCTTTTAGATGGACTTTTCACAATACGTTGGATTGAGGAGTAGTGGATTATGTGAACTATTGGGCACACTGATTGAAAGTTTTGTGTATGCGGTGGAAAGTTGCCCCATCCTCAGTGTACTTTTGTTTTAAATCTGAGTTATATGCCTATATAGCCAAACACATAAGTCAAGTTGAACAATACATTTTGAATTGATGAAACTTGATATTAAAAATCGAATACAAAAGTTCGCAAACGATATTCTTCAAGTTAGAATTCTTTTTGATTTGATAGGTTTAATGGAGAGAAACCTCAGATGGGGTGTCGCAATTATTGCTACTGAAAAATTTAATTTACACATATTATGATTAACTTGGCAGTAGCGACCTACATTACTATGGGATTCCAAGTAACAGATAAAGTGTTTTGTTTTAAATAATTTAAATTGTTTATTTTGGGTTTTAAAGTATTTTTAATTATTTGCGAAACTGATTCAACGCTAGAACTGAAACGTAATAATTTTACAGCTACTACTGTAAAGTATTTATGATATTACAGCAACATTTAAAAGTGATACAAATATAACGGTTATTAATGTAGTGTAAGCACTATATTGTCCTAAAAAGTTTAGCCGATAGAAATGTGTGTGTGTAAAAGCGTACAAATGTTCTTACACAGCACTGCCAAAAGATTTATATCAGCCAACTTTACAACACACACTGTAACACCCACACAGACAAAAGCCGAAAGCTGCCCAAGCGAGCCTTAAACAGCAAAATTTGCATTGTAAACAAAATCAAAAGAAACAAGCGGATAAAAAGCTTAAAGTGATTACCAATACTTACAAACTAATCTATGTACAACCGCACTTGTGTATCTATGCAAGGAAGTGGAGCACACACACGCACACACACACATACACAAGGGAAAACAGCTGTGTGCGTGAGTAAGGGTAGGAGGAAGGAGTTGCCGGATGGGGCGTTTTGACAAATCGATAATGTGCAAATGTAGACAGATTTTCAGCAAAAGTTATTATTAAAATGAGTTAAGCTAATTAATAATTACCATCTTTGAGCAGCTGTCGCATCTCCTTGGTGCGCTGGAAGTTGATGTCCTCGAGCAGCTGCTGGAGCGGCGTCTGTGGTTTGAGCAGAGCGCCTGCTGCGCTGGCCAAAGCCATTATTGCTATTGCTATGACGTCGTTGGTTTGCGGGGGTTTTTTCTCTGCCTCTCTTTCGCAAGTAGACAACAATGGGCTGTAATTATTTCACAATCTTGAGCAGCATTAGTCACTTTGGGTTTTGTGCAAATAATTTCATGTTGGTTTTCTTTTTTTTTGCTATTGAATTTACAGAGCTAAGCGCCACGAGTGTTGAGCAACTGCTGAGTAACTAATTCGTAGTGAAGAGCGCAAATTGTGATTGGCAGCAGCTTTTTTTGCACTGCTCACATTTGTTGTCATCCCCCTTTTTTGAGCTGGGGGTTGTTTAGTTATACAGCTGCTGTTGCTGCTGCCGCTTGCATTGCCTCCGCTTTTATCAGTCACCTTTTATTTTGGTCGATCAGCTGTTTCTGTTGTCATGACAATCGACGCTTTTGTTTCGCATATAGAAATAACAATTGTATCAGGCTGAATTTCAAGCTTTTTATAATTGAACAATACCAATAGCTTTTAATACAATTAAACAGTACATATATGACACTTGCATTTATCGACCACCGCCACTGTCAAAGTTCCGATAACACAAGCTCGGAAGATATCGATTTTGTGCGCCAATTTTTGTACATCTTTTTTGAAAATCATTGAAAAGTTATTGCTTTAATATAATCAAATTGTACAATTTATGTTAATGAACCACATCGTCATTGGACTGCTGAAGCATTTTCATATCATTCTGCAGCTCCTTCAGCTCCCTTAGCATACCGTGCGCCAATTGCCCCTCTGGCGTAGAAATTGGCTCATAGAGCAACATACGAAGAGATTCCCGGATCATAACCTCGGTTTGGTGCAGCTCTGCCTGGGATTGAAATGTAAATTAAATATTTTAATATTCAATGTAGTAGTAAGAATGCAACTCACTAGCAAATCCTGGGTACTCTGCTCCTGCTCGCTGAACAATTTCCGGGCGAGCTCCGCCTGTGTGTTGGCCAGTTCATATAGAGCTATAGCCTTTAGACGGGATATGCCCGGTGTAAGGACCTTCAGCACCAACAATATCTCCTGGCAGAGGCGAATCTTACGCTCGTAAACCTTACGATTCGGCCGATGGGCCATATTCTGTAAAATCTGCCTCAGTATTGAGGCAATATTCTGCTTCAGATCCAACATAATATAATGGTTGCCATGCAGCAGTCGTGATAGCTTAGCCAGGAGCAATTCCAACCTATAAATATCATCACGAGCATGGAATACCTCTTCTTTGGCCCGCTCCAAAACGTTTGCAACAAACTCCGGCTTTAGAGTATGCTCTGGATTAAGCAGACACTGCCAGATGCCCGACTCCAACTGTTTCACTATATAGCCACCCTTGCAGGTCTTACACACAAAGCTGCTCATGTGAGTGCCCAGCTCTGTGGGATCCTGGCAACGGGCACACTGGCAATCAAAGCATTTGCCCTGCTTGAGGATGAGACGCCTCTCCTCAGTACCCAGCAGAATGTTGGTATAGCAATTGTAGAGTATTTCACCAGCCGGTATATAGCGATTCGCATAGACCTTAATGCGTCTCTCCTCATCGATAGCTGTCACCAGATTGGGTGTGCAGCTGTGAGGAAAGAGTGCCGCACGAATATAAAGGCCACGCAAGGTGCCACCCGATTCCGGAGCACGGATCTCAAAGCCATTGACGTCGGTAGTGCCGAGCAGATGCTGCAACAGCTCCTCATCAATCTCCGCGCCATTGCGTAATTGCTGTAGGAGTCCAGTAGACTGCAAAGGCAAGACGACCTGCTCGCGATATGTGCGCCAGATCTCTGTGTTCCGGCGTAGCGCCAGATGTGACTCCATCTGCAGCAGTTGCTCATATTGTGGCTGGGTCTCCTTATGCTCCCTCAGCACCAAATACGTGAGAGCATTGTTCACTTCTGCTTGGGCTTGGAGCTTCTCCACTTGCTCTTCTTCCAGCTGCAGCTCGGCGAGTCGCTTACAATCCCTTGCATCGTGGTGCACACATTCGCCGCATAGGGGAAGGAGGCGACACTTGCTGGCAACTCCCCGATAGGATAGATTTTTATATAATCCGGCAGTTATTGAGAATTATGGGATTATCGAAGATACATACCCGCAAAAGGAGTTGGTCAGCTTATAGCAGCTGCTGCAGCGCCGATCCGTATTATTTGAGAGCAGCAATATCGGCTGTTCGCACAGCACCGTTTCACCCTCTCTTATATTGGTCGAGGCAATCACATATCTATAATCCAATTGGATTGGTCACTTCTAATCTTGAGTGTCCTTGTCAATTGAACCCACCTGCCCATTGTCTCATTCTCCTTCACTTCACACTTCTTGGCAAAATCTTCAGATACAGCAGCCATTCTATTGGTTCTCTTAAAGATTGCGCTAATTTGCATGTGCTGTCGTCAATTATCAGAGTCGGACTGAGTACATCCGATGTATATATATATTACATACACATATTGTCTCGCTAAATGCGACTGACTGTATTTATTTATATTTTATTGCAATTCTTTATTTATTTCGACCAGTGATTCCTCGCTTGATTTCCCCCCATCCAAATTACTTTTCCTTGGCTGCAGCTGCTTGGCTATTGAACCTTCCGCCCTGGGCACGATCAGGGCCATTATATTAGAAACTATATGAGCAAGGTGCTTACATTCTAAGCGGCATCAGTTTTGAGATACATAAAAATATATTCTATTGATTTTAGAACAGAGTTCTTACTACACTATTATTTATATTGAATGACTATAAATTGACAACCATATTTAAAAGAATTTTAATATGCCAAATAAAAAAGATTTAAATACAGAAGAAAATAATTAAATTATTGTTAACAATTAAAATACATTTAAAATTCTTAACAATTCAAATTTCATGTTGTCTAAGTTCTTGAACATTCAGTTTAGTCACCCTGTACACACAATATTACGATATACATTTTAAGTTTGAGGATTTGTAGATTGTAGAGTAAAGTTGAGAGTCACGATAATGAATTGTACTGTTTCTTGTTTATATTATAATTGCTATCGATACATTTTTAAAGGGTTTTTAAAATTCCATATGAGAAGGGTTGACGATATAGACTTAATGCTTGAGAATTTGTAGAGACAAATATTTTTGGTATACTTGAAAATATTCAAACAAAGTTCTAACTAACAGAGTTTTGTCGATTTATAGGAATTTGTGATACTAATTTTTATGAAAATTCTACTGGTTAAAAAATTCTCTTAAAGTTTCCCATATTTCATAATATCCGATTCAATGCGCTCGAGTTCCATGCTGATGCGTTCGGTTAGAAAACCCTCTGCCGAATTTTCCGGCTCAAATTGCAGCAAATCCAATGCCTCCTTGGCCACCGAACGTGCACGTGACAGCAGAGCCTATTGGTCCGAGAGATATCCACAAGAGATCAGCAGTTATCCAATTAATACATATATAAATCTTCTCTTTACTTACCGCATACTGTTTTTTGTCCACATCCGCTTCGGCAAATTGCAATTCGGTGAGTTCCACAAAGGTCAGCAGGTACTCGAACAGAGCAATCGCATACAGCTTAGAGATGCCCGGGACAACAGCCCGGCAAACGGGCAACAAATCTCCACAGAGTTCCACGCGACGCGCGAGCAGCTTTTTGCAGGGATCATTGAGGGAATTCATCAAGGCCTCGGCACGTAAAATGCTGGCAATATTCTGCTTGATGTCTAGCAGTAGAAAATGATTGGGATGCAGCAGAGGCTTGTGTTGGGCTAGCAACGCTTCATAGGCGTTCAGTTCACCCTTGGCCTCCACCATCGCACCGCCCACCTCCGCGAGCAGCTCATGCACATCGGCAGCTGGAATAACTCCCTCACAATCAACACCCAGACAGTGCCAATCACCAGTGCCACTTAGATCAGGCACAGCATAGCCATCAGTGCATTCCCTGCACTTCATGCTGCTCATGTGCGTGCCGAGTTCGGTGGGATCCAGGCAACGTGTGCAGGCGCACTCCATGTGCCGACTGAGACGCAACTGATGCTGTCGCTGGCTGGTGCCCATCAGCGGATTCGTATACGATGCATAAATAATATCGCCAGTTGCCAGCGGCACAGCCGCATACAGTTTCATGTTGAACTGATCGTCCAGGGCGACGACCGTGTTGGGCACACAATGATGGGGCAGCCCAGCACCGCACACATAGACACCCTTCAACTGCTCACCATCCCGGCCCGTCACCTCAAACGAGTTGCTATCGATCCGGATGCAGTGGGCATGCAGCACATCTGAGCTCAACTGTTGTCCAGGCAACGCCTCTGCTAAGCCACTTGCCATTAAGGGACGCACCACATGCTCCTCATGCTCCTGCCACATGCCAGCCTCGTTGCGATAATCGTCCAATTTAATCGGACGACTGACAAGCAACTGGCACTGTGCCCGGAGCTCGGGCTGCTCCAGCAGTAGCAGCAACTTCAACAGACCACAAATGCTATAGTTCTTCACGAGCAGATCTTTGCCAATGCGACAACCAGCGCCGCTGGCAAAGAACTCACACTCGAAGGCATCGTGTTCGCTGCAGTCCATGCAGAGCGGATACACCTGACACTTGCGGCACATCACATACGATTCCTGCAGACACTGGGCACACTTCAGCTGGCCACACTCCCAGTGGGGCGTCACCAGCAGCGGTCGCTCCTCCAGCAGCGTGTCGCCGGCCTCAATGCTCAAGCTGGCCACAAGATGCCTGAAATAAATCAGTGTATTGGAAATAGGAAGTCTATTTTTGACACAGAATTCCAGCGCACCTGCCCAACTTTTCATTGCAGACATCGTGCAAGTTTTCGCTGAAATCTTGCATTGCATTCGATTACGTCTACTTGAAAATTTCCTTTTTTTTTTGGTTTTCTTTTTTTTTAATTTTCCACGTTGCGCTCGTTTCGCAGCCAAAGCGACGACTAACTCGACCATCGTTGGAGTCGCCAATTATAAATATACCCGATCATCTCATCTGCTCTCTCCCTCTCGGTCTCTCTGTAGGCAAGCAGAATTTCCCTCGGTACTTTCACTAATTGCGTGCGTCGATTATTTTTAGTTAGTTGCCCCTCTCTCTTCGGCACACATATCTTCATTGTTTTCGATATTTAACTGCTAATTTGCCCTCGCAATCACCTAGTAATCGATTAAGTATTGGACAGGGTTGTTTTGTTGCATTTCATTTTTTTTTTTTGTTGTATGCGTTTAAAGTTTTATTTAAAATATTTCTTTGCCATTTTTATTTTCATGGCATTTTTCACACCTGCTTTAAGATTTGTTGTGTTTGTGTGGGTCTACTAATAATTAAAATTATGTTGCTTTTAAATTATTATTATCGGGTTTTTTTTGCTCGCAATAAACTACATACAAGTTGAAGTGTATCTTTAAGTTTTTCAGTGTGTTGTGTTTGAAGTGATTTTTTTTATTTGTGCCTGTATTTTGTTTGCGTGTGTGTGTGTGTTGTTGGCATTTTTGTTGCCAAAGAACATACAGATACATTTTGTAAATGGTAATAATCATAATCATAATCATAATCATATTATTGATAATCAAGAATGCCTAATGCAAACCGATGTACGTAAAAGATATATATGTATGTATTGTATGTATATATATATATTTAATTTGATTCCTCTGATTTTTTTGTTATTAACACTACAGACGCGCACACACATTTACACCCAGAGCTTGGAGGCATGTGCGACTTTTATATGTAAATATATATATATATATATATGTATGTGTATGTATAAGTAGTAAAAAAACTGTAATCTTTTTTTTTGTGTGTATATGTTTTTTTTTTGCTTATTTACTGCGTTTGCCATGTGCATTGAAGCACCGATTGGCCTTTTGTACTCTACGTGCCTTCTTCGACTCCAACTGCTGCTCGACGCCCAGATTCGAGGAGTCCGTTCCAGATACCACAGCCACTGGCAAAGATTCAACCAAATTTGGTTCCACTATTGGTGCTATTTTTGCACTGTTATTGCAGGTGAGCAATGCCAGTTTCATGGACACTGGACTGACAATGACGCCACTGCGCTGATGATTGCCATAAAAGAGTTTTGTGGAATAGCCGCCACAGCCGGCTGAGCCTGCAACTGTCTCCACTTTTGAATTAGACGGTGTCGCATTGGACGCAATTACATTGGACGTTGCTTCGACAGCGACGTTGGCGATTTCAGTGTCCATTGCCAACGTTGCCGCATATTTACGTTTCAGATTCTTTGCAGCCGTTTCGACAGCCAACAGTTTTGCCGTGGTGGTTTCGTCCGGAAATGCGAACGGATTGTTCACAGAGACTGTCAACGGAATTCCGTTAGCATTATCGCCCTCATCACCATCTCCATTCGCATCCACATCCGCATCGATCTCATCGTTAATGATTATGATATTCTCGGGATCGACACCCTGATTGACAAGCGCCTGCAGATCCTCGGGCGGCAGCACTGGGGACACCTTCTGATTACATGAGCTGCACGCCAAGGGTATGGCGGGACTCTTGGAACGCCAGAATTGTAGCTCGGTCTTACACTTGTTGAGTTCCTACAGAAACCAAACAGTAATTATCAATTGATTTAAGGATTAAACTGAATCTTGCGATTAACCTGCAACAATGTGGAGAATTTGCGAGACATGTCCTCATTCTTTTTGTCGTTCTCGTCCAGACGATTTGCATACTCGAGCGTTTGCTTCTGCTGCTCGGCGAGGAGATTCTGTTGCTCGGCGAGCTGTTTGCTCTGCTCACCAGCCTTACGCTTGCAAGTGCGCAATTCATTGCGCAGCACCGATAGCTGATTATTGTACATTTTCATGCCCTGCTTAATCTTGCGTATGCCCTTACGCAAGACCATATGATTTTGAGGTGGTGAGTTATTTGCGCTGTCCGAGAGGTCCGAGCTAATAGCCAATGTGGCTGCGACAGCGAAAGAGAGAGAATCTGATTAATAGTTGAACAAGTTGAAATAAAATCAATGTGAAACTAACGCCGCTTTGTTATTGCGGGCATTAAGAAGTCCTTATTGAAATACGCCAGTCCCGGCAGCGTGGGCTCAATGCGATCCTTAAAGTACTCCATGGCCATGGTGGAGAGATCAAAGAGTTCATCCGTCACGCGATATGGACGCTGCAAACGTGGCGTAATACTGATATAATTCAAAATCGAATGCACCTCATCCAATATCTGCAATGGAGTTGAATATATTAAATGGATAACAGATATATATATATATTTATATATATATATCGACTTACGGCACCCGGAAAGAAACAGCAATGTCCGCGCTCGATGTGCTTGCCCATGGACATCTGGAGCAGTGAGAGACGCATGTAGCATGTCTCGATGATGTCGCATTCGCAGGACAACGGATGATGGCGACGTGCTGATTCCCTGCGTGGCATGCTCGACTTGATCAATTGGAAGCGTTTCAACGTTGTCTTGATTTGTCGCGCAAATGTTGCATTCAGCATATTCATGCAAATTTCGTTCATGCGATGCGACACCTGCAACAATTTTATATCTTCATTTTTATTCAGTTTTAAATACAAAAAAGAAAAAGAGAAGCTCCCGCATCCCAAATTTTAAGAGCATCTACAAAATATATCAGATTACATTTGACTACCTACTTCACCAAGACACAACACACACGTACACACAACACACACGCATACACAACACACACATAGATACTCACACTCAAGCAAACAGACATGCACACAAAATCTGTTTCATGACAGAAACAAAAAAAAAATGCCAAAGCAAAAAAAACAGACGTAGACCCGTGACACGAAAATTTGTTTAAACTAAAAATAAATATATATATTTATTCAAATCGACAATGAGCTATTTAATCATAACATGTCATAACAAATATATACATAATATACAATATATGCATGCATACATTCACATTAACAATAAACTATTTCATGTCAATTGCTACAAAAAAAACTTGCTGCTTCGAATGAAAACTCTCAAGTTTCCAGAGTATTTTTTACGAAGGCCGCCAATAGGAAGATGTTGATAACAAAAAAAGAGGATTAAATTTCTGCTCTGTATTTTTGTCCGCTTCATTGTCGTGTCTATTTCTGCTCAACACATCGTGTCACGACACGCGCTCAGCTCGTAAACGGCATCGACTTTTGAGTGGTAAAAATAACACAACTAAAGCAGCAGTAGCAACAACAACAACAAATATAGGCAAAAACAACACAAGTGCATGCAGGTAGTTGAATAACATGCCCCGCTAACCGCTACCCCGCCCCTCTCTCATACACAACCAACATTAGCTAGAAGCGACCCACGCGCATTCTACTTACATTTATTTTTTTGCAAATTGCATTTTATTGATTAAATAAAATACGACGACTTACCAATCTCAGATTGCTGATTTTCTTATAATCCAAATAGCCAAGCGTTTTAATGATCAGTTCCGTGGGCAAATCGAGAAAGTCCAAAGGAGGCTGCGAGGCTGCCACATCCAACGAGGAGGCAGTGGAGGAGGAGCTGGCAACCTGCTCCTGCTGCTCCTGTTCCTGCTGTTGTTGTTGGTAATTGGTTGTGGTGCGTCTCACCACAGTGGCACGCGAGGATGTTGGCGTCTCCTCGAACATTGAGCCACCGCCGCAGCCTGCACCACTGCCGCACATTTGACGCGTTGAGACCATGCTGAATGTTGCAGTTGTTGCACTTGCAGCCAAAAAATGCACAAAGAAATTTTGATTGCAGCTCTCAAATGTCGATCTCGAAGAATACTGCGAATGACAACGATAAAGACGGAGTGAGAGGGGAGCAGAGGACAGGCAATGCTTGTTAATGGCGGGTTTTGTTGGATTTCGATTATTGACTGATTGTCGACGACGACGACAGCGACGTTAATCGACGACAACTACTCGTTGTGAACGAGTGGCTGGAGTGGAAACTCGCATAGTGTAATTTGCTACGCACTTCAATGGCATAAACCATTTTCTCACCCGTTTTATTCAATGGAATTATTGTGTGCGCATCGTTTTTTGTATCGTTTTTAGCGTGCTGAAGCGTTTAGTGCACAGCACAACACTTTTTTCCTATATTTAATTCGTTTTCATGGGATTTTTACACAATTTTACATGAGCACAATTAAAACTACGTACACGCAAAAAAAATGGTCGAAGACGTACGAACTTAATATCAATTGCCTATCGATTGTCAACGATTATCGAGCTGGCTCAGTGCCGCCGGCGTTGCCAGACAGATGCTGGCCCGCCAAATGTATTACTTAAGTGGCAACGCTGTATGTGCTGTTAACGTGCAGTATTCTGTTAAGTGGGCAGTCAGTTCTGTTAAGTCGTTCAACATGCGGGCTGAAAAAATAGCAATCGTGCCCATTTTAAATAATTGAACACAATTTGTACATAAATAATAACAAAATTAAATGGTAATAAGCACAATAAACCATATACACCAAATGTAAAACAAAACAAACATCAGCAAAGCTGCAGAGACAGTGAAAGCAGGCAGAACAAAACGCATTGTGTTTATGTGTGCGTGAGTGCGTGTGTGTGTGCGTGCTGTGTGTGTGTATGAGTGAGTGAGCTGTTGACAAAAATACAAAAAAAAAATCGCAGCAAAATCAAAACAGGAAGTGCAAGATAAAAAGGATTATGTATAAAATAAACGTATATGATTAGTGCAAGTGCTTTTCGAATTCGAATTTTGCAGCAACAACAACAAGCGCTAAATGTGGGGGCGTTTTTTGAGTAGCATTCTGTGTTTACTTGTTGTTGATGCCGCCGCTTCAGGGACGCGTTTAAATATTATTGAATATCACGTCATTTGGCCACGCTGCTAGCACTGTCCCCTTCCCTCTCGCTCACTCTCTGTTATTGTTGTTGCTGCATATTTAATAAGCAAAGCTCACAGACACATATATATGCAGCAAACTTTTTTTTTTTGCAGTGAAATCCAAGACTTGCATTTATAAATGAATGTACAAAACTTACTGTTGATTGCTGTCTGTGTTTGTGTGCGGCTCTCTTTCTCTCTTTGAGTTCGCTTTCATATGTTAATGCTATTGTTTTCTGGCCTTTATCTTAAAAAAAATAAAAGTTTCGCGCTATCGCCAAACAGCAGCAGCCGCTCCCATTAAACAGAATTCTTGCTAAGCAGCATCTACAGCAGAGACAGCAAAAGAAGACCAAATCTAAAACAACAACAAGAACAACAACAACTGCAAGTGAAAGCTGCAATTGGATGCCGACGTTGCCACGCCCACAATGACAGCCGCTCCGCCCGTCCATAACAATGGCGAACAGGAACAGGAACAGCAACATGATCAACAATGCGCATTAGTTAAACGTGCCGAGGATGAGCGTGAGGATATATTTAAACGCTATGAACTGGGAACGGATCCCTCAAATAAGGTCGACTCCTGGGAGAATCCAACATTTGAGATCTATCACAAAACCGATAAGTAAGTAAAACTCTTTAAATATCCCCCCTCGTCAGTCACCCTCTCTCGAAATCTGTTTCATCGTTTGTACAATGTTTGTTGTTGTGATTTGATGACATGATGTCATGATAATTCAGCGAGCAGCTGCTTATGACTTGTTTTTTTTTATTTTGAATGATTGGCAACTAAAATCTGAGGGCGTTTTGCTTAAGGTAATTGAGAAAGATGAGTGTTTGTTTTCTGTTTAATTGTTTATTAATTTATTTAGTGTCAATAACCAATAACTTCAATTAAAATAAAATTTAATTTTAAATTCAAATTAAAAGGATAAAAAATATTTATAAATTGTATTAAATAATTATTTTCTGATTGACTATTTATTTATTTATTTGATTAATGTCAACTAAAGTCAGTCGATACAAAAGGATAAGAATATTTCAAATTAAATTAAAACTAAAAACAATAAATAAGAAAATATTAGAAAATTTATACGATTTCGGGGGCTATTTAAAAAACATCTTTGGCTGTGATTCAGACAAAGAAAAATTGATTTGGTTAAGATGCCCAACCACAAGAGCATGCAAAACTTTTATAAAATTGAACTCTGAGTTTAGTAAATAAAGTTCATGGAACTCAAACACAGTATCATTATCCACATGATAAGCTGACAACATTTATCAAGCTATTATCGCACACAGAACATAAAGTATAAATAAAGTAATAGGAATTTTTCTTACACCTGGTGGGAAATCGCTTGGCAAGCATATTTGATATCTTATCAGACACTGGCAAATTGCCAACTAATTGTTGTTGTTCTTTTTCTTTTGTTTATTCTTGTTTCTTGATGTTCTTAGATACGGCTTCATGCACGCCGCCTGCCTGCCATCCTCACGCGACTCCGAAGAGGCGCAGCGCATCAAGATCGAATTGGAGCGCGACAAGAAATGGGTGAAAATGTTGAAGGATTGGCCACCGCCACATGAGAAGCTGCACAAGCGCGTCTACAAAGGTATACCGGATCGTATGCGTTGGCCAGCCTGGAAGAAATTGCTTAACGTGCAACAGTCAATGGATACCAATGAGGGCATCTATGCGCGTATGCTGCAAATGGCCAAAGAGAATGCAACGGAGACGCGTCAAATCGATGCGGACGTCAATCGTCAGTTTCGAGACAATGTCGCCTATCGGGAACGCTACAGTGTCAAGCAATGCTCCCTGTTCAATATATTAAATGCATATAGCGTTTATAATTCAGAGTTGGGCTATTGCCAGGGCATGGCGTGTGTGGCGGGCGTTCTGCTGCTCTACATGCAGGAGGAGGAGGCATTCTGGGCTCTAAACACACTGATTACGGATCCCAAATTTGGCATGCACGGCCTGTTCATTGAGGGTTTCCCCAAGCTGACGCGCTTCATCGAGCATCACGATCGCATTCTGTCCAAGTTGATGCGTAAATTACACAAACATTTTATCAAACATAATGTGGATGCGTTGCTGTATGCCATCAAGTGGTTCTTTGTCGTCTTTGTGGAGCGCGTAAGTAAATTGTATATTTGTCTACTTAACTAAATTGAGTTGGAACTATCTCTACACAGGTGCCTTTTAGTCTGAGTTTACGTGTTTGGGATATTTTTCTGCTGGATGGCGATCGCGTCATTTTGGCCATGGCTGTTACCATACTCTATCTGCACAAGGATGAGCTGTTGCGCCTGAAGGATATGGATGCCATCATTGAATATTTGCAGGTGAAGCTGCACAAGAATTTCGGTTATAATGACGACGATGCTGTTCAAGCGTTGGAGCGTATTATGAAGAAGCTAAGGGATTTGAAATTGGATGTGCCGCCACCAGCAAAATCCAATGAGTTTCCCACACGAGAGCTGGGCGTATTTGTCGAGGCTGATCGGGATAAGAAGACGGGACAGAGGCGTGACTATACCAATACGGAGAAGCAAGTCTTAACCGATATAATGTCAAGGTTGTCAACATTTTCTAATTCAAATTAATCGTATTATAAATATCAATTAATTATATATATTAATTGCAGACAAGAACACAATGCAATCGAGGTACAATCAACAGTATCCTATGAGACATCCGAATGCGCAACGGGTGAGTTTGAAAGGAACAAATGACAATTTGTTTATATGATCTTTGCACAACAACTAATTACTTTACTATCTTTATATATATACACACCGATTACTAACGCTTGCTTCTCTATACTAAACGTAACAGCTAACTCTAATCAATTTGTATAAAAATTATGTATACATATATATATATAAAAAAAGCACTTGACAATGTTGTTTTAGTGTGTGGTGCAAGCTTTAAAATCAGAATTTATATCTTGAATTATTTTACTTTGTAAAGCAATACAAATATTGTTATTTTATTTTACACATGTATTATATAGTTTTATGATCGTCTTTACTTGTTTGTATTTGTATTTGAGCTTATGGGATATGTATTTATTGTTTTATGTCCCCATTTTGTATATATATACGATCCTTATACTTATGGGTTTTGTTGTCATCTAGTGAACATATATGTATTTAAATTAGCTATATTTTTATTTAGATTTCTTTTATATTTGATTATTATGAGGTTATCTGTTCTTAAGCGAGTTGCTATTTCATGATAAACTTTATTACAATAAGAGCCATCGTATAAATGGAACGAGTTTAATAAGTTTCATGGGTCTCTTCTATTAAATTGTTTGCATTGAACTTTAACTCAACAATTTGTTGCATGAGTCAGCGGCCATTTTCTGGGATTTCTAGGTGACTTATAAATGTACATATGCCTGTTTAGCAGCGACTCAGCCCAGTTTCGTTTTATAATATTTTTACTAAACTAAAAAAATAATAATTAATAAACATAAAAACTGTAAATATATATTTTTAAGGGATAAGCCAATTGATAAGTGATATCATATATATACAAATATATATATCTAACCCTCGCAGTGTCACGCCTATTAAATAAATGCGCTAAGTTCACACATGGTCAACCCCTTCAACGCCCCTCCCCCCACACACACACACATAAACACACCCATTTTGTAATTATAACTCGTTCTCTCAAAAAAAAATAAATAAAAAATAACGCATTTGTCTAACAATGTCTTCGCTCATAAACGCTTAACGCTAAATGTCTCTGCGCTGGATCTGTTATATGGATAATAACTGTGATAACCAACTTGTGTGTGTGTCTGTCTGTCGTCTGACTGAATCTGAAAAATTAAACTAAACTCCGCCAATCAATTCCCAAAAAACTCTCATTGTGTTCGTAGGTGATGCGTATTCAATGAAAACCTATCAGAGTATGACTAGTTTAGCCACCTCGACCGCAAATAGCAGTTATTCGCTGTGCAGCAATGGCTACGTGATCACCACCACCACCAACGGCCCCGACGACAATCGCAGCCAGAGCGTTAACAATCTCAACTATGCCGCCTGGCAATATCAGCAGCAGCACCACCACATGCACCACGATAGATTATCAAATCCGAGGCACAGCTACAGCAGCGATAATAGCGATAGTCGCAATCGACTCGATCTGGACAGGGCCCTGGAGCCGCTGCAGAGCCAGCATATGCTACATTTGCAGCCAGAGAGTCATCACCACCACTACCAACAACCATCAATCAAACAATCACCTCACGGCACACGCATTCTTGTCCAGAATCAGAATGGAATCGCAGGCAGCGTCGCTCCTCATGGGAAACAACAAATTCTAAACAATCAGCACAAAGACGAACTTAATCATAATATCGATAATGATGTTGAAGATGACGATGATGCGCTGAGCGTGGAAAATACGCGTCTTTAGTCTGCTTTCTATATAGTATATATATTTATGCCGTAGCATTTAAGTTTGATTTTGTACTTGAGTATTTAATTTACGATTATACCCTGTTTTTTTGTTTTTTGGTTTGCCGTTTGCTCAATTGAAATTGTTATGCCAATTGATTAGTTCAAATTACAGTGTATTAGCTTTAATTTTTGTGTACAACAACATTGGCTATCGTCATTTTGCTTTATGTATATTAGTGTAATACGTTGCAAAAAGAAACATTTCTCACACACTCTGATATTACTTAGTCACACGTCATACGATATCTACAAAGAAACAAACAAAAGAAAACAACTGATAATTCCTAAGAAACCAACGATTCCAGCAATACGTACAACGATTTTCAATGCACAACCCATAAAACTATCGTGAACTTATTTACTTACTTATATATACAATATATTATATATATATATATACAAACTACTGATATACTTATGCTTACATATATGTTGTAACTGCATATATACAAAATGTACTATTATTTCTGCCTAAGTTGAGTATTGCATTTACATATTTTGCTACACTCAAAACATTAGTTTATTGTTTACTGTTCGAGTTGAAGCCAAATTCACATTGTAGCTCTAGCAAAATCGTATGTAATATATATAATATACAAAATTAGTTAAATGCCACACATAAATAAAAATATAATTTTTTGTACTGAATTCATAATTTGTTGCTAGTTTTTGTTTATGTTCTTTCGACTTTTGCATGTTCTCAATTACTAGAAGCTAGCATAACTCTGAACTTATGCAGCTCTTGTTTGATTAATAAAAAAAAAAAGTAAAAAAAAAAAAATATTTTATTTTGCACAACACCCACTACAACACATACACTAACATCTCTAACCCAAAATTCGTATACTCAAACTAAATGCAAATTCTTTTTCAAAACATCAAAAATACAAACAAAATAAATTCTACAACGCATTGGCTAAATGGGAAAACGAAATAATCAATTTGGAACAACAACGAAAAAAACGCTACACAAAAAAACATTGGCAAAAAAATAACTTTAAAAAAACGTATAAACGTCTATCTATATAAAATACTATAAAAACAAAAAAACAAAACAAAAATATTAGTTACGCTTACTGTTCCCGAGGATTCGCACTCAATACGAAGTTCGCTTGCAGGTACTTCAGTTGCCTCGCACGGCTCATCGGAGACCATGTCGCTGGAGGACAATAAGTGAGCACAATACTCAATATATAAATTTTGACTGATTTCGATTGAAGCTAATTGTTATATTTATATATTTGTAGCGTTCATTTGAAAACCGCCAATTTGCTGCAAAATGCACCACAGCGCGAACTGCTACTAGGCACCTGACGTCAGCTGCCGCCGTCGTCGAATGCGACGGTAGCAAACAACAGTAAGAACACCACAACATCATCAGTATCAACAACAACAATAGCAACAGCAACAACAATAACAGCAACAGCAACAATCACAGCCACATCCACACCGCCGCCGGTGCCGCCACGTTCGCCGCTGGCGCTTGGATGATTAGCCAGGACGACGACGACAAACAAAGCCTAGCCGCTGAGGCAGCTCTGAATCTTGTCATCGTCGTCCTGGGTCTAGCTTTAAGCTTTGTCGCCTTGCCACAACCAAAACAAACACACCACACACACAATTTTCGAAAATTTCAAGTTTCTTGCTCTCAAATATCAATAATATTCGGCAAACCATTTTTGATATCCTTTGTACATAAAAACAAAAACAAATCTTAACAAAGTGTGCTTGTAAAGAAAATTTGAATATAACATAGCCAAAAATAAATACAAACAAATAAAACTGACAAAGGGCCAACTGGGAAAAGGGCCTAAAACATTTAACAAAACATTCAAGCAACAAAAAGCAATCGAGAATTAAACGCAAAAAACTAAAGAGAATACAAAAAATATATAAAATACAAAATATAAATATTGTAGCAAGAGCAACTCGTATTTAATACAAAACAAAAAAAAACAAAAACAAAGATAAACTAAACAACTAAATTGCATATTAAATTACAATATATAAATATAAATTATAGATATTATAGACATGTTGTAAATTGTACTTGTATATACGTACCGAACAAAATACAAAGCAACGTTAAAAATTCAAAACAAAACACAAAGTTACGTCCATGAAGTATATTAAACATTAAGCATTAAACAACAGCAACAACAACAAAATGCTACCAAATATAAATGCAACAAGAGCAACAAGATGAATGATTATGATTACGATTATTTATATATATAGTTATGTATGCGTATCTTAATATAAAACCAAATGCAAGTTTATAACTAATTTTAGGTAATTTATAATTTACAAAAATGGAAAACTATGTATATGCGTAAATTTAAATTTATCAAGCAGTATAATCAAGATACTTTGCTCTCTCAAAACAATCAATTTGTGGTTTTTATTTAGTTTTCTTTTTTTTTTGTTTAAATTTCAAGGTTAATGTAAATTCAGTTTCTAAATAAACAAAATTGAATTTTTTGTAAAACTTTTTATTAGAATCTACAGCACCAAACTTTACGTATCTTGATCCAATTTAATTTTGCCACCCTTTTCAAAGATTGTGCCCAGATCCTTAAGGGATACCTCGGCTGTGCCGCGTGGCAAGGGCTGCGGCTGATTGGGACCCGGTTTCCAGCCAACAAGGTAAATAATTTGAAAAGTGGCCGGAATGCCCTCTTCGTTGGGTTTGCCGTACAGCTCCTTGTAGATGGCACTGGCCGCCAGCATCGTCTCGCGACTGAGATGCGCCGGCCTATTGAACGCCGCATTATTCTCGGCCATGCCCTTGAGATCCCACATCAGCTCAAACATGCTCGGGTACCCAATGATCAGCTCATCCGTATCAATGGTTAGCATCGTAAACCCGGCCCGATTCAGCAGAGAACCAATGTCGCGTATCTGTGTAAAGGGCGAAACGTGCGGCGCAATGCCACCTTTCCGCTCCAGCTCGGCCAGTTGCAGTGAGGAGCGCAGCTCATAGAGTGTGTCGCCGCCAAAGAGCGAAGCTATAAAGACGCCATCAGGTTTCAAGCTGCGCTTGATGCGCGCAAAACAACCAGGCAAATCGTTGACCCAGTGCAAGCTCAAGCTGGAGATGATCAGATCCAGCGAATTCTCCTCAAACTGCAAAAGCAATGGATTACATTAAGATTCCCCATTAAAATAAAAGATTTTTGCCGTATACCCACATCCAATTGCTCCTCATCCTGCAGCTGCTTGTGCATCTGCAAGCCGGGCGTGCCCTGTGCCTGCTCCAACATTGTGGCGCTCGTATCCGTCAGCGTCAGATGCTCCACGCACTCGGCGAGTATGTGTCGGGAGATAAAGCCACGATTACAACCGATATCGGCGGCTGTCTTGAACTCGCGCTTAATGTCAAACACACGATCCGCTAGGCGAAAGCCCACCTCCTCCTTTAGGTAATCATATAGACCCACATCGGCGCTGTAAAAACATTTATATTATTTGTTGCAGTGGCAGCAATAATAACAGCAAATAAAAATTACCTGAGTGCAGCACGTTCCTTTTGCAGCCGCTTTGCATTCCTGTCGAATATGTTCATGTGTGTTGGCTGCGTTGTCAAGCAGCGCCAGGCGCCACAATTCTGTGTTAAGCGTTTTGTGCAGGTTTTAAACATCATTAAATAATAATTATTAATGCCGTAATGCCGGCTACGAAAACAATAATACAAATCACAGCTGTTTCTCTCTACGGCTAGTATGTTGTTAACAAAATACCATATGCTGTTAATACAGGGTGCTTCCAATTAACAGAGACCATATGCATTCATCCTTTTATGTGTATCTACTTTTCATTAATTTCATTCAAATTGTGCAGTTTATTTAGAATAACTGTATAGTACGACTGTTCGCAGACTTGTTTGAGTACTTTTAAGTGAGTAGTTTGATTTTATCAACTACAAATCAGTGCTGCTCAGCGTAGGGCAACTGTCCGCGCTGTTCAGCACTGCTAAGTTTTGTTTTGGCGCGAAACGCTGCAAAAGTGAAGATCGTCGTTTGTATTATTGATTTGAATTGAAATGATGAATTTCTCGCGCAGCTCGCTGCGCTACGCGCACACCAATGGCTACACGGGACTGCTGTACACGCCAAAGGGTGATTACATAATCACATGCGGCACCGATGGCGACATTCGCCACTGGACCTGCATAAGCGACGATGATCCTCGCTCCACCTGCCTGGGTGAATTTGTGATGTGCATTGCCCATACGGGCACACGACTGCTCGCCTCCACAGATCGCAATACGGTGCATGCGTATACGTTCCCCGACATGGACAGTGATGGCATCCTGATGCGATTTACAGCGCCAGCGACTTGCCTACGAGTTTGTGGCGAATTTACGGCTGCGGGCAGTGAAGATACCAGCATAAAAGTGCTGCGTGGTGATAATGCTGGCCAAGAGACTATGCTGGAGGGTCACAAGGGACCCATTTTGGCGTTGGATGTGCACGCCGAACGACAACTGTTGGCCTCCATTGCAGGCGATGGCCACTTAAAGATTTGGAATTTTGCCACGGGCGTCGAGGTGAAGAGCGTGTCCGGATTGCCTCGCGTGAATAGTTTCGAAAGCGCCAGCCTCTTTGGCACGCCCAGCTTTGAACCGCAGTGCGGTGAGCAATTGGCCTATGCATTGGACAAGGAGATTTTAGTGCTGAACACATCCAACTGGGAGTTGGCATATAAGCTGTTGGATGAACGCGTCTCCAGTAACTATAGCTGCTGTCAGTTCTCACCGAACGGGGAGCGTCTGGCCGCTGGGACGACCAGCGGTGAATTGAGCATCTTTGATGTGAAACGGCGACGGGCGCTCCAAGTGGAGGCGCCACCGTCTGATTGCAAGGCGATTACGTGCCTTGCCTGGAATCCAGCTAATATGGATGAGTTGGCCTTTTGTGATGCCACCGGCCAGCTGGGCACCATATTCCTTGGTGATGAGACACAAGATGAACTCGAGCTGGTGGGCGAATCGGATGAGCTGCTGGCAGGTACAGATTTCGAATTTGAACAGGGCAATGGAGGGGAAGTGGACGATGCCGACGATGGCGATGGCGTTAGTCTGGAGCAGCTGAAGCGCAAAGTTATGAGCAATGCGAACTATGCAGAGGCAGAGGCTCAGGATGATGATGATGAGCACTCCCGACACTCCTTGGCGAGCAGCAGCCATGCACCGTCTGCAACTCCACAAGTGAAACTGTTCAAGCAGCAGGCGGCCTTCCAGCCGGGTGCTACTCCAAATGAGCTAGAGCATCGCTATTTGGCATGGAACGATGTCGGCATTGTGTCAGCGCATGCGGAACCCAATGGAGATGGTGCCATTGATGTGGAATTCCATGATGCCAGTGTGCATCATGCACTCCACTTGAGCAACAATTACAATCAACATAATGTGGCGAGTTTGAGTCGCAGCGCTTTGGCCTTGGCCTCCACGGAGAGCGGCAAGCTGGTCGTGATTGCCTTGGCGGCGGCCGGGAATAAGGAATGGTCACTCAGTCTACCCGATTGCGAGAGCGTGGAGGCGCTGGTGGCAACCAGCCAACTGATTGCTGTCGCCACCAGTAATCACTTTCTGCGACTCTTCAGCGTGATGGGCACCCAAAGGGAGGTGCTCAGCATTCCAGGACCTGTACTAGCGCTGGCTGGACATGAGCATAGTTTGCTGTGCGTCTACCATTCCGCCGGTTGCAGCCAGCAGCAACAGCATCTCGCCGGCATGTTGATCCATGTCAGTGGCTTGAGTTTACGCGTGGAACAGGTGCCGGTTTCATTGACGCCGGGTCGACAATTGAGCTGGCTGGGTTTCTCGGATGTTGGCTCGCCCTGCTTGGCCGATAATATGGGTCTCGTCCAGCTGTATAGGCGGGCAAGCAATGCCTGGTTTCCCATATGTGACACATTGAAACAGAGCACAAGTGTTTGCAATAATTATTTTATAGTTTCACTTTCAGAGCCGAGGCAGATCATTCAAGCGGTGCTGTGCCGCGCCAGCTCATATCCGATGACAAATCCACGTCCAATGGTGCAGGAGTTGCGCCTACAACTGCCACTCTGCGACATTGAGTTGGAGAAGACGGAGCTGGAGGATACGCTAATGCGGGCGTGTATTATGCAAGTGGACGGCGCCGAGAAGCTGCAAAAGGAAATGGCCATCAAGCTGTTCGCCTTGGCCTGTAGCAACGAGTGCGAGGCACGCGCCAGGGAACTTGTGGAGAATATTGCCTGCACCGAGCTCCTTCAGCTTGCCGTCAAGTATGCCTCGAAGCGTGGCCGCATTCATCTGTCGGATAGATTGTGTGAACTATTGCCACAACTGGAGGCGGTGCAGGAGGCGCGTAAACAGCAACAGCTCCTCGGCGCCAATGGCATTGCGGCGACCATTGTGCTGCCCATGATGCCCCAGCTATCGACTGCTGGGACTCCGAAATTGGCGCCCAAGGCCATGGAGCTAAGCGCATCGAAACGTAGTGCGCTGAAACGCTTCTCGAATTCACCCAATCTATTCAAAGCGGCAGCCGCATCTCGTCCAGCGACTCCAGATGCTACCATCACTCCATTGGATACGCAAGAAAATCTGTTTGGTGAATCAGAATCGCAGACGAGCGACACCAAGTCAGCAACTGAAAGTGATCAGCGATCGCCTCTTAATTCGGTCAATCCGTTTGCCATGAAACGCAAACTGGTCGACACTGGCGTCATCTTTGGCTCCGAGAAACTCAAGTTGGCTAAGAAATAAAATCTTGCTCATTTTATGAATAGTGTTGTAATGTTTAGTTGTATGAATTAATTTTTTTTATGTTTTAATAATAGATACAATGATCTAATTGGCTTTATGTATTTGTCTTTTTAAATTTTAGTTGTTAGCCCAATAACTGAATTTATTCGTAATTATATGAAAATTAAAAATTAATTTGAATTCGCAAGTTCAGGTCACACTGCATTAGCAGTCGGTCACACTGTACCCAAGTCAAAGAAACGTTTTGCTCACAATTGCCAAAACTGGTCACACTGCAGAGAGTACGATTTTTGTTATTCCCCGATAAAGTGGAAAGATCTGGAATAAAATGCACTTTGTTTATCACGTGGTTACTTGAAAAATGGTGTACGTGCCGTTTGTTTTGTGTAATTTCATAAGTAGAAAGAATTTTAAGTCACACAGAGGAACTATTCAGTTTAATTTAAAATCGTATTACACCCAATATTTTAATACTAACAAACAAACACACAAAATACAAAACAAAAATACATTCAATACATATTAAGAAGGCGTGGCATGTTTTTAACTCAAACAAAAATTCGCAGTGGTAAGTGAAAGAAGTACATACACACATGTAAGTATATATACGCATATATATATATATGTATATGTATATATATATATGTATCCATATGCATACATACATGTATATAGCAACGCTTAAAAAAATAAAACGGAGAGACCAGACCATCACATAGTTTTGTATTTTGTGACGTAGGCGCAAGTGCATTTCTATATAAACAGTTGCGCTCAAAGCGCTGTCGCCATTGACCGTTTAACTGTTACAGCGTGTAGTGTGAGAGAGCGTTGCTCTTGCCGATTGTTAATAAAAAGAAGAAGTAAAAATACGGAGAACGATTGTGTGTTTTGTTCTTTGTGACCGTATAAGTTTGTATGTGCGTCGCGCTACGTGTATGCAGGTGTATGTTTGTTTGCCAGCGAAACAGTTTTATTGTTTGTTCCTTTGTGTTCGTACCCATATTTATCATGTCAAATGAAAAACTACAAATAACCAATGGTCAAAAGATGGCGATTCCTGTAAATACTAAATTAAAAATCATTACAAACACAGCAACAATGCCACCTTCCGTTTCGCCGCAAGCGACGCCGCCAGAAAATTCAGATATATTTTCAAATCATAAAACCGACGACAACGACAACAAAATTGAAGATTCTAATGGCGATCCGCAACGCAAGGCATGGGGTAAGTAGGCAACCTAGGTAGGTTACAAAAAAAATTAAACACTAGTTTACACACCCGTAATTAGAACGTGAACTGATTGGAAGCTTTCTGCTCAAGATGGCCGAGGAACAAGTAGTGAGCGCCCGCAGAGATTGGTTCGTGGATAAGCGCATCCTTCGATGCAAATTCGAGGAGCATCTGCAGTCGGAGCCCAAAGAGTTGCGCACCAAACTGACCATCAATGGCCCCTACAATGTGAGTATTGATTAACTATAATTTCGAATTCGATATGGTGATGCAAAAGTTACAAATCATTACTAGTGTTTGGTTAAAGCACTAATCAGACCATAAATAGAGGCAATACAATATACGCATTCATACAAAGATTGCTTTCAACGGGATCATGTCACTGTGCGCAAACGGCTGTTCGAACAAGCAATTTGCATATCGAGTCAATGAGACCAATTTTAAGATCGTATTGTCTGCTTAGTGGTTAGGTTAGGTTATGTTGGCTGTCAGCCATAAATATGCCATAAACTTTAATTATTAGCATTTATATAAACCAGAACGAATTGAAAATTAGTATTTACTTAAAAAATATTCTTTTGCAATCGTAAGCTCCTTGAAAATTAATGAATTTACTGATAATATTGAATTAACAAATCCAAGATAAGTGCAAATTAATAACTGTTACTCATCCAAAAGTACTTAAATTCCATGCACTCTTTGCTCACTCAATCGCATGCTGATGTTTTGCCTTTGTTCTATCAGTTGTGATTTCTCTCACTCTTTTCGTCTCGGCTGTGGGGCTTGCCCACAAAATATATCCGGTTTTTTTTTTAATTGTTCTATCTGACGCTAATCAGCTGTTTACAAAAAAAATTAAGAAGTGTGTGCTATGCCGGTTTTGTGGAATCTAAATACAAGCTTATTTATAGGACAAATATTATTTTTATCTGATAGTTTTCATTTTTCGCAAGTGTAATGCACAACCAATTTATACGTTAAATCCCATACTACATTTTATGTATGTATATGTTTCTAAAGAGTTGTATGCCAAGTGGAGCTAGCGTGTTGCTGTGATTCCCCTTACTCAAACCTAGTTGACTCATCTCGAGTGATATTTACATATATTTTATGTTTATACTATATAAGCGACAACAAAGCAAAATCGATTGATAGCTGTGTATATATTCATGTTTATAACTGTCTTTTCTATTTATAGATCGGAACACTGTTGAAGCGTACAAACTTTTTGATGAATACGCCGCGCGGCGATTACAATTACCGCATCAAGAACCTGACCATGATGGAGTTTCGCAAGGAAAAATGTAACAACATGGAAGAGAATCAGCGGCAAAATGATCCAGTTGCCGTTAGTAGTGTGATAAACGCATCGCTTGATGATGATTCGATTACCCAGAGTAATATCTCTTTATTCTTTAATCATATTTCCATATCGTAGGATATTGATTGATTTCTGCTGTACTTCCTACCATAGAATATGTACTGGACGATTCCGCCGAACTGGTGGCATTGAATTATGAAAAGACCCAAATTCAAAAGCGCAACAAGAATTTCGAGCTGAATTCGATGGGATGCTACATTTGTCAATGCAATTTTGAAAGCATTGAGAAATACGAGGAACACATCGAATACCATGGCGATGAGTCGGAATTTGAGTCGTTGCGCAAAATGGAAAAATAGTACGATATTTATATATTTAGATAGATGCCCAGATCTTTAATCTATAATCATTCTCTTATGATTACAGTGCGAAACCCATGCTGAAGCTATCGTATCAAAGCTGCGTAGATAGCCATTATTTTGGATTTACGCTTGCAACGCAACTCAAGGACATTGTGATTGAAAAGATTATAATTGTACAATCACGTCAGTTCTACTATGTCTACAATCATCGTCTACCGGTCGACATATCCGATAATGGCCAAATGATCTTCTTTGTCGACTCGCATGTATTTATGATATTGCGGGAACAGCCCATTGTTATTGGCTATAGTCAGCTGGTGAAGGGCGAACGTAAACATTATGTCGAACAGCATCATTTCATGCGCACCGAGGCATTGCCCAATGTCATTTTCAATGTGAATCCATATCGACTCTCCAAAGGTAAGCAATTTAAGGGCGGACACCTGGAGCCGGCAATACCGCCCGATGAGGTCCTGAAGGCCGTGAAACTTAATGCGCCGATTGCCCAAAAGCAGCTGGTCGCCTACAATCAGGATTATGGCAACTATTGTGATCTCGGAAAGATACTAACGCCTACGAATTTATACGGGGCACTGGGCACTCTGCTCCAGGTGGAGGATATTGAGCGCATACAATCCTATGTGGCACTTAAACACTCAAAAATGGAGCTGCATCAGTTTGGCAAAGACTTGTCCGTTAAGCTGCGGTCCAATACGGCAAGTGCGAATACTGTACTTTCACCAGGCGATGATGTGCTGATCATCAACGAGCGTTGCACCAACTCAATTCCGAAGGGGCCTGGCATGGCGAATAGTGTGTGCCAATTGTTGGATAATAATGAGCTGCAAATGAAATTGGCACTGATGGAATTTGATGCGCTCGTCCGTTGGGGCCACGCGACAAACAAACAGTTTGGCGAACCGGAGAAGAATCGTAAGGAGCCGCGTATTTATTTCGCACGCATTCTGGGCGTATCGGATCAGCGCGTCAACATCACTTGTGATCGTAGTCTACCGGATAATACCACATTTACGCTCATCTTTCGTCCGCTGCGTTCCATTCAACGCTATCAGTATCGTGCACTGGAGCAACTCAAGTCAATGAATGCGGATCATGTACAGCGTCTGCTCTTTCCACAGAACATAGACAGGCAGCCGCTGGCCAAAGGTGCCTTACGACTGAACAATCTGCAAATCGGTTGTAATTTCCAACAGCTGCGGGCTGTGCAACAGATTGCTCTAGCCGACAAGCTGCCAGCACCGTATATTATATTAGGGCCACCGGGCACCGGTAAAACTGCCACAATTTGTGAGGCCATCTATCAGTTGTATGTGGAACGGCCGGAGACACACATTCTTGTGCTCGCCGGCTCGAATACGGCTTGTGATGAGATTGCGTTGCGTCTGCTGCGCTGCATTGCCAAAGTGAATAACGGTCAATCGCGTCCGCTGGTACGCGTCTTTTCGGCCAGTTGCGATCGTCGCATCGATGGCATCGATGATCTCTTGCTCGAATATTCCAACATGTATTCTGCGCATTTTTATCCCGCCGTGGAGGCGGTGCACGATTATCGGATTGTTGTCTGTACACTAAGTTTGGCAGGCAAACTCTCAACGGGTGGCTTTGGAAGTGACGAGTGTAAGCGCAAAGTATTCTCGCATGTATTCGTCGATGAGGCGGCCGCATCAACCGAACCGGAGGTCTTAATGGGCATTGCCTGTACCATTGCACCGACAACAAACCTAATACTGTCCGGAGATCATAAGCAACTGGGGGCAGTGCTGCAATCGCAACGTGCCGGTGATTGGGGTCTAGGCGTATCGCTGTTTGAACGTCTGATCCAGCGCGATTGCTATGGCCTGGACGAGAATGGTGATTACAATGCAGCCGTGCAGACGCGACTCGTGCATAACTATCGTTCCCATCCCGAAATTGTTGCGCTCTACAATGGTCTCTACTACAACAGTGAACTCAAATCGAAGGCCCCATTGAGTATGGACCAATTATTAAATATATATATCACAGCAAATTCTTATACATTCTTATTTTGCAGAAAATGTGGATCTTGCTAAAAACTGGTTTCATGCGCCTAACGCTGATTTTCCCATCATATTTCATTCGGTTTTTGGTGCTATGAATCAGCAAAGTTCGAAAAGGTGAGTTCCTCAAGCTTGAATATTCAAAATTTCAAAACTAATCAATTTATCTTCTCGTGTGCAGTTTATGCAACAATAAAGAGATTGATGCTGTCATGGATTATGTGAAGGATCTAATGTATTTAGGCATCAATGGTGAGAAATTGGCACAAACGGATATTGGCATTATATCGCCGTATAAGAATCAATATCAACGCATCCAGGAGCAACTCAACATGCGCAATTGGCATCAAATCGATTGTGGATCGGTTGAATCGTTTCAGGGCAAAGAGAAGCAAATAATAATTGTTTCGTTTGTGCGCTCATTTACCGAATACTTGGGATTCCTCAATAATAGTCGAGTGAGTGTGTTCCGTGTTAACTAAATTTTAATTTCTCTAATCATTAATCATTCGCAGCGTTTGAACGTTTTGCTATCGCGTCCAATGTCTTTGCTTATATTAATTGGTAATCCGCGCACGCTTAGCAAGAATGAGGAATTTCGTCATATCATCGACATTTGCCGGATTCGTAAAACGCTCGTCGGTTCGCCCTATTATCCGGATGATAATAAGACGAACGAGGCAAACGCTCAATCCGATGCTGATAATAATACAAATAATCTGAAAAATGGGTATCGCCAAAAGATCGCAAGGATTAATAACACCAACAACAATAACTGTGCGCAGTCATTGGGACAGACATTCAAGCGAAGTAATAATAATCGTTGTCATAATTATCAATATCATTACCAAAGAAACCAAAGAATTTGTGAAAACGATCATAAATGCCTGCATAAAGATGCCTATAATGCAGCAAATTTTGGATTTCGAATGATCGCCCATAAGGGATAATTGGCTTTGATACCTCCAAGCATTCTTAAATCGTTTTATTTCTTATATATAACATATTTATATATAAAAATATTCACGGCTGTTTTGTATCCCAAAATCAAGCCATTGCAGCAACTGTATTTGCAATAATTCAATAACGTAATAAATTTGCATATGCTTGTGATAATCTTTTTTCTACTTATAACAATACTTGTCACATTTCTCTGGCTGCCATTTGTTTGTCTTTTTTAATGTCTTTCTAAATATATAATGGCTTACATTTATTTTATTTTAGCAACAAAACCACGCAGCAAGGCGGTCTATAATAAGAAGCTGGTGGAATTGAGCACCCTGGTGGCTAAAAAATCCGAGCTTGAGGAGATTTTTGACGAGCTGCCCAGTGTGCCGACTAATGGGGACAGCGATACCGATTCAGAGCCGCCAATCCGAAGTGAAATGCAGAATTTAACAATTAATATGCCCCCCGTGACAATTGCTCCACGTGCACCACGACTAGCACATAATAACAGGCCCCCACCGCCAGTCAATGTACCACCACGGACAATGCCACAGCCATCACCAAGGACAATGCCACAGCCATCACCAAGGACAATGCCACAGCCACCACTACGGACAATGCCACAGCCATCACCATGGACAATGCCACAGCCACCACCACGGAGAATGTCACAGCCATCACCATGGATAAGGCCGCAGCCATCACCATTGAGAAGGCCACAGCCATCACCATTGAGAAGGCCACAGCCACCAATCGCAAAGAAAGAATCAGAATGTGTTATATTATAAGTATGTCTTATAGTATATAAACTACGAGGACTACACCGGGCTTAAATGTGCCCAGTGTTATCTTTTTTAACGTTTGCTGTTTGTGTCAAATTGCAAAGGATGCAGCCATTAATGCTGCTCTTTTTGCAATCTATTGCAAACAGTTAAAATTCACAAGGTGTGTATTAAAACAAGTTACGTAAAGCTTGTTTTAATATATCAATTGTGAATTTTCAATGACATTTTTATATATTTATTATGTATGTATGTACAATCTTTTCAATTGGATTCGCACATCATACTAAGTGTATAAAATATGTCAGTGTGTGATTTTTCTTATCATATTTATGTATAATGCAATGAAATTTGTACCTAGACACGATGTTTTGTTGGTTTTGAAACCCAGCCAGTAACAAAAGCTACACCAATGTTCAAAACATTTCTGCGAATATATGTTTTAGTCGAAATTTTGATTTGTGCATTCTGTATGCCAAAAAAATTAAGGAAGAAATGTGCACATTAATATATTAAGCGGAAAATTTAAAAATTCATTTATATCCATGTTAATCGAGAATAAATATAAACTAAATGCTTATTGGACAACAAACTGTATTGTGTTCTTCATTGTGTGCTTCAGTCAAAAAAATAATTTTCCTTCCAATGTGTTCTATTTTCACTAAACTTTGTTCAAAATAATAACTTCACTTGTATTTTCTGCTTCAGTACACTTCTAGGGTTGAGTAACAATGAATTGCTTATGCAAACTTAAGGTAGCTTCAGCTAATTACAGCGTCGAGAGGAGGATGTGGATCCTATGCTAATTATGCTAAAGTGATGTGAGTTGATAACCTAAGCATAACAAAACATAACTAACATAAACAGTCATCAGTATAATTTGTTTACACTCATTGCTCGTAGTGGCATGGTGGTACGTTCATTCATTCTAGGGGACACTGTGTGCTAACAATCAAACAAAGTTGGCACTTAAAAATTGAAAAGGCATTTAGCATAAGGTATGAAAAAATCTATACACAACTTTATTTCGTTAAACACGGCTCAATGATCCATAGACAAAAATAATTTTTGTAAATTGTCCTTAACTCTTTCAAATTACAGTGTAGTCTAAGGAAGTTATTTTCCCATAATTGAAACGAACTTGCAAAAATTGTTCGCCTAACGATCGACATACACGTTTTCAATATGAGTGCGCGGAGCCGACTAGTCACGCCCACTACCATACCAGCACCCACTGGGAATCGCAGGCTGCCGACAGAAGGAGGATCACGAGGTGGTACCAGATCAACGGCGCCGCTATCATCACACACGATCGGAGCAGTACGACACAGCACCGGCGGCGATGGCGATGGTGGCTCCGCTAGCTGGAAGAGATCGGCTCCTCCAATGACAATCGCACGGCTATCGACGACAGCACGGAGTCTAGAAAAGAACACCATTGCCTCGACCCTACGAGCGGCAACCAATCGCACCAAAGTATTGGACACAAGGCGTGCAAATCCGCGCCAGCCAAGATCCACATCGTTTGTTGGCAACCAGTCCATTGATCGTGAGTGTCTTTTGCTGAGTCCCGGATCGAGGGAGAGATCGCAGCAGCAGCAACGTCGGCCAGCTGTCAATAGTCCAATACTAAAGAGAGATATTCTAATTGATGCTCAAAGTGAATCTCGCATAGAGAGTCAGCAACTGATTGAGACGGGCATCCAGAGCAATGAGAGAGAAATACTTAATCATGACCTGATCGTCGGCGATGTGAAGCTATTGACGCCCTCTCCAGAGCTGACCAAGCAAATTGATCAAGCTCGCTTGGAGAGCAAGAGGAAGGTGGATCGCCCAACGATGCGTAAATTTTCGACACACGAACAGGACGAGGAACATCGTTTGGATGAGCTGAAGCAGTTCATGGAGAGCAACTATGTAACACGACGCCCAAACCCGAAGAAAGCATCGCCTCTAGCTGCTGCTGCTCTGGCCAAATACGAATCAAATCAATGCGGCACCATCTTCAAATCTATGGACGAGTTCTTTACACGCGACATACCCAAGACGGAGTCCATTACCAACATAAAGGAGCGCATCAAGCGTAAGGAGATCGAACTGATGAGCTTGTTCGATAATGTAGCCTTAGCTGAAAAGATTGAATCCGGGTCCGAAGGCGACTAGTTGTTAGTTAAATGTACGAATGCTGATAAATACAAATTTTAGAGTCATGTATCTAAGTATTGAGTTGCAATTCTTAATTAATTATAAAATATATAACTAAGAATCCGTAATTCAGTGCAAATTTAAAAATCCGCGCCTTATCTGATACTTATCGATTTTAAATACGAATATATATCGCATACTCGGCAGCTGAACTGTGTGGTCACACTTTTTTGTTATTTGGCTTGCCGGTCGCATTTAGCCAAAATATATATATGTGTATATATACATATATATATATATATATATAGTTGATTATTTTGATTTTAAAATGGACTAGCCGGCCAGTTAAATGTCGAATAGAAACTAGGAAGTCATCACACGACTGTTACACACACAAACACACTCGAATTATTTTGTTGAGCTTAGAAAAATACACAGACGATTTTACAACTACAACTGCAGCAGCAGCAGCAGCAATAGCACATAAAAAATTTGGTGAGTAACTTTTACAAATATGGAATGAATCACATGATTTATATGACTCCAATTTACAGGAATAATGACACTGAAGGTGACCAAACTGGCGCTGACCAGTCGCCTCATCATATTAGCCCTACAAATGGTGGCCAACTGGCTAGTGCCCGATCACAAACCCGACGTATTTCGTATGCCACTGGATGAATACAATAATAATAATGCCACAAATGCGCAATTTCTGGACAAGATTGTGATGGGATGTTTGGGCGGATTACGGCACTGGGATGGTGAATACTTTCTGCACATTGCCAACTATTTGTATACGTACGAGAATACGCTGGCCTTCTATCCCCTCTATCCGGTTATTGTGCGCAATTTGGCTACCGCTTGCCAAGTGTTTAATGTGCCACTTTCGTTGCCAGCGTTGACGCTACTCGTGGCAATTCTGTTGAATTTGTGGCTTTTCTGTGAGGCAGCCAACTATCTGTATCAGTTGACCCAACGAATATTCAACGATGCACACAAGAGTTGGAATGCGGCGCTCGTCTTCTGCTTCAATCCGGCGAGCATTTTCTTCAGTGCCGCTTACTCGGAAACTCTGTTCGCCTACTCGAGTCTCATCTTGATGCTGGAATGTGTCCGACCAAAGCAACAATTTCATTACATGCGCATTTGTGCCAGTTTGACGGCGTGCATCATGTGCCGCTCGAATGGATTGATTGCCCTCGGGTTTCCAATTTACTTCTTTGCCCGACATCTAATCCTCACGGTCGGAGTGAAGCGTTGTCAGACGCTGTTCAAGATGTCGCTGGCTTTGTTGGTGCCGTTGAGCATCTTGCATGCCTTTTATTTCTACATATATCGGTTGTATTGCATGCCCAGCATCAAAGTTAATCATCCCCAGCAAGTCCTGCAATTGGCAAGCGAACGAAATTATTTGGTCTCTGGTCGGGGACCGGATGCATCGCCCTGGTGCCAGTATACCCTGCCATTCCCATACAATTATGTCCAATCGACCTATTGGGATGTGGGCTTCTTGCGCTACTATCAATGGAAGCAGCTGCCCAATTTTTTGCTGGCTCTGCCTATGTTGCTCTTCATGCACTGGCATTACTGTGATTACTTGTGGCATTTGGTGACGAGGAGTTGGCCAGCAAATGCCGCCAACCTGCGAGAGTTACTCAAGGGACAGAAGGCGTTGCCATTTATACTCCATGGCGCATTCCTTACAATGGTCTGTGCCCTATTCGTGAACATTCAGGTGTCGACGCGTCTCTTGGCGTCGGCCTCACCTATTTTCTATTGGTTTGCGGCGGATCATATGCCCAAGTCGTTGTCACAGCTCTCGTTGCGCTCGCAGGCAGGCGCTCTGTTTGTCTGGTGCACCACCTACTGTACCTGTGGCACCGTTCTCTTTTGCAACAATTTTCCTTGGACTTGAACTGTTGAAAGGGCACCTCGTATTAACAATTTTTTGCCAAAGAGAGACTGCATTAGCATTGGATTAGTTTAAACTCGTTTTAGCACGTGATAATGTTGACCACCTAAAAAAAACAAGAAAAGAAAAGAACCAATGCAATTGCAAATTGCTTAACTAAATTAAATAAATGTTTGAAACCAGATTCTACGCTCACTTATCGATAAATGCATTGCCGATGCAAATAGTCATGCACGCACATCGATTACTTTATATATCGCCATTCACATTGTTCGCATGTTTATTATCGAAAACAATCATAACAAGACAAAAGACAATTTATTTTCCGTAGTTGAGTGTGAAAAACGCGTCAAAAAAATGGAGGAGCTTTCGGGTGTTATGTTAATTATTATCATTGCCGGCGGCGTCCTAATGTGCGTTATGCTCTTCATCTTTGCCAAGCGCCAGATAATGCGCTTTACGATACGCAGTCGTCGTGGCCCACACGTCCCAGTGGGCAACGATGCGAAAAAGGGGCTGCGTCGCGAAATCGAACGCCGTTTGGATTGCATACAGAAAATTGCCCAGGAGCCAAAGCTGCTGTGGACCGATGCGCAGAAGTATATTGTACAGCCCGAACCGGCGCCAAACCAACAACTGCCGCCTTACCATTATCGCATGCGTGCCGTCGACGATGTCAAGCTGCTCGAGTCGGAGATCGCTCGTGCCGATGGCAGCACTCGCCACGCTCACGAGAGCCTGCGTGCCTTTCTGCTCACCACACTTTCCGTTACACTTAATGGTACGGGGCAGCGCATAATACATCAGTTCTGCGATATGTACGAGCATGCACGCCACGATCCCAACGAGTTTGCCAAAGACGAATACGAGGCTTACCATCATCTCCTGCTCAAGCTGATGGAGGCGTAAGTGTGTATATGTGTGGAGTTATATCCTGTACTCAGCTTAAACATGTGTAGTATAATATAAAAATATTAAATTAAAAAATAAAATATGTAAAATAATGTAGTAAATAACAAATATTTAAAATAACAAAAAATAATATTAAATAATAATATAAAAACTAAAAAAATGAAAATATAAAATAAAATAAAAGTAATGTAAGATAATAATATAAAATAGACAACAAAATATTGTTTAAAATAAAAATATAAAAAAAAAAAAAATCTGAAACATAAAGATTGCAACTCTTAATTGTACTTAAAGCAGTGTCATTCTCTGAGTGGCAGAAATATCTGGATACAGGTTATATATCCTAGTCATGAAATTTTCATCAAAACTATCTAAATATGGTATTCATATATTCTTAATGTCTCCAACAGTGCCAAGCAGCTAAGAAACTATAATTCAAGGAAAGCTTCACCCGCTCGCACGCCACGCAAACAAAAGATGCATTCACTACTGGATCCGGCACGACTGCGTCCGCCGCCCGTCGTCGAGCCACCTAGTAATAATGAATTGGCTGCTGGTCAGCATGCCAAGGTTAATATGACGCTGGGTCTGCAGGGCGATGATTTAGTGGCCGCCGAGCTGGCCACAAATCCGCTGCATTTACAAGCGCCCGCCGAACGGGATTTGATCATTAGAAATCGAATCAAGACGCCAACGCTCGACGACATTGTCGTTGAGGCAGCGACAACGACAACGATGACGACGTTGGAAGAGCAGCAGCAGCAGCAAACTATCGATGCCGACAATGAAATAATGAGCATCTCATCGGTTCAGTTTCAACGAAATTCGAGTGTCGTTTAACGGTAAGCTTGAAACGTATTTATTTATTCTATGATTTATTTAGTTTTTGCCTTTTTCCTTACTTTCGCACTTCTTTTTCTGTTCTTCAGCGGCACATTTATCCAATGTCTGTGAGTATAGAACGAGATCTATTAGGCGATTCGAGTAGCCAGTCTCATTGTCATACCAAGCGATTAGTTTGACGAAATTGTCATTTAGAGCTATGCACGCCTTCGCATCGAATATCGATGCGTAACGTGCACCATTGAAATCGGTGGAGACCACATCATCTTCAGTGTAGCCCAAAATACCCTTCAGTTCATCATTGGCGGCTGCTTTGATCGCCGCCTTGATCTCATCCATTTTGGCGGCGGTGCCCAAACGACACGTCAAATCCACAACGGAAACATTTGGTGTGGGCACCCGGAATGCCATTCCGGTTAGCTTACCATTCAGATCGGGTATAACTTTACCCACTGCTTTGGCAGCACCAGTGCTAGCCGGGATTATGTTACACATGCCACTGCGGCCATCGCGCCACACCTTCTTGCTAGGACCATCAAGTAACTTTTGGGTGGCAGTACAAGCATGCACCGTTGTCATCAAACCCTCGAGAATTTTAAAATTATCATGCACCACTTTGACCACAGGCGCCAGACAGTTGGTGGTGCACGAGGCATTCGATATGATTTTCATTTTGGGCTCATACTTATCCAGATTAACGCCACACACAAACATAGGCGCATCCGCTGATGGTGCGGATATAACCACCTTCTTGGCCCCAGCATCCAAATGTGCCTTGGCCGTTTCGAGTGTCGTAAATTTTCCCGTGCATTCCACTACCGTCTCCACGCCCATATCTTTCCAGCGGATCTTCTTGGGATCCATCTCATTGGTTATCTGTATCTTTTGGCCACAAGTGACCAATTTGTTGCCATCAATTGCAATCTTCTTGGGGAATATACCATGCGACGAATCGAAGCGCAGCATATAGGCCATATATTTGGGATCCATAGAGGGATCATTGATGGCCACCACCTGAACATCTTCTCGCTTTATTGCCTCGCGCAGAAAAACACGTCCGATGCGCCCAAAACCGTTAATAGCAATACCAGACATTTTTTCAAACAAAATTTTTATACACAAATGGGAAAATTTTCCAAAAATACTTCTGTCCTTGCACACAGAGCTATCTGAATATTCTAAAATTTCTAAATCATACTTAAAACACTTTTTGACGTTTGCTGCTTACAGGTTTCAAATCCATTTTATTTTTTCACTGTAAATGTACTTTTTTTCTTCTAGGAATTCCGCTGGACAGATTTATTCTCTACAGATTTGCGCATCTCCAAATAAACAGGACTTATAGTATAATTTATATAATTTCTTGATATATGCTAGATATAGTAAATTGATCTAATTATGCATTATTATAATTATTAAATAGTAAAGAGTCATATTAATGCTAAGAAAACAAATTTGGTATGGTGTTTTTATAAACATATTTCTGAGTTTATGACGGATTTTTATAAATAATGAATGTGATTTTAGTTGAATTATTTATTTAAGAAAATCTAAGTTAATTGAATTTCTGTTCTGATCTTAATTATGATAATCGATGGATGGCTGTATCAAATGGTAATCTTACTTTAGTTACTTTTAGTTTTAGTCCAGTTAGATTAAAAAAAGTTTAAACGTACATTTACTTTGGATATTTTCATCGCATTTTCGTAAGCCCTTAACTAGATGAATACGTAACAGACCGAAGTTTTTGCCGTGGTTGAACTTTGTTTTGGTTGAATTACCAAACAAAACGACGCAAGCAACCAATTGCCTTTTGTGGAAATGAATGTAGCTCAAGCGAGTAGGACCCGGCGTCTGTGTTTGCCTTGTGTGTGTGTGTGGGTATGTGTAGATGTGTGTGTTTGTGGTAGCAGACTGCTCCATTCAGGCAGTCAGTGCAAACAAAAACAAATCAAGCCTGCGAGTCGTAAAATTTTCAGATACCGCCTCTCGACTATATTTTATCCAACAAATTGTTGTTGCTGTTTGCTGTTGGATGCTGCTGCAAACTGCGCCGTTGGCGCATAATTAACTGGCCAAAAGCAATAAAGAAAGCCGAATGCAAAAGTGGTCAAAAGAGTGTGTGCAAATACAGTTTAAGGCAAAGTTACAAAACTGTGGAGTGTGGCAAAAATGCCAGTAGTTAAATGGAGCTTTAAATAAATTATAACAAATTCATGGGGGCAGTTTAGATGAACAAAACAGCAGAGGTAACAAAACTGGCTAAAAGCTGGAACGAAAGTTAGTGAAGCTTTCAAATGAGGCTTAGCGTTTTGAAAAGAGGCATTGAGAGTATTTTGAAGTCGTTTTTTCGGTCATATTTTATGCTGAGCTACATTTTATGTGTTGCTTATAAATCAATCGTGGCCAGCTGCCGGGGGCCAAGTTGCTGCGGGGCCAAAAAGGTGTTGCCAAAACCAAAAATGCAAATACGTATTGCTCAAACATACAAAATCAGCTGCGTCTGTGCCGTGGGTGCCATTATTCACCTTTGTCTGTGTGTTGGCATATACTCCTCCACTTCTCTCCCCAACCCCGACATCCTTTCCTTTGCATATTTGATGGCAAATTGTGGTAGCAGGGTCCTTGGGGAGTGGTTCTGGGCCAAGAAACACTTTGTATGTCGACTGGCTTTTAAGCATTCAATTTGAAAGTTTGGCGTGTCGAAATTTATATATTTTAAGCAAATGCTTATTTCGAAAAGTTTGACCAAATAACTTTGTGCTAGCAACATTTCAGCTTTAGCAACATGCTTATCAAATATTCAACTTTTCAGCGTTGCGTGTTATAAACAACAATTTTAGTTTGAAGTTGTGAAAAGGTTGACAATATATAGATTAAATTGTATTGTAGTTTAATGATATATTTGGCGTGTCAAATTAATTTATTTCAATGAAAATATTAAAGTTGGTGTTGCGAACTCAGTTTGTCAACCTAATTTTGTTTGGCAACATTTTCAGTTTTAGCAACATGCTGTGATTTATTCGACTTGGATTGGCCGCAATATAAGAAATAATAATATATTTTCAAAAATTTGAATTGATATATATCCAATTTTAAGTTGTTACAATTTGCTAGGAACATTTCAGTTAGGAACTTGCTGCTATTTAATCAGCTTGTCATCTTTAATTTATTTCACTGTATTAGCCACATTTAAGTCTAGCAACATGATGCTATTTATTCAGCTTGTTTTTTTTTTGTTTTGCTTTGTTTCGCTGTCTTAGAAACATTTTACTTTAGCAACGTGCTGCCAGCTACTCAACTTCTCCTCGAAGCACGCAACATGTCGCGTAGCATTCGTACTTAGACGAATACAGCTTAACGCCCACACACAGGGAAACTTTGTGCTCTCTCTTTCGCTTGCTCTCCCATTCTTTCGCTCTCCTGGCCATTGGGTCCTGGCCATTTCATGGTGAGTTCTGGCACCGCACCAAAAAAAAAAAGGGGTCGCTGATTACGAAATTGTTGAAGTTAACATCAAGAAGCAGCAACAGCAGCAGCAGACGTGAAGTTCTTGCGTATTATATTCATATTTGTGTATTGTTATGGTGTATATATTGTATATTTTATTCTGGCTGATCATAAAGTCTGCCTAAATGGAAAATAAAACTTCAGCCAGCAGATGTCATTGCAAAAGTCTTCGATACAGAAATGCATTGTGACTTTGTTGCTTTACTTATTTACGTTTCTGTTGTGCCTTTGTCGAAATGTATGCGGCAAACTTTAAAATTAAAACTGTTTTCCCAACTGCGGCGTCACGAGTAAAGTTTTGAGTTGCATAAAGTTTATGTCAAAGTTCAAATTTAACCAAGCTTTTTTAAATGTATTTCCAAGGTTTCTAGATGCATTTTATTATAGGTGTTTTTTCAACCAAGAGTAACGAACACAAATTCTGAATTTGAGAGGGTCAGCTTGTGTAATTTTTGAAGAAACTTTAGCTGCTAATGCTTATCGTGATCTTAATATACCGTTTCTTAACTCTAGCCTTAAAAGTTTATTGTATACTTTAGTTTTTCGGCTGGAAAGTTTTGTGTTAATGATAAAAGTAAAAGTTTTATTAACTATTAACATTTAATACAACTTTTGTAAAATGGATTATTAGGCTTAAGCTTTTGGAAAAAATGTACAATTATTTAAATTACTTGTTTGCACTTAGTAAGAAAATTTCGTTTAACAGAGTTTCATTTGAAAATAAATGGTGGCAAAATAATGCCATCAGGTGAATTTAAAAAGATATTTCAAGGAATTTTACTTGGCAATTCTGAAAATGCAGTTGCAAGATAATTCTTTGCAATGAATCTTTTCCAAGAAGTAGCAAGGTTGAAAATAACGAGCTAATATCTGGAAAAACTAGGAAAAACAAGCACAGACTAATAAGCAAGAATAAAATATTATAGAATTAGTGTTGTAAGTAAATTTCTTGTTGTTAACAAATTGAATAAATACTCAATAACTATAATAATAATAATAAGCTCATACGCAGAAAACATTGCAAATTTCTCCACTAGCAAAATTGGCTATTTCATATTATTTACCAATAAATAAACTAAACCCTTACATAAAAGTTTTGTGCAGAAAATTGTTTATCATTTAGGGTTCATGTTAAATGCGTCTCAAGGGTATCTTTATAAATGTATTTATGGGCCACTTGTTGTTGGAGTTGGCGAAAGCAGCATAAATAAGTAGCTAACATAAATAGTGGTACTTTAAGAGCCAATAACATTAAAGCCATGGCCAATATCAATAAACTGAAAGTGATAGCCAAAAGAAAGAGAGACAGAAAAAATTGAAGCTGTCAACATTAAGCGCAAATTGTTTTTGGCAAGCAAACAGCTGAGTTGATCAGTAACTTAAGCGGCTAAAGCTGGAAAAGCAATGGCTATAATCATACTACAGAGCTGGCTAAAATAACTGCTGATTATGCGCTGCAAGTCAATGCATAACGCAGCAGCTGCAACAATAATCAAGTTTACCAAAAATCAGTTGGCAGACATCTTCTTTTACCCAAATAATTCAAATTTAAAATGCCATGCTGCAAGTGAAATTTAGATTCGGAATTCGATTCGACTCGACTACAAATTGAATTGTCAAACCCAACTGCGCTCTTCAACTGCTGTTCACCGAACAATGAGGCAAACAAAGGCGAATTTGGAGACTACTACAACGACTACTACCACTGACATCTAATTGTTCGCTCAAGTGTGCTCAGGCCGGGAAATTAAATCAAAAGCTCCATGCAGGCGTTACACACTTCCAGACCAAACCGTATTGCTCAATTCTTTTTCGTGGCACCAGAATTTAGCATAAGGATTTTTGCATTGCTTTCGGTTGAGTTATCGCACTAGTACATAAGAAACAGAAACGAGCCATTCAGCTTACGAGTAGCGCACACAAAATGACAGTAAACTAAAGAGAAATATATATCTCAATGTGCAAGAAGTTGCTCGAGTTGAACATACTCTGCAATTGGCCAAATGAACTGAGAAAATGAGGTCGTGTGGGAAAATGTGTAAGAATAGAATAGTCATTCATATCTATATAGGGAATAAGTGCTTTATAAAGTAGAGCAGGTGTTTTATGTACTTTCTTTTATATGGTTATACGGTGCCAGAAATGATTCCCGAACTTCTTCTTTGCCTCGTGTCTCACAGAAAGAAACAATTCTTACAATTTTAGCGCTTAAAGTATAAAAATAAATGGCATCATTTTCTCCTCAGAAACTGCAGCAGCTACGCAGCACATCTTCTCCACCCACCATCAATTGTAAAATAAATGCAATAGAATTTGATAGTTACGATGGCAGAGCCAATTTCAAAGTCAATTTTGCCTTTAGAAACTTTGCCAAGCTTTGCTCGCTTATGAGAAAAGAGTTTTTCTTTTATTTACATCTTCTTATTGCTGCAATAAACAAATTTGCAGCTGCTTGGCCAGGTCGTTTAAGACAGGTCAGCTTAAATGAGATCGTAAGGCACTTAAAAGTTCGATGGATTTAGATTTCTTTTCTTATTTACGAGCTGGCTACTTGAAAAATTGTCCTCAAATTGAATTGCAATAAGGGTTAGGCAATTAATTTAGTTTGAGGCTAAAGCAACCG